TTGTAGGGCCTGGAGATACACAAGAAAAGAAGATCATCCAGATTAATTGGTGAACAGCGCCCCATCTCGAACACAAGAGGCCAGTCTGAAAACAACGGAACACGGTGGAAGGAAGAGGAAAGCCAAAAAAACAAGAGAAACGATAAGACACGTCTTCTAAGTATTTTTGACGTGTCAAAGCTGGTCGTAGCAAGCCTTTCGCTGGCCTCTCGAAAAATGAGGGAAGGAAAGGAAGATTTTGCGCAGTTCATCGCTAATAGAAGAAGTAAAGTAGCTAACGAGACCATACAAGTCGGATGGGACCTGGAGGAAGCAGAGGAAAAATTGAAAAGGAAACAAATGACAATGATGGAAATACAACAAAAGGCTTTAGGGAGTCCATGTTTCGCTAACTGCAATGGAGCACGCAATAATTTAACAGGGGAGTTTTCAGAGTGCTGTACGCGAGCTACCTGAGAACGGACACTTCAAGTACAGAGAGAGTCCAATCCTTGGTAGTGCCAATTGAGGGAAGACTTTTTTTACTAAACCCTTTAAACGTAATCTACAATAGATAAGTAATCCCGCAACCAGCAATTTTGCTTGGGTTGGCGCTGAATCCGCCGAGGTTATTTTTCTTAATGACTTTCGCTGGAGTACACAGATCTTGCCTTTGCACGGTGTGCTTCTTCATTTAGAGGGGCAGACGTACAGTTCATTTGCCAGCACCGAAGTGCCAGTACGCTAAAGACATTGTATTTGACACGGATACGCCGATATTTTGCACAGGCTGGCCCTAAGCATGAATTAGTATCCCGGCTATCCCCCGCTATGCCCTGGGGGTCGGATGGCCGGGGTTTCAATTGACTGATGCATTATTTCGCACTATTCTCGCGCTTCTTTCTGCCTTTGATTGGCAGCGGGGCGGAGCTTAGAACAATGCCTCAAAATACGTCAAATCTTTCACTCGATCTACAATGGCTTTCTGAGAAAAGAAACTGCCATAGCCAAATTCTTCGTAACTCAAAAGCGAGCTTGGATACCACCGTTTTTATAGGATTCAAGGAAGTTATAGATATACTTCTTGTTAAAGCTGAAAGAGCGCAGAACTAACGAGAGGCTTACTAAGGTAAATAATAATAATAATAAGAAGAACATTTATATAGCGCCTATCCAGTAATAGATCTAGGCGCTTAACAAAGTGAAAAAATTAGAATTAAAAGTTAATTAAAATACATAAATTTAAATTTAAATGAAAACACCTATAAAATCAAAAACATCTTCCTAATGACTAAAGTAAAAGTTCTTAAAAAGGTAGGTTTTAAGTTTATGCTTAAAAAGACTTAGATTCTCGTATGAGCGTATGTCGTCAGGTAGTTTGTTCCAAAGTTCGGGGGCCGAGACAGAGAATGCTCTAGATCCATAGGTCTTAAGGCTAAAGCTAACAGGATTCACACTGAGCGTAGAGGATGATCGAAGCCATCTAGAGGGTAAGTAGCGGGTGATACGGTCTTGAATGTAGGTTGGAGATTGCTGATGCAGAGCTTTGAAGGTAATTAGTAGAATCTTGAATTTAATTCGTTCAGAAACAGGTAGCCTGAGTGAAGATCGAGGAGGATGGGAGTGATGTGATCACACCTCCTAGACCGTGTAGTCAGTCTGGCAGCTGCATTCTGCACCGATTGAAGCTTTTTGATGACGTTTTTAGGGACATTATATAGTAGAGAATTGTTGTGATCGAGTTTGGAATAAGAATCTCAGTAGTTTGCATTGATGTGATTTCCTCGTATGCACGAAATGGTGCGAAGATGATAAAAGGCAGATTTACAAACATTGTTTACATGGGGAAGCATTGACGTAGTGGTATCGAAGATAGCGCCAATGTTTCTTGCATGTGGAGAGGGCTTGATTATGTCAGTTTCAAAGCGAAGAGGGGGTTGGGATTGTTGTGGATTATACTTTGAGAATAAGTAGAGAAACTCGGTCTTGTCTTTGTTTAGGTTTAGTCTGTTGATGGTCATCCACTATCAATGTTGGACAGGCATTTCTCAATCTTAGTGATACTGTTAGTTAATTCCATATCGTTGTTTGTAGAGAAAGAAATATACAATTGAGTAAAAATTGCGTAAAAGCGAAATTGCATTTCGTGGAATCGTAGAATGTCGGCCAGTGGTGCTGTGTAGAGTACGTACAGAATCGGTCCATGGACAGAACATTAAGGTACACCGCACTTGAGCTCGCGAGACTGCGATCTACACCCTTCGATTATCGCAAATTCAAGCGCGAGCGATTAGTAAGGTAGGAGCGAAACCATTCAAGAGCTATGCCAGAGATAGAGTATTTAGAGTGCAATCTTGTAAGGAGGATCTCGTGATCCGCAGTGTCGAAGGCAGCAGACAGGTCTAACAGTAGAAGCATAACACAGTGAAGTTTATCAACAGCAACGAAAATGTCATTATGAACGCGCTCAAGGGCGGTTTCACAGCTGTGGAAAGGTTTATAGGCAGATTGTAGCGCCTCATTTAGCTGGTTAGCTTCTAAATATTTTTGAAGACGTACTGCGACGACCTTTTCAATAATTTTTGAGATTACCTTGAGGTTCAAAATAGGTCTGTAGTTTGAAGAACTTCATGATCTAAGTTGGCTTTTTTAAGTAGTGGAGATAGAACAGCAGTTTTCAAAGAAGACGGAAAATGACCGGATTCCAGTGAAAAGTTGACAATCTTTAGGATAATTTCTTCAGTAGTGTTCTTTACAACAGTGCGTTGTTCGGTATAAGATTAATAGTCGGAAGTGAGTCGGGAACGACGCCATCACTTTCTTCTCCTTGATTTCCTCACTGTACCAAGGGGCACGAGACCTAATAGTGATGACTCTTTTACGTAAAGGGGCATGTTTATCCAAAATCGAAGAAAGAACAGATTCTGAATCATATTGATCACAGAGCTCTAACAGGTCGAGTTGTATTATTAATAGTGAAGACTAGCGAATATCAGTACATTAACTAACTGAATCAATGTTGCATAGTTTACGAGTCATGAGAGTGAGTTTCGCGTTAGGTGGTTTCTTGATAGCCAGGCTGCAGTGAACTGCAAAGTGATCAGAAATGACAGGATCGCGAACTGATAAATTTGAGACAGATGCTTCACCTGATCTTGTGATAATAAGATCTCGAACAATATTGTTCTTGCGTGTTGGAGTACAAAGATTGAAGATATAAAGGTAAAGCCAATATAATTTATGGTCAAGTTTTAAGCATTATTACGGCATAATTTGCTTTTTCTAGTAGTTCAGTTTGGAGTGATATACATTTTAAGGCCGTTATGAAAGACCAAACCATGTGTTTTTAAGGTGCGTTAATAAGAAGCTTTGAATCTGGTGTCTCGATATCATAAGCTTTAACTAAAAAAACATCTTAAGGTTAATCTGCTATATAAGGTGATGCTTTATAAATGAAATAATCAAAAATTTTAGTGGGATATGTTTTCTGACTGCGTCGAGAGTGATATAATATCTTAGTATTCTCAGGAGTTAACCTGGCTGGCTGATGTCAGCGGGCGAAAATATTGACGAAGTTGCTTGGCTTTTTTGGCACAGTGTTCCAGTGGAACGTTAACACGGTTTTCACGATGGGCATGTTAGCCTTAACCTTTAGTAAATGGCGTCTCAGTTGAGGCAATTCGTCATGTGCCCATATACCTTATCACCCTTCCGCCCCACCCACCCCCCTCTTCCCCACCATCGGAGATCTGCATCCGTAGTGCAGTTTCTGTTGAGGCCAATTAAATGCCCAGGGGCCCGTTTCGCGAAAGTCCCGGTAATTTTTAGGGCCCGAAATCAAATATACAAATCGAAATATAAGAATAAGGGCGCGGGTCCTGGCTAGCAAACCACTCGATTTTGTTTCATTAGCTGATAGTTTTATCATGTTAGATGCAAAACTATTGAAACCTCGATCTTTGATGTAAACGGAGACAGCTTACCGGGCCCGTTAATTATCGGGACTTTCGAGAAACGGGCCCCAGGGCCCAGTTGTTCGAAGGCCGATCAGTGCTAACCCGCGGTTCAATTTTAATCCAGATTTCTTTTTCTTTTATAGTTCAAAAGCATTTTCTCGGATAATTTTCTGTATTCTTTTTAGAGCATCTAATCATCAAAATTGTACACAAAAACAATTTAACTGGATTTGCTTCTTGAGCGTTCATATCTGAATTCATATTTTGCGCTAACCCTGGGTTATCTTAACCCCGCTTTGAACAACCCGGCCCAGGAGAAAAAAGCCCAGGTTATGCAAAATTTGAGGGGCAATGAAAACGTGATATAGGAGATACGGTTTTATCCATCACGTTTTTATTCCTTTTCGATCAATTTGTCAACTAAATCCCCACTATTAAAATGATAATTAAAAAAAACATACAAGCCTCGGAAGCTAAACTGCGGCCGAGTCTATAAACTATTGTTTTTGTTAAGTCAACTGTCACAAGTGTAACATATCTACCACCCTCATCACGAAATAACGGAATCAGTCAGCTGTGTTTGGTCTCGACACATTTGATTGGATAGTGACGATATTCAGCTGTCTGTGTGTCAGACATAGATGAGACATGCATAATAAATGTGGGGTTCCCAAACAATACAGCAACTTCCGAGTGAACGGCAAAATTGGCAAAAACGTGACACTCGTGCATTCCTGGGCTTTAAAGCTATTTTTGAAACAGGATTAAGAATTTTAAAAAAATCGACACACAGTGTTTCCAAATGTACCCACAGCAATTTTCGTCAACCAGACTGTAAAACGGAGGCGGTAACATCGACTGACTTATATGGCTAATAGTTTCCTCGAACACAATTATGCTCTCCAGTGTAGGATTAATATTTCGATTACTCATATGGTGTCTGAGAAAGTGAAAACTAACGAGAGGCTTACTAAGGTAAAGCCAATATAATTTATGGTCAAGTTTTAAGCATAATTACGACATAATTTACTTTTCCTAGTAGTTCAAATATCACTTTAGAATATTACGACGAACAACAGGCAGGTTATTATGTTCAAAACGTTATAGTGTGAAGTTAAACTTACATTTTGGAAATGTACTTCAGGGACTAATGACAAAACAAAGTAATTACGTTTACAGGTAGGTCTTTGTTTAATTTCTTTTGATTTACTTTTATAAAATCACTGGCTGAAATTATTTAACTAATTAAGAAAACTTATAACTCCGGTTCGGCAAATCGAAAGGAGGAGGATAGCAAAAAAGGAAAGCAAGCTGTCCGAAGAGTTTCCGTTTAATTTAATGACTAATATATTTAGGCAGCAACATTAAGTTTAGGAAATAGCAACGTTTTTGAACGTGATGATTTCAACGAACAGGTTTTGCTGACATGGACGCCTAGGTTTTTACTAACGAACACTCAACTGCCCAACCTATTGATATGTTTACACCAATTTCTTGGTCACCCAAAGTGTTTATCTTTTAAAAAAGAAAAAGCCCAGGAGAGGAAACCTAAAAGTATTCTGTTAAGTTTTTTTTACCACAATCAGTAAAATATTGATCCACTGAAATGTAATGTCAGTTGGTGGTACTTGCACCGTGAAATTAAATGTTGAATTAATAAGTTGTTTATTCTTTCTGATTGAGAATTCACTATTTGTATCCTTTACTTGCTGCTTGTGCCGAATTTGATCAAAGAAACGTTCAACCCTTTTAAATCCGTTGGATCCTTCAGTTAAAATAATGAAGCAAAAAGGAAACTGGTCCCATCACGTCACCGATGATTAAGGAACCACCGTTCAAGTTTTCCTGATTTGAAACAAGCATTCCGCCTGCAGTTTTCGTTACAGAGAATTTGATTATTGAAGTGAGAGGAGAAGATATAGGATCGATGATAAGGTATAAAGCAAAAAAATCCTGAAAGAACAAAACAATTATAAATACACTTGCTTGCAGTGTCACTCACAGTGAGACTGAGTCAAATCTTGAATCATAAGACCACGTAATGATAATGACTACCTGTATCTCCATTAAATATATAATGAACTTATCTCTGAAACAAAATTCCTCGTTTTTTCAGGTAGCAAGTCCGTGGAATTTTGTTTTGCAGTATCATAAGACAGCACATTTATTTCCGAATAAAACAACTGAAGAAACATGCTTATTGATGAAAAAGGAGGATTAAACAATACAGCTAACAGCACAGTCTTAAACAGAGACAGTTCTAAACCATGTCTCCCCTCTTGGACTCTGGATGCCGTCAACGACCCTTCTGTTTACATCAGTGACACTTCAATCATCCTCGTTAACGTTCCATCCGCAATGTTCGCGGTGATCGCTAACCTGGTTGTTATAGTCACCATAGTTCGCTCTCCTTCACTCCACCGTCCAGTTAACGTGTTGCTGTGTAGCCTGGCTGCCTCTGATTTTCTAACCGGCCTAGTTGTTCAACCTGTCTACGTAGCATGGCGCTTTCTGTTGCATCACACTAAAGACCCTTGCAAATTGGTTCATCTTTACCAAGCCAGTAAATCTCTTCCGTTTCTCCTTATCGGTTGCACGTTCCTGCACTTGGCAATAACAAGCGTCGAAAGGTTGTACGCTGTTTGGAAACCAATTGCCTATTCGGTAAAAGTAACACTGCGAGGTATGTATGTACAATTGTGGTAGACCCCTGCCGACCGTTAGAACTCAGATTACGTTTGCTTTGAGAGCTTCAAAGCAAAAGACCATAAATAATCAGCCACCTATGTTTCGTTTTGCTATTAAGCCCGTTGTTTTTGTTGTATTCCGAGTCAAGTTTCTAATCTATTTTTTTGGGCTGCGGAATCGAATTCGAATTTGATTACTGCTTAGACAACAAGGATGGTCTCACATTTCATTCATCTCTTCACAAATGCCAATTCCAATGATTCGCTTTTAGTTTTTCGATCTGGTACAAAAATACAAAGTCTTCCGGTTGTAGCTGCGTGTGAAAGCTTGCAATTGGGTCTCTTAGTGGGCAATATTCAGCTCAACAGGTTGGTAGAAACAGAATCTCTTTATTATCAAGCAAGTTATTTCTTGTGAAAACTCGAAACATGTTTAATACAATTATCATGCAACGGGGCCTTGAGGCCCCATGACTCCGGCCTACGTTCTAGCCAAGTCAGGTTCCGCTTTCAAATCACACATTTTTAGTAGTATCTGAAAGCTTTAAGTTTGCTTTAGATTGCCGGGTCCAATAAGAAAAATAATAAACAAATAAAACAAAAAACAAAAAACAAAAAAGAAAGACTGAAGGAATCTATTTTTTCTGGTACAGATGAGATAATAATTAATTTTATCTACAATTCTCGATAGTTAATAACTCTTAAATTGTACAAAAAATTATATTTCAGGAATGACGAAGATTGTGCTTTGCGCATGGTTAATCTGGTTCATCTACGTAATCCCTCTGGAAACCTCAGCCCATGAGGAAGTTTATCAACCACTGGAAAACATCACAATGATTTTATTGATTGTTATCCCCATCGGCGGACACGTTTTGACATTCTGCGCAATTCGCTCTAACAACAAAAAGATCATTAATGCTACCCACAACTCCCAACAAGCGATCCTTTTTAGAAGAGAGAAAAAGGCTTTTACAGATATGACATTGTACACAGTGGCGACGTTACTGTCCATTCTTCCTATTCTGCTGCTGCTTAATGTGGAAAACAGCATTGTTTCAGGGAATATTCTTTTTCCTTGGGCTTCAACGTTCACTCATCTGATATCCAGTCTTAACCCTGTTATTCAGATTTACAGAAATGCCGCTTTGAGGCAGGCACTAAAGATGGCCCTGTAAAAGTTTTATGCATGGTCACGTTCAATTTTACCTGTTAGCACCCAGGGGAATTTTTGGAATAAGTTCAGCTCTTCTGACCCAACGTTGGCGAATTGTTTAAACGGTATTGTTCAGGGATTGGGGAAGATCGAAAAGAACTTTCCTGGATTTCGCGCAATGGTTGACACACGTCCGCCTGCAGATCATTTGCGACCGATCGGTGAGAGAATTCATCTTGATATGATCTCTCGAAATCAAAATTTGTATACCTTTGTTCAGGAAGCATGTTTAAGTTGTTGTTTAGCTTCCTTTTATGCTATACTCTTCAAAACGAAAGGTTAATAAAAAGGAATACACTTCTTATTCTGATCAGCCTATGCTTAATTCATCTAAATTGTTCTAGTCGAGTGCAGGTCCGTCAGACCTTTTCAACTAACTTTTAAGAACCATCTCAGATCTAGGGATTCATGATCACATTGTTATTCACGCCGGCCCTGATTAACGGAGGTTAAAACTCCAGTCGAAGATAAAGCTATTCTGTCCATAAAGTACAGATTTTCTTTTCAAAGTAAGTAAACAGTAACGTTTACAGTCTGATTGCTACTGTTGATTTCAGAGGGCTACAAATGCAGTTAGTATTTTAGTCTTGATCATTTCCTTTAGCACGTGACTGCTAACGACGGCGAGACCTTCTCGCATTGTAGTTTGCGTAACTGTTGACTCCTTTTGTTCTTGAGTCAGAGGTGCGCTCATCTCTAGCAGGAGCCGGACAGTGACTTTCGTTCCTGGATCGCCGGGGACGTGAATGATCAGGTATTGGCCCTCTCCGTTCTCTGCTTTGCAACGCGTCGTGTCCTGTGCGTCTTTGTCCCGCATATCGATGTGTTTCATCATCTTTTGCTGCCCTACTTCGTGAGGGGTATGGTGAGGATTGGTGATGAGATCGAGAATTTCGTTTTAAGAGGTTATCGGTCCTCTCTGTAGCTGAGGATGATGTCCGACGTACTTCTTCTCGACGTTTTTCCCGTAGTCTTGTGTACTCTGGTCTTCTTTGCTCTTTATGTTTGAAAGACTCAAGTTGTGAGTAGGATTCGGCGTCAGCTACTTCCAGCATACTTCGGCGACATTCACCATCATAACGTGAATCCCAGGACTCTTGATAATGCAAACCCTTCTCCCTATCACGAGGCTGTTCATAATGGCGGCTGTAAGTTTCATTGGTAGATAAAGTCCATTTATCTGAATAATGTTCTCGGGGATCGGTGGACAAAATTTCGGGTTGTTTTATCCCCAGCCAAGATTCCTCAAAACGATCTTTCATGTGGTCTTCCCTCACTTCCTTACGCCCCTTTTGCAAATCTTCTTTCTTTTTTGTCGTTCCTTTTACGTAGCCTTTAGCTTCCGAGTACGCATGCGCAACGGGCGTGTCGTAACCAGCGGTCTGAAAACGGGGCAACGGCTTTTCAACAGAATCACGAGTCCCGTATGCATGATCTTTCAAAATTTCCTCCCGATCTTTTCCTCGGCGAGAAAAATAATCTTCTATCTCCCTGACGTACCAATCACGTAAAAATGAATTTTCCGTGTCTCCAGGCAACAGGTTGGCTTTGACGGCTACGTCCATGCCATGCGCTTTAGGATCCCAGCTAATGATGTAAACATCATCTTCATTTCTGCAGACATCGTTCTTAATCCAAGAGAGCATATCGCTCAGGAACAGCAAGTACTTGTCTCTGTCAAGATTTTCTAGCCCCACGCGGTCCGGAATCTCTTCGGTTTTGACTTCTTGGATACATCGCACGTGACCGTCATAGTCCCGGATACCGTATACAATCAGAGGCACACCAGCTGCGATCGACTGGCACCACCATGGAACGAGCCTCTTTTTGTTGAAAGCCCAATAAGCGCGTACAATTGTATCGGTTGTAATCTTCAGTTCAACATATTCTGCAGGCTGTTCCCCCACACTCTAAAAGAGAAAAATGGTCCAGACAATTTTCATCCCCCCTGCCTAAATTCCCTGCCTCAGCAGTCAGAAACCAAGAGAGAATCTCTCACAGAAACTCTTTCCAAAAAGTGAGATAATCGAAAGAAAACAAACCTTGGCCTAGTAATATTTCGTTATTGTGGGAGCACAATTATTTTAGATTAGTTTGTGATGATTCTGCCATGAATCAATGCAAGCAAAGAACTAAATCGTGATTGTCAAAGCCCATAAATATTGTCAAAAGGTAGAGCTGAAGTATTGAAATGTTGAAAAGGTCAACTGATGAGTTATTTGAAGAACGAACGTTTTTGCTGGTTTGAGCGGAATTAAATTTGAGTAAAATGAAACTTTTATAACTTTTACAATGTTGTGTTTTTGCCCAGGGTCGGGGATTCGTAAGTTAAATTAATAAGACCCGAAAGTAAATGTTTCTTACTTGATTTTCTGCGTCAACCTCTGTCCGCAACGCAATGGTGTGGTTTTCAAGCTGAAATCGCACGACTGAAAAGAACCCTGGGTAAGCCTTAATTGGACCGTGTTTCAATGTTTCCCGCTCTGTTCCCTCATTGGGTGCTCTCTCGTTAGTTACTTCCACTTCAAATCTTTTACCCCAGTAACATACTCTCCTTCCAAAGGAAGACAGGTCTTTATCGTTGTTAGCTTCAATGTGGCTTAGATAAACTGTTCCACGATAACGTGTGGCCAGTAGAGTCCAATCTTTGCCGTCCTTGCCGTTAAGAACGTTGAGTATGCGTGCTAAGTTACCACGTGATGTTACAAAGTCGACGTTGAGCCTGCAGTGGATGATAATTAGATCAGACTCGGTGAAATTTAAGGGGAGGAGGTAATTTTGGACTACCCTGCGTAGCAAGCGGCTAGCAAGCTCGAACTCAAAGAACGGAGCCAAGCGCCTGCTACGCTGGCTAACTTTGGACATTTTAATCAAGGTAATCACCAAGTGTTATAGGTTTATTTCTATCACTGTTTTTTTTCCTGGAGGTAGAATGCTTGCATTCCTGGTTGACAGATAGTATAAAAAGACATATGGCATTTTAAATATGGCTTCAAATCTGTAAATAGCATGTAGTAGGGCCCGTCTTGTACTTACAGCTGTACTTAGGCACCAAAGGAAGTAAGGGAAGGTTTCAAGGTAACACTTCAAAAATTTGTTCCCAAGCCTGGCCGCCTGTTGCAAGGCGCTGTGTCCTCTAGTGTAGGACAGTTAATTCGGTATTTTAGTAAAACAGAGATGTGAACAGTGTGTACAGGAAGGTCAATCCTGGTTGTACGTATTCTAAACATTTTTTGTCAAAAAACGTGCAATTCGCTGAAGAATTTGTGTAAGGGTGGGTGTGTTTGTGTTCTGTTGAGTTCTCTTACTACAGTCCTTCCTTATACCGTTTCATGATTTGTATCTGGGTCATCTTGCCGCGTCCACGCGAGTGGAGGACTGGGTCATCTATGGTCTTTAACCCTTTAAGCCCCAGTATCCACATACAAATTCTCCAAACTGATCTCCATACATTTCCTTTAAGAATTAATTGAGAGAATTTAATAACACATCAAGGAATTTTCTCTTTCGTGATCATTTTTTATATTCTCACAACCTCATCTTTTGACAAAGTATGGACATTGTTAGGAGAAAATTGCTGTTGGTCACTATTGGCACCTAAACCAAGCGAAATTGTTTTCTATCGACTTGAACTCGGAATTAGGTCCCGATATTGGGCAGCGCTTAACACCGAAACACCAGTTTCTTACGCTGAACGATAGTAATGAAGCATAAACTCAGCTAAAAGTTAATAAAAGGATCTCTCAGCGTGAGCCAACCCGCGTTTATTGTTCCCCTTCCCCTCACCCGTGACCCGTGAGGGCGTTTGATCGTTGATTACAATATTTGAAAAATTTACTCGCCCTTTCTTCAACGCAAAATAAGCGGACGCTAAGCTAATTATTAATGGAATCTACAGTTGTCATACTTTCCACTGAGCTGCGTGATGGGAATCATTATGCAGTAGACCATGGACCTGGGTATTTATAAAATGAAAAATAATATACATAATAAAGTAAATACAGACCCAAATTCCGAATTGCGGTTGTAGTCCCACCGAAAATCACCCGCGGTCGTCATTAGTTCTTTGTTGAGCAAAATCCAGTACAACAGAGAATCCAGGTGTTGCTGAACATTTGGCAAGTTTCTCCATTCTTCAAACCCCACATTCAGGTCTATATCAAGATTTTTGCAGGCCTCAGAGGGAGGCAGGCTCAATACGCCTAATTGGGACTTGTCTTGTGAGAACAACCTATCGCGATCGATTGAAAAATAACCCAGTTCACTATGGTAGTACCTCGCGGGTTTGTTAGGTAAAGATTGGTAGGCCGAGTTAACGAAAAACTGCAAGGGATCTCGCAAGCGGCTGGACGACATTTTCAAAACGCAAATTTCGCGGAATTAGAGGTTGTTTGTTTTCACAGTTCCAGGAAAATGCTTCTTTGACCGAGCGAGAACTGAACACGAGGAAATCAACATTTACCCAGGATTCCTTTGGCACAGAGCATTTTAGCAAAGAATGATAACTTTGGCGTGCGTTACAGCGTAGATTTGTGATGGTTATGTGCTTCAAAGTGCTTCTCTTTTGATTAAAAACGAACTGTAATGGACCCAGTTAATAATGATGTCAAAGACGCCGTGTTGGGTAAGCTATTTGTGTACTTGTTAGGTGTTTTCATGCCAGAAATTTACATATGTGTATGCATGCCTGTTTCGAAAATGCAGAGAGCTATTCCCGCTGAAATCAGCGCTTACGCCGGTTATGACCGTAACTTTTCTAGCTAAAAAGCTTGCTTTTGCATGTGATTTGAATGTAATTGTTACGAGCATTTTTAAAATTATTTTTAGTGGAAGCAAGAAACATTTGAAAGTAAGGAACCTTTTCTTTAAATCTCACATTTAAAAGAAAGTGTATAAATGACATCCGGTTGAAGTTGCTCGATGCTCTGAACAGAGTTCAGGATGTGGAAATCGCATGCCATTCGAGAGTGTGTTGAAGGATAAAGTAATTTGAGGCAGAATGAGGCTCAAATTCCTCTGTGTGAGAACCAAAGCAGTGATTTTGTTAGAAATAGTTATGGTGAGTCCTGGGACTCATCGTGTTAAAAATCATGAGTCTCTGTCCATTAAACCAAATGATTCCCAGTTCAAAAAAACAAGGAGTCCTCAATTGAAAATGCATGGACCTTTATGTAACCGAAAAGTTAATCTGAAGACAGGCGCCAAAACTCTTTATTACAGTTTGCTGAAATTAAAATATAGTCCATCTTCTATATAATTATTTAAAGCACAAATAAAGACTAAAATAAATGTTCATCTTTAAACAACAGCCACAGAAATCACACAAACAGGATATTCTACCACAAAATCCTCAAATCAGTTGATTGTTCATTCATCCTACGGGACGCATGCCATGAATTATTTTGCATGTTTGGGGGCTTTTATGCATCAGGGATGCATGATGCAGAGGTAACAAAATCATTAAAACATGATGGTGATAATTATTTGAAAGACACGTCCTCCAATCCTTGTTGAGAATGTTGTGGTGCAAGTGTTGTGGAAAAAATAATTTTTACCTTTTTTATTAATTTATAAATATTTTTAGGTACAACATGTATATTAAACATGTATTTAAAAATAAATGGGGATTCTATTTTAGGAGTTTTTATTCTTAGTATTTCTTATCAATATTCATGTATATTTATAATTTTTTTAATATGCATTATACACAACAGATACATATATGTAGTTATTTAAGAGTAATCTGTTAATGGCTGGGAGGATTTATGTTACTAATATTCTGTAAAAAAAAATGATACCAGCTATCAACATTTTTGTGTGGGATTACATTTTTTTTTTCCTTTTTTGTAGAAGAAATTCTATCATTATTATTTATACGTTTACACTGTATGCAGAAATGTTTTCACATAGATGATTTTCTGCTCAGGGAAGCTGTTTGCATTATAGGTTTTTGCTGATTGAGAAATGCAGTACCAGATTTCTACTTTTATGCATGAAATGTGCCAAATAGTTTGTTCCCTGCTCTACTAAGCAGGGCTTCTTATATTTCGCGCGGTTGCGGAGCCGCAAAATTCAGGTAAATCCACGATGTCCCTGTGAAATTCACGCAAAATACCAGGAAATTCGGCAGAAATCTTATCAAATACATGTCTGTACAGCAATTTTGAAACTTGTCTCAGCTACTGGGGGTATTTACTTGCCGTAAACTCACAAATTTATGTCTCAAAACTTTGTCACTGAAACGTGCAAACAACGTTCCGAAACTACAAGGCGTAGATTATGTTGCGAAAAACTGGGCACTAGCCATGATGTTAAAGGCTTTGCCATTGGTTCATTTCTGGAGCATATTGTTGTTGAAAGAGCAAATGATGACCTCTGTTAGAAAAACATTAAAAACGCTGGTCTGATCAGCGCAAAACCGATCTATTTCTAGCGAGATTTGCCCGAAAATAACCAAATCTGTCGTTTTTTTACCGATTGTTTGCCCCGAAAATTCCTGCGAAATTCCCGCGAAATTGGCTGATTTTTCCGTGATTTTGTCCCTAAAAATCCCGCGAAATTTTACTTTTTTTCCATGACCTATCAGAAGCCCTGACTAAGTAGTAACCTCTCTTGCAGAGTGTTTTTTCTTTCTCATTTAAAAAACATATATTTTCACAGACAAAATCAGCCATTTTCTTTTTTGCTCGACCATAACATCATTATTCCACTATAATAATTATGCCAAGCATTGTGCTCCCCAGATCTGGAAGCAATCAAACTGATATTCTTTTTAATTGCTCTTTGTATTCCTTCTCTGTATTCTAGAGTAAAGTTGATCAACTATACCCTAATATTGATATGTTTTTGCTTCCTTTTGCAGAGGCTGAAAAGTTTGTCTCAGTTACATTAGCAAAAGAAAATTTGTCGCCTGCAGTGGAAAAAGAGCGCAGCCTGCTAGCAGAAAAGTTGCAAAAAGTTAAAACGCAGTTAGGTCTCCAAAGTGATTTGCCTGGAGGTGGTAAAGCCCCACCACGCCCACCAAAGGGTGGTGTACCTCTTCCTGTACCAGTAACGACAGAAGAACCGGTGGCTCCAGCAGAACCGGAGGAACTATATGATGATGTAGCAGGTAATTGTAGCCTCCTCATTTACTTACTGACTGTCTATTATTGTAAGTACATGTAAGTGTTTATTTCATTTTTTTTTTGCAACTGGAGGTCTAGAAACTTTGATCTCGTGCATCTCTCTTGGCCTTTATTTACCTTATATTTTTGATTCACTTTTAAATGACAAAATCTCAGCTTCATGTACATATAATGAAAGTAAGTAATGCCTCCCAAGAGTTTTAAATCATATTAAAGCTATAAACCACAGAGAGTTACTAACAGTGTACATGTAACTAAAATAACTAAGAGGCTAAGGAATATAGTTTTCTTAATCATACTCTATTCTTCTTCTTCTTCCGTTACCATTATTATTATTATTATTATTATTATTATTATCTCTTCTGTCACAGCCTTTGCTGGTGTTCTTTTTTGCATCAGCCAGGTACAAACCATGCATTTTTGTGCATTTTTGCCTTCTTTTTTATTTGCTTTGTAACTAATTTTCCTCTTTGCAGGGCTTCTGATATTTCGCGGAAAACAAAGCAAAATTTCGCGGGATTTTCAGGGGCAAATTCGCAGAAAAATCGGCCAATTTCGCGGGATTTTCGCGGGAAAAAAGTCAAAATTCGCAGAAAAATCGGCCGATTTCGCGGGATTTTAGCGGAAAAAAGTCAAATTTCGAAGGATTTTCAGGGGCAAATTCTTAGAAAAATCGGCCGATTTCACGGGAAATTTCAGGGGGAAACTTCAAGAAGCAATCAGTAGAAAACAGCCGATTTCGCTGGATTTTTTTGGCAAATTTCACTAAAATCGATCAATTTTGCATCGATATGACCACCGTTGTTTAACATTTTTTTAACAGGGATAATCCTTTGCTCTTTCAACAACAGTTCACTCAAGAAATGAGCGAATGCTAAAGCTATTAACATTATGGTTAGTGCCCAGTTTTTCGCAACGTTCATCTAAAAACGCCTGGTAGTTTTGGGACGTTGTTTACTCATTGCAGTGACGAAGTTTCAAGATAAATTTGGACGTTTGGGGTGAATAAAACAGGTCTAATAGCCAAGATAAGTATTAACCCATTCGCCCCTGAACCGCCCGTAACCGCCCGTGCGGATCCAGGTCCTTTCTACCCTTTGTGACGTCATCAGTTTTAACGGTCAAGGACAACTTTCTTTGCACACGTGTGCAGAGTGAAGAGATCTCTCAAGCCATACCAGAATGAGCACAATTCAGTCAAGGACACCGGAGAAAGAAGCAAAAAACCACGTGACAAGGACCCCTGAAAATCTCCATGAAAATCTTGTTCCATTACCCACCTACCCTTCCTTGCACCTAATCCTAAGGTCCTAAAAGCTTTCCTAAAAACTCCTCCCACCAAAATGAAGCCTACTAAATGCCCAGTAAGAGAAAAAAAAAATGAGGCAAGAAAAGCGAAAAAAGAAGGGAGGAGAGAAAGCGAAAAGTAAAAGTCAAGACTGCTATGTCACTTTTAAACCCAAAAACTATGTCGAAATTTTGCTTTCTGCGCATGCCCGAACTTCGCAAGCTGATATTTTGCATCTGGATCAGAAGGCCGCCAAGTGTACGACCTGTAAACCGGTTTGTGGTAAGTTTTAGCTCTTTATAGCACGACAGTGACCAGAAAACCACTCGACTAGCTTCAAAACGCGTTTTTCGGCAAAATCTCCAGGAGCGAATGGGTTAAATATGTTTTGCCAACATGTATTGGGAAATATTTCTGGCGGATTTTGCGGTATCTCGCGTTTTTTTGGGAATTTTGCGGGATTTCGCGGAAATACCTGAATTTCGCGGGTCCGCGACCGCGCGAAATATCAGAAGCCCTGTCTTTGACAAAATGTAACTTGGTATCATAACTATTTTATAGTTTACTCAACTGCTGTCCAGTTCATCCGTCAGTTGTCTTTCATAACTGCTTTTACAAGGACCCTTTAAAGTTTATTGTTATTGTTTTGTTATTGTCCAGGTGTCATACCCAGTGAAGCCAATGCTGCAGCAAAATCAAGCAGTGCCAGTGAAACCTATGAGATCATGACTGGAGAAGCAGACACAGGTGCAACACCAGCCTCACAAGGTGATGGAGGAGAAGATTATATGGCCATGGATGAGGAGATTCCTCAAGAGGATTATGAAGAACCACAACCAAATGAACCAGATAAGCAGCAGGCTTCTACAATACAAGAAGAAGAGTATGAAATGCCAGGGGCTGATGCTGACTACGAAGGTAATTAAATTAATTTACGGGAGGCAGTGTCGCCAAGCAGTTTTAGACTGCTGGACTTGTAATTCAGAGGCTCTGAGTTCAAGTTCCTCCTTGACTGCTAGCTGCATCTGTTGTCGGTAGTCCCAAGTTCAAATTGTTATCACTTATTATTATTACTGCATGGGCTGTAGAAAGGAGAGTTATTTTCTGGAGTTCACGTATGTTGATGTTGCCATGGATTTTTTGGGAGTATTCTGTTTTCCATGTCCTTCTTGATGGTGCCAAGGGTTCCCATAACCGGAACTGTTGTTGTTTTGAGCCCCCACATTCGCTCAACCTCGATTTCCAGGTCATTGTATTTGGTAAGCTTTTCTGTGGTTTTGACTGAGGTGTTAGTGTCGAGGGGTATAGTCATGTCAATGAGAAGGCACGTTTTATCCTTCTTGTTCTTTAGGACAATGTCCGGCCTATTAACCGCTTTGGTCCTGTCAGAGTGGATGGGCATGTCCCACAGAATAGTGACTCTGTCATTCTTGGTGACAGCCCTGGGTTCATGCTCATACCATCATTCCTTCACCTCAATGCCAAACTCTTTGCAGATCTTCCAGTGCATGTGTGCAGCTGCCTTGTTGTGGCGGTGAATGTATTTAGTTTTAGCCAGTTTGGGGCAGCCAGAGACCAGGTGGTCAATGGTCTTGTCGAAATGGCCACACAGTCTACATTTTGGGTCCATGTCAGGCTTCTTGAGGATGTTGTGTTGGTACCAGCATGTTGGGAGGCTATTATTATTATTATTATTAAATTATTATTATTGTTAATGATATATGAAACAAATCATATATGAACTGCGGAAATGAAATGAAAATGAAGAAATGATCGTTGCAGTGAATGCAATTTATGCAATTGCGAAAAGAAGCCTGAAAAACAAAAATTCAGGACTTCAACGGGTTCAAACCCCGTTGAAGTCCTGAATTTTTTTCAGGCTTCTTTACGCAATTGCATAAATTGCATTCACTACGACGATCATTTCTTCATTTTCATTATTATTATTATTATTTTCATCGTTAAGCTTTAAAAAAACTGTAGAAACCCCGTTGAAGTCCTGAATTTTTTTCAGGCTTCTTTACGCAATTGCATAAATTGCATTCACTACGACGATCATTTCTTCATTTTCATTATTATTATTATTATTTTCATCGTTAAGCTTTAAAAAAACTGTAGAAAAACTTTTCTTAGAAAACATTTTTAAGACATTTTTATAAAGTTATTTAATAATATTATAATACAACATTTCGATGTTCTCGGATTTCATCATCAAGTAAAAGAAATACAGTATGAATGTTCTGTAAATACAAGAAAAACAATAGTTCATTAAAAAAAAAGTAACATATAAAAATATGTTACAAGTTAAACTCTGCTTAACTTTTACTTGTGCAGTGTTCAATCTAGGCCACATTTTTGCGTCATTGATGCAGAATATTTTATTCTGGCACAAAATTAAATTATTGTGGAGTCATACTGACATGAAAAAAAATTCCCTTGTATTACTACAGTTGACTCCCGATAACTTGAACCCTCACTTACTCGAATCTCGTGCTAACTCGAACCAAAATCGATTTCCTCTGGAAAAAAGACTGAAGAATACATTTCGATGCTCTGCATACAATTGATTCATGCTTCGTTTACCAACTTTGTGCTTTCATTTTTTTTTTCCATTTTAAATTGAAAACAAAAGCAAATTTCATTTCTTGTGCAAAAGATAATGGCAGTTGAGTTGTTTGAGCTTTTTTGTCACCTTTTAGTGAGAATCGGTCAATCATTTTTTAAATGTGTCAGCTTTGGGATTATAATTAGGCCACTTCATACAGCTGTACCCCCTGCAGTTCTAGCCTCCATGTTGATGTCATCAGTATTTAAATGTTTACTGCAATAAAGGAATGAAAACTGTTAAGAGCATAAAACTATATTACTGAAAATTAAGATTAATTAAGATTGAAAATTATTTGATACGCTCGCAAAGTGTAGTGAAACAGTTTAATATTGAACTTGAATGGAAATTCACTCGTTCACCCACTCCATTGCTTGCATGCTCTAAACCTTATCATGAACAGGTTTCAGAAAAATGATACTCTGATTTATCCTCCTAGACTTTTATTTAATTGCAGCTTGATGCACACACTTTTTTTCTCGTACGTGTCATGTTGCGTTACATGCCCAGTAAATGTTATTGAAATCGAAAGAAATTGCAACTGATTCAAACTATCAGGGTTGTCAGAAAGTGTTGACGTAGATGGCTGAGTTATCAAAGTAAGCAGCCGTCCAGGGCTATTTTATTGTAAAAACGTTATCCGTAAAGAAATGCCAAGCAGAGTCGCTGGCCGATAATTAACCAAGTTGGTGATGATTTTCACTGGCAGCTGGCTACTGTTGATAACCCTGACTATTTGAAATGTCATTCTTTACACACAGCAAGTGCTTCCCTTTCTATTGGAAACTATTAGTTCCATTTACTGTCCCCCAATATGATGTTTTGTAACCTTTTTGAGCACAAAAAGGAACTTTGACACCACAGGGAGTTTAGTTTGATTTTTTAAGTCACTTCCTGTGTCTTCTGTGTGTTTAGTGACAGATACCAGTAAACCCCCTGCAGACAATGTTCCTGATGAGTCAGATGAGATGTATGAATGTGCCGAGCTTGGTACTGGTTCAGTTGATGGTGTTCCAACCTTGGAATATTTGACAAAGATCACAAAACCAGATGATATCAAAGGTGTCATTAAGACAGGTAGGTATTATTTTTATACAATGTTAAAGAAGTATATTGAGTTCCATTATAATTGGACAGTCTGTGAAAAAATATGGAACAGAAAACCAACAAACAAAAGCTAACCAAAATGAAAAGAAAAATTATACAGATACATACAAGTTGCTAAGTTTGCCATGCCCAGTTTAATACATGGGTTAACTGAAAACTTTAAGTTTATAGTTTGTGTTGTCTTGTGTCTCAACATTCAGTTTGGTCCTTGGATTAGACACTCAGTTTCGTATCCTAACATTGGTGATATCTCTTCAGGTTTCCTCAACAAACGTCGCAAAGAAGGCAAAGTTTACATCGGAAGCAAGTTTCAGAAACGATACTGTGTTGTGCGCAATCATATCATGTACTACTTTAAAGACAAGAAATCACCAAAGCAACAAGGAAGCATCTTGTTACCAAATTATAAAGTAGCTGTTGCTAACAAGAAAGGCCGTGAGTTTATTCTCACTTTGGATGGCCAAAGGCCATTTCAGGTACTTGATTTGTTAAATAACATCAAATATTTTGTGGTTTTTAGTTTGTGTCACATTGGTTTCAGAAGCTACACAATCATTTTTTCCCAACCTGAACATCTTTAGGATCTCCCAATGATCTTAACAAATCTGTGCCACATTATTCCCAGTCTGAAATTTTGTCAGTACTACCCTTATTCAAGGCATTTAGAAATGAATGATTCACTTAGTTAATTCTCTTATGCTGTCTGATGCTTTCTTAGTAATATTCATGTGATAACAGCCAGCTGGAATAAGTCAATGATGAAAATTGGTAAATTAGTGCAAAATTTCAAAAATACCTTGGAAGTGTTTACATAGAGTGTTATGTAATAATCGTCAATGATGATGTCTTCGACATTATATTTTTATTATTATTTTATTGTTAAGAGTCTGATAAACCCTTGCATCATTAGTATGAGCTTTTATAGACTGTCTTTATACACTGTAGTTTCCAAAGCGGTCAAGATTAATCAATTCACTTTCCTGACCGAAGAGTTAATTCCAAGACCATTCCTTAATGTGATTAACATGTCTGGTATGTCCAGGTCAAATTATTTTTAAGGATGATTTATCTGTTATTAAATAGTTCGAGGCTAACTCTAAGAAGGAAGCTGAGGAATGGATATCAGCGATACAAAGTGCCGCTGATGCACCACTGGTAGGTAATCATAATCTAGATGAACTGCGTAACAGGCAACACTCGGATGATGAAAGCAGCTTACATTATGAGAAGAGTGGTATGGAGGAGCCTGAAGTAAGAGCTCAAAATGATGAGGAAATGTATGATGACACCAAAGAAGAATTGTATGAAGAAGTTGGTAGTATTCAACCTGCCACTCCCAGCCAACAGTCCAGTCAACCAATACAGTATGAAATTTCCACAGCAGTTGCTACCTCTCCCAAGCCAGGTTTGACTGAGCAGTTATATTTATTAAATAAATAAATTTTATTATTTATTTATGCATTCATTTATTTATTTTTCTCATTACATTGATCGGTATTATTTAGAGACACAATCCCTCGAGATGAATAGTGCATTTGCTGTTTTTTAACCTACAATCATGTACAGAAGTATTGGGACACTTTTGCATTTTTGGGGCGTTTTCGAGTTCACACAGGCCCAACCCCTCCCCTCACCCCACAAACAAAGTTGGAAGCATGTATCGAGAATTTTTTCCGAGTTTTAAAAGAAAATTTCAAAAAAGGATGTACTGTTTTATGAGGCAACCCAGAAATAACAGAAAAATATTAATACTGGATTACTGTCCCAAGGACTTTTGTTCAAGATTGCAGTCATGAACAGACGTCTCGGAACATTTTACATTTTTGGGGGGTTTTCCAATTCACACAGGCCCAACTCCTCCCCTCACCCTACAAACAAAGTTGGAAGCATGTTTCCAGAATTTTTTTCGGAGTTTCAACTTTGTATAGGGTGGGGAGAGGGAGAACTGCAAGAAAATTTCAAAAAGGATGTAGTATATTAATACTGGATAACTGTCCCAGGGACTTTTGTCTATGGTTGTAGCTAGGAAAATAGCCTACATTTTGAGACACCATTGCTCAGATGTCATTTCTGGCAATCAGTGGTAGCGTTGCAAAATGGACAAATCCCCATTTGGAATGTACCTACTAAGAGGGGAGGGGGATGGGCAAAACCATCTAAAGGAAAATATTAAATAAAAGCGAAGTTAGAGGAGGTATCGACATTTTATCACACACCAGATAACAACATTCCATTTCCGTCTTTTAACAGCTGAACCTTCACCCGCAACACCCTTGGTAGATGAAGATTATGAAATAGCAGAACAGCCAACTGCTCCTGCTCCTCCCCCACCACGCCCTTCCAAGCTACAAGCACCAGCACCTAAAGACGACACCGCTCCTGTTGTACCTCCACCACGCCCAACTAAACAACAGCTCCCCACCCCACAAGAGGAAGAAATGTATGAAGAAGCTGATACTCCTGCTACAAACCTTCCTCCGCCTCCAGCTCCTGAAGCGGATGTAGAGTTGGAGAATTATGAGGATCTGGATACAATTCAGGAGCAGGTTTTACCTCCACCACCTCCAGTCTCGGCACCAGCCCCAGTGCCTACTCGACCTCCTAAACGTAAAGTTTCTCCGCCTTCAAAAAATGCTGGCCAGTCTGCAAAGCCACGTAAGTGTTGTTTCTGGTTTCTGTGCCTGACATATTTAGGTAGCGTTTCCGTTCTGTGTAACTAACTGGTGAAATTTCGAACTGCTTCAGTAAAATGGAGTCAATAACTTACTTTACATGTACATGTAGCTGCAACGTGTGTTGATTAAGCAAAACTCTTCATGGAGAGAATGTAGGTGGTTGAAGTCTCAAAAACGTTTGCTTTTTTTTCGTTCTGCCTCAGTTCTTAATGACCAGGTTAAATTAAACATTTCATGGTGGCTAAATCATAAATTGACATATAATAGTATAAAATGTGCCGCAGGCGATGAGTGGGTGGGTTGAGTGGTTGTACACAATACCTCAACATTTCATATTAATGGACACTGCGTTCTTTGTCAGCACCTTTGCTCTGTTTGCACACCTTTAGCATAAATAAGCGAGAGACCTACATGTAACTAAACAAAAAGGATAGCTGCCTTTACGGCAATTGCGTGGTTAGTTTTCAAACAAGGGACGATAACTCATTTTTTTGATTGTCGTTGTTGTTGTGGGTCAAAGGGGTTGGATTAATTTAATTGCCACAGCGTAGATGGACAAAAGGACTAATGAACTAGCCATGGTGGTGAAAGACATTCGTGCGTTAAGGGACTCATTCGAGCCCAGATTGGATGAAGTGTGATGGAAATTTGCATGGACCGAGCTTAAAAACTCTAGTGTTAAAAAATATAAGTGAGAACAGTTTAGAACTTGGAAGGACTTGGACAGAGAGACAATTTTAGTTTATTCGATTAATAGTTTTTGAATTCGCTTGGTAGTTTTTTTGTGAATTTGAATTCGGTCAAATTGTAAAATTCGTAGCTAATAGTTTGTGTACAATTTTTGAATATAGTTCATGCTCGTGAACATTAGATTAACGCTAAAAACAGAAACTAAACAGAAACTGCTTTTTGAAGTGTCAACTTTCACGTCTGTCATCAGGATGTAAGTAATGTATTTGCACTGTGAGACTTATGCTCGCCGAACAATCAGTGCAAATAAGGATTCTGCAACTATTATTGCAGTAGGATCGAGTCTGCTTGATAAGATGATCGTTTCAGTGATCTTCTGTCACATTTTCATCATTTGGGCAGTAGGGCATTTTTGAGCTTTCGTCCTCGTAAATGTTGGTATGAGATCCATCTGGGAGAACTGATCTTTTTTGGTTTTAAAATGAGCAGTTCAGAAAGATGCGTCTCCTCCATGGATGATTACCCCATGGCCCATCGCCGGGAGGCCCGGTATGTTTGGATAGAGACAACAGAGATGGCCAAGGCTAACATATCCGTTACCCTTCAGATTCAGCTAACAGCAAGGATGGAACCAGCCGGAGTAGTGATGTGTGGGCAGAAAATGTGAGCTGTTACTGCGGAAGAAAAATCAAGTCACGGGATACATCTTCTTGCACAACAGAAGGAAAACGCGCCAGATGTCCTTGTCTTCGCAATGGAAGGTCTTGCACAGCAAAGTGTAAATGTCGCTTTTGCGGGAACCGTCCAAGGAAGGAAAGGAGTGCGACGGGGTGCCGATGTGGAGAAGAGAAATACAAAAGAACAAATGACCCAGATTTTGTATCATGCATTGACTCGGAAGGGAAAAGGAAGACAAAGTGTCCTTGTTACAGCAGTGGAACGGGATGTTATGATAGATGCAGATGTTTAAATTGTAAAAACAGTTTTGGCGCCACGGACAGACCTTTTAGGATTCCTCAGCCAAAGCCACCGGGGAAACCGGTCCCTAAAATCGTTGGCTGTAGATGTGGAGAAGGGAGAAAAGACCCAAACCCTGGGTTCTTAGCTTGCGTGGACGTGCAAGGGAAGCGATCTACAAAGGCCACGAGATGTCCATGTTTCAGAGCAGGAATAGTATGTCAAGAATATTGCAAGTGCTTAAACTGCCAAAATTATGGGGATGATGATGGCAGTTCCTCACCTAAACGACTTTGTACCGTCACTGTTGTCTTAGACAGCGCAGAAGAATATCCGCTTTTTTAAAAAAACAGAAGCAAGGCTCACTTGCAGTTGCTTGTGTTGAGATGAGACGTAATTCTATAGCTAGAAACAAAAAAAGGGGGGAAAAGAAGAAAAAAACGTTAGGCCTACGTCACGCATGCCAGATTGTTTACAAGGCTGACTGTTGTTGTACAAAGATCTTTCTTAACTTGTGCATGGTTTGTTTTTGTACGTATCCGGAAATAAAAAATACATTTCAAATGCGCAATAAGCTTCTGTATATTTAATTAGATCGTTTTGTTAATCAATGACCGCGGTTTTGCCCGTCCCTGTACTCTTCATTGTCTTCTCCGCGCAAATCCGTATTCCGGAATCGGACTTGAGCCTGCCGTGTGCTGCTCTTTCTTTTTTCCTCCACACTGTTCCATCGATAAATTACTAAGCCACATATTTTCCCCTCAATCTAAAAAGCTACAGTATTTTGTCAAGAGATTACGGCTGGGACACATTTTTGGTGCTGTTTATTTATCTATAGCGTGGTAACTTATACTTTGACCTGTGGAAAGGGAGTTGTCTAGTTATCGCGTTAAGTAGGTGAAACTCCGTCAACCCCATACGATCATTAATGCACGCTTAAACGACGTGTCCACCTGAGACTTTATCCTCTCTGAGCCATCCACATTAGTAAGCTCTTATTCTCAGTTAGATGTAAGTCATCTTAAGACACAATATGGACACCTGTTTGTGTAAATTCTGAAATTTATGCAATTTCTAAAAGCCATTTGTTAAGCTGGTTTTCAACAGATTAGAGTCCCAGTCGATTTGTTGTTTCGTCTCCCTCCGTCTAAGTGGCCGCCTGAATCTATCTCACGTTCTCTACAGCCCTACAATATGCGCGTGGCACTCAGACCGGTAACCACTTTACGGCGACTGCTTACGAATGTCAAGGACAAATACAGACCGGAGGACAGACAGGGAGCCATATACAAATGATACGACTCCTAGGCTACTAACATCGGAGAGACCGGCAGAAACCTTAATACGCGACTGACTGAACACAAACGAGCAACAAGAAATGGTGATATCAAGAATAACATTGCTGAACACCACTTATGGCGAAACACCAAATCGACTGGGACTCTGCGACATGCAATACATATTCTACAGACTACTATTAACGACTCACTTTTAGAAAGCTAGTTTACTAACAAACGCCTCTGAATCGTACTCAACAAAGACGACTGGAAAGCCCACAGATTAAAATAGTCTAACGAAGAAATGACCGTTTAACTATGACAAAAGACGGATACAAACGCGTCAATCACATCTGGAGTGCTCATAGCCTTAACTGACAGAAGACCAATAACATCGCGACTCGATTGACCAATCAGGTCAAATCAAATCAAATCAAATCAAATATTTATTATGTAAGAATACATAAAAGGAAACGTCAGAGGTTCTCCCTATCGAGGACGCTCCCTACATAAAGTATAGAATAAATATACTACAATATAAAATTTAAGAATAATTAAAAAATGGCTAAAAACTGATTACAAAATTTTACAATACTTTCTAAGTTTATTTCGAAAAATGCTGAAATCCTTTATGAAGAGCGTCCCACTGTTTAATAATTCTAACAAAGAATGAGTGCAAAAAACAATTTACTCTAGTTAATGGCTGTCTTAATTCAAATGAATGGTTTGATCTTGTTTTACCATAAGAATTAAATTCAAAATAATCATTACAGTTAAGGCCATTAAGACCATGAATAGTCTTGTAGCACTCTAGCAAAGTTAGATAAGACCTCCTTGATTGAAGACTGGACCACCCAAGCATTGCCAGTCCTTCTGCGTACGGAGAGTCCCTAGATGACATCGGGAGAGCGTATTTCGAGGCCCTACGTTGGACTCGTTCAAGAGCGTCAATGGTCCTCCCTAAATAGGGTGACCAGAGAGGGACAGCATATTCGAGAAAGGGTATAACCAAGGCCTGGTACAGACGAGAAAAGACTTCCTTGTTCCCTGGACCAACATTCCTTTGAAGGAAACCCACAATCTTGTTGCCTTAATTTACAACTTTCTGCGTTTGGGTGTTCCAGGATAGATTAGAAGTCAATGAGACCCCCAAAATCAACCGTTTCGGTGACAGACTGAAGCGTACAACCAGAGAGCTTGTAAGGATAGCTAGTATGATCTCTCGCATGGGTAACACGTAGAACCTCATATTTGTCAGGGTGAAAACGAAGTTGCCAATTTTCACTCCATTTCTGTAGCATGTTGAGGTCACACTGAAGTTGTTTCTCGTCGTTTTCATCGTAAATAATCCTGTAAACAAGGTCATTAACTATAGTTTTTAAATACCATTAACTGACCATTACACAACCCACCTCTGTTCTAAAGATGACCACGGCACAGGTTGTCGCAACGTCAGTCATCAACAGTCCTATTCAGGACTACGCTCAATCGGACGATCATATTCAATCTACTTGTAAAATGTTAGGGTCGGTTATTTAAACGAAGTCTAACATAGACCGCGGTTTATGAAATCATCTTCTTAAGGGGTTAATTCAAGAAAATAAGTGCTTAATCTTTCTCCGCTTACCTATATTTTCACCAAAATATTTGGAAGCACCCTTTTCTTATAATTGTATGCTTCACGCAAGTGCATTTTAAGCTCTTTCTATCGGAAATTATTATATAGCTGTTATTGTCATTCTCATTTCTTTAGTCATTAGAGGTGATGGAAATACTTTCTTTCAGACTTAAGAGCCCACAGAGGCTGGCCTGCGAGCAAGCTCTCCGGGGCGCTCTGGCGGCGGGGCAGGAAAAGGAAAGAGAGTTTGCAACTACGTCTGTGGAATTCGAATTCCGACTCCAATTCCCAATCAGCATTTCGCAGCGACTTTTTCGATGCAGATATTCAAATTCCAGAGACGTAGTTGCAAGCTCTCCTTCCTTTTCCCGCCCCGTTGCCAGAGCGCCCCGAAGAGCTTGCTCACAGGCTACACAGAGGCAAAGGTATTGGACTTAATTTGCACAATATCGCGAATTATCGCTATATAATTTCGTTCATTTTTGCAGAAGAAAAAGTTCCCGATCGACCGGAACGCCCGCCCACTGCCCCCAAGCCTGCACCGCCCGTACCGAGACGATCAGACGACCCGCCTGAAGAGCCAGCCAACGAAATCAACTACGCTAATGTATATCAAGCGCTGTGGAACTGTGATGCTGCCGATAAAGACGAGCTACAATTCAGACGGGGAGATCTTATTTACATTTACGAAAAACCACACGCTGATTGGTGGATAGGATCCCTATTCAAACCTCAGGGGTACAGTGTAGGGCTGGTACCTAAAGATTATGTTATGGAGGCGTATGAGTTTAGCGCAGCATAGCAGGTGGCGAGAGATTTGTTACGGAAGCGAGACGCGTCATTGCGTAATTTGTAAACGCTTATTTATCATAATAATAATAAAAGAGAGGAGTCCTGGAAAAAGTCACATGAGATAAACGAAAGCCCCCCAGGCATCCCTTCCCCCTTCCTTCCTAGGCTTTGGAATCTGGAATACAACTCAAGGAGTCCGGAATCCAATCAACGATTGGAATCCAGAATCCAAGTTCCATTGACACTAGAATCCAGTATCTGGAATCCGAAATTGACGGCGTGGAATCCAGAATTTCCTTACATGGGGCGAAACGAGACCTGTAACATGTATCTCCGTGACGTTATTTTAGATGACAGATGTACCCTGAAATTGTCTCCTCCAATTTATCAGTTTTTCTCAGTATAATTGTACAAAGGGAGATGAAAGGATGGGATTTTTTTTTTCCAATACGAGAACAGTTATCAAGACAAAATTTGTGTTTAAAACAAATAATTAAAAAAACAAACAAAACAGCCACCACAACAAAACCCGAAAATGTACTGAGGTAGAAACTATTTTTGAAATCTATCTTAACATTCTCTTTTTTTAAATTTACGATTATCTCTAACCATATATTTATACAACTTTTGATTACGGTTATTTTTTACCGATATTGCTGAGCGAAAAAATTGAGTTATCATTATTTTAATTTTTATTTTGTAATAGAGATTGCCAGTATTTTTCTATAACAAGATTTTATACTACTGTTGATAAACCCTTTTATACAACGAAATTATTTCTCTACCTAGTGTATTATTAGTTTTAGTCATGTTAACGCGTTTGAAGTTACAGATTTGTACTTTCAAAGTTATCCATGCTCTTGCACTTCATTTGAAGATTTAAATACAAAACCAATTTTGTTGTAGAATAGCATTTTAGTGACTTATGTTACTGTATTGGTAGTCCGTCTAAATGTAGATGTCGGCAGTTTGATGCAATCATCACAATTGATGTAAAACAAGAATTTTATACGGATTTTAATTTGCGTTTTCAAAGACTGAAAAGTCAACAACCGAGAAAATTTGCAGCAGTTAAAGGATCCGTTTTTTTCCCCATTAGTATGATATAAAGCAAATGAAGAACGTTTAAAACATATTGCGAAATTCTCGTTTTAGCTATGAGAAAAAAAACCTTTTATTTGCAGCGAATAAAGCGCTTCCCTGATAATTGATGAGTCACCACCTAATGATCAGGCACATGGAACAACATGGCGTGCAATAGTGCGCAAGATAAGCACAAGCCGCGCTGCCTCGTGCCTAGACGTCTCTCTCTCGATGAAAATGTGCGCGCAAAGGAAGGCGGGAAGGAGACAACGGGCTTCGCCTGCCGTCTGTACCCTTCCCATGGTCCCTTGCGGTTCATCACCAGTCACTCGTTTCGCGCTCGCCTCTGCCATGCGAAAAACGAAGCGCCTGAGGAGGAGGCTGAGCCTCGCGCGTATATGCAGCAACTTTTTTGATGAATAATGCCCTCTCCTCCCTTAGCTATTTTGCAAAGACAGCGTAAGCCCCATTTACACCACATTCCTTTTGGGTCCAGCACTTCTCAAAATGGGAACGTGGGGGTCGTCATTTGTGGCACGCCTCGACTGTTTTTTTGCCCTGTAAACGCAAATTTTTTGGCACGCGGGCCGAAAAAAATCAGGCAGGCAAGAGAATTTGGGGGCCCTTCGGTCACCCCATAAGTTGACTAACACACGCGCAAACACCCAATCCTCGAGTTATTAGTTGCAATCTCGTTTCCAGAGTCTTCCGGCATTTTGGTCAGCGGGGCCGGCAAAAACTCAGAAGACTGTGGCAACGAGATCAGTGTATGATAATCAGTATCAATGGCTGAGTTTATTCGGGCCGGGTATGAAAATGTGGGCTCTGTCATTAGCACCAAAGCACCCATTTGGAAACCCTTATTTCTGACTTCCCCAAATAAGTTTTGCAATAGTTTTATTTTCGAATTTGGAAGCGAGACAATACAATGTAATCGCTAGTCGATGATTTGGAGTATCCTTACCAGCAATTTCTTGGAAATATCCTCGAGAAAATGTTCAAAGTTCCACGTGTTACTCTGAAGTTTGAGTATCATACTGACCATCGGTAAATCTTGCTTCAACTATATCAAACCGTGCAAAAGAGTGAGGATGTGCCCAAACCTCTCTCAGTCGCGGAAGATTTAGGAAGCTCAGAATCTGTAGAATAGCCTGCAAAAGGCCGCCTTGTCGACTGTCGACGCTTAATTACTTTAAACGGTTGTTTAGATGTTGAGCTTGTTTCGTTTCTTTCGTTTTTTAATTTCGTGAGCTGGAAAGCCATAAAATTGTCTGTTAAACTCGTGTATCCGCCTTTTTTTACTTCTGTGACTTCAAAGTTAATTAACCGATTAAATATTAAAGATAAAACACAACGCCCGAAAAATTATGCTGATCGCTTTAGCGTGGGTGACTTTTGGCGAGAAATTTATGTTACCCGCCTCTGGAAGCGCTGTAAAAATGCTAGGTGGCTCAACTTAAGAGTTCCTTCCTTTGTCCAGAAGTGCCCGCCCGAAATCAACATTGAAACAAATCGAAGACATTTTTGTTGTGTAAATGACGCACGACGTGCCCTATACTATCGGCCCGCCTACCCAACTTTAGAAGTGTCGTATCCGAGAAGAATGTCGTGGGTGTAATGTCCAATGAAAACGAGACCTGTTATACCAATTTGCAGTTATGCCATAAGTCAAGTCGGTTTCTAGTTCTTTGTGCGCCGTCTCCGCGTTGTCGACGTCGTGTTTGGGTGTTTGCTAAATCTGAATGATCAGGACTCTTCTACATTGCCGCATATTACTAGCTTATGCTCGTGTCACCCCAAGTTTTAATCCACCGTTTAGGTTTAATACGACCACTGAACTAAGCAAAGATATTGCGGCTCTCTAGCTCCACAAAGTCGCGAAATTTTACAGACGTCTTTATACAAATATTTGTTAACTTTTTTGACTTTGCACGGCCATATCCTCGTTAGTTTCACACAAATCATTTTCAAACTTGGCAACTTAACCTGGTTTTCAGAGGGCGTTCTTTCCAGCCGCGTGCTTACTGATCCCAGTCAAAAGTTTAAAAACATAGAAAATGCACCGCATATTTTATAAATAATACACGGTCTTTATTACCAGCCAAAGAGACAACCATGATGTTAAAATTTAATGTTTCAGACTTCGAATCATCTTCCTTAGTTAAAGGTGACTAAATTTGGAGTCTTCGTCATGACTGGCGTCATTGTCAAGTTCAGCATGTTTTTCACAGTCGAAAAGATGTTGCTTTTCTTTCGATGTGGCTTCTGTTTTCATGATTTTCTCCTTCCAGTTTTCAAAGAATGTTTGGAAACCTTTTTGTTCAATATGACGAAATCTTTTCTCCTTCGCAAGACGGCGATTTGTATCTCCCTGGAATACAACGGAAGAAATGGCAAGTTAAGTAGCGGCAGGGTAGATTCGATCATCCTCGGTGCTCCTGGGCAGCTTACTGGGAAGGGACTTGGGTGGTCGCCAAGGAAGTTTTACTTGCACTGTAAAACCCCGTTAAAGAAAAGAAGAACGAATTAAGTGAAAAAAGAAAAAAAACCAACAACAACAACTGAGTACGCTTACGTACCTTTAGGATAGGTCTCCTACAGGGCAGCATGTAAGCTCGTTCAAGAGTTTCCATCATTCGTTCATTTGGCTTCACTCCATCGCGTGTCATTCTCTGAGAAATAGAGCAAATTAACGTTACCATTACAATGCCCACACAAAACGTCAGCTCATGGAAGGACAGTATAGATCCCTATAGTTACAAAGAAATCACGGTAATCCGACAAAAATAACAAGACAGCGCAGTGCAAGCGAGGGCCATTTGTGCGCATGCACAGGGAAGCCTAGTCTGCGTAGCTGTTAAAGCGTAACTGGCGGTTTGTTTGGTGAAAGAGAAAAAAAGAGAGGAAAAAGCTGCCAATTTGAGCGCTCGGACGAGCGGCGAAGCCGACGTATTCCCGTCGTAGCTTCGCGCGCGTTTTAGCAGCCTTTCCCCCCTCAGGTCAAACAAACCGCCAGCAAGGCCAGTAGTAGAGTGTTTTTTTTTTCCAAATGTATTTTGTTACATAAAAATTATGTTTTTTTGGCACATGTATTTCATTGTGCTTTGCGCATGGTCAAAATAATGAGAAAATTTACAAAAAGCTAAGCAAACGACCTCAAAGCTAAGGCCATCACTTTCAAGGCAGATTCCACTTGACTGAAATTGTCACCACATATGTGTTTGAACAGAGACTTCGGTTTACAATATATTACACTAAATCAAACCTTAACAAGTTGAATAAGGGAACTAAATTGTCTCTGTTTAACTGCTCCTGCAATCAACGTCCCATACACTGACTGGGCTGGGGTGATTCCTTCAGACTGCAAAAGTACATGTACACACAAGCAATAAACGGACCACTAAGTTCGCTTCCAATTCATATACTTAATACATACAGCACAAAGGTCAACTTTACATTGTGGACACAGACTGTAGCATGCATGCCCTAGTTGCTATTGAGTTTGAAACATTGAGAACATAATGCTGGTAGGTGGATAGCCTGCGTGGCAGGCGGGAAGAAAATTAAACTATATGTCCATAATTATTTGATTTAATCTGCAGTCATAACACATCAAAATCCCTTCATGGCCAGTGTGAATCCCAATCTTAGACAGTTTTGCTCAGTTAGTACATGTACGCCATTTTCACACACATGTATGCAGTGTGTACATGACATCTATCCACAAACACAAAAACGGTTGCTTTGGACGTTGGGAATTGTGCACTCGAAAGCTGTTGTTTGGTGGTTAGACAAAGCAAAGTTCTGTACTTCTTTTTTTTTGTTGGTAATGACTAAATAACCAGACACTGGCCAGTCCTTGTGTGTCTGAATTTTTAAATAAATGCCATGAAATTCTGAAGGAACATACATGAACCATCAAGAATTTATACCTGGATTTCGTCAAGTAAAGCAATTCGTTCTTCTTGGTTTGTGCAGCCACGTGCAAGCGTCTGATAGGATTTTTCTGATGGTGAAACATTTAGTGTTTCCTCAAGTCTCTTCATGTGCTCCTAAAGAAAACAAAAATGAGAGAACCGCCTGATAAAGCAACACTGCAGAGAACCTACTAACAGTAGAGAAAGAGCCATCTTACCAAACTTTGTGAGCCAGAAGTCAAGTGAGATTTTGCACTCACTCCAGTGTGTAATTAAATTTAAATTTGACCCTGCACTGCACACCACAGAGCCTCCAGTGCAATATAGCTGAGAATTTTCGTGAATTTTTTCTGAGCTTTCTGGTGTTTGATTTCTCTTTTTCCAATGTAAATTTAATACCTACAATGTACTTCCAAAATCAGTGTATAAAAATGGGTTGGGATATCATGCACAGACTGAGGAGAAACAGTGGCCAGTTTCACCTGAGTCAAAAAAAGGCATCCTTTAAAACTGGCTGGCTGATGAAGGCACAACAGCAAACAAAATTTAAATGCAAGGAAAGCATACAAAGCCAAGCAAGGTACCTAAGTCTTTTTTTTCATGTCACTAGGGTCTCCCTCGATCACAGGTGTTTTTTTGTGTAGTTATGCAGTGTTTAACCCCACAAATGTCTGTTTGTGGGGAACAAGGAGTGCTGTGTAATGATAGGCTGCAGGGGCGACTAGCTTTAATCAAGATCATTCCTAGTTTAGAGAACATTTTCCATCAATTCAAATGTACACATAATGTACCTTAGCTTTCTGTAAATTGCCCTCCAACACGCTTCTCTTCACCAAAGTATTAAAAAATGTAACATCGGGATAAACATTACAGCTCTTCATGAGTTCCAACAAGTATTCCTCTTCTGCTTTGGATGTTATCAAGTAAAGTAGGAGTTGAAAAGTTCGAACATCAGGATACACATCCTCAACAGCCATCATCTGAATGAACTGTTCCACTCCAGGGAAGTGATTGTGTAAGTTGAGATTGTCAACAACTTGTTTTACATTAGAAATGTTATTTCCTTGTTGATTGTAAGAAGCACCTTGGTTAGTAACCTCATCTCCTGGTACTTCTTTTTTTCTCATATATTTTGAAATTCCTTGAGCACCTTTACACTGAACTTTAGGCATTTCTGCATTTCCAATAATCTGTCGAGGTTGAGTAGCCTCTGCACTTTGATCCTGATTAAAAACTTTGAAATCCCTCATTACTTTCAATACAGAGTTAAAAATGTAGATATCTGGCTTTATTTTGAGAGCCTTCATTTCTTCAATCAAGTTTAGTGCTGTACTGGGACCATTGACATCGTCAAATGAACATGCTGTTAGCAAGGATGAAAAGGTGTGTCCATCTGCTTTAATGTTGTTGTATTTCATTTCATCATAGATTTCAAATGCTCTAAGAGGATCCCCACATACAGTTACAGCTTGGATAGCAGCATTGTAAGTGATCACATTCATTTCAAAATCTTTGTCACTGATTCTTGTGTTGATTTCAGCCAGGAGTTTTTCAACATGCTCTAAGCAACTTTGACTGGGAGCTGCAGACTTTGAACAAGCATTGAACAGGCTGGTGTACGTGCGCGGAGTTGGTTCTAGTCCCCTCTTTTTAACCTGTACAAAACAGCAAACAGAACTATTTTGAGGTAGACAAAAGGCATATCTGAAAGTCAAAGAAATTATACATTTGATAGTAATGTTTTCACAGAGCCTACACAATGAGAATGCCTAGCAATATGGGTAATCATGGCTTAACTGACAGACGACCAATAATATCGCAACGTAATTGACCAATCAGATCAATAACCCGAGTATAATACCATCAACTGACGTGACACAACTCACTTTGACTCTGAAGATGACTACCGCATAGGTTGTCGAAACATCAGTCACTGTCCACAACAACAGTCCTATTCAGGACTACGTTCACCTGGATGATCAAACTCAACCCACTTTTGAAATGATTCCTGGGTTCAAACCTTTCACAATATGGGTAATTTAAGGTGACTCGACCCAGTTTTTTTGGGGGGGGGTACCATCCTAGTTTGAAGCTCTGTGGTATCCCCACCTTTATTTTTATCGTAAATCTAACACATAAAATGGATAACATATAGATCAATCTACAATATAACATAAAATTTTTGGCGATCGGAGTAAATGTCACGTGGTTATAATGCCACGCCCCTTTGAGGTCTGAGTCGAAAATCTGCTGTTGCCGGCATTTTTTCGTGAAAATCTCACGGCTACACATAGTGAGCATTAGTGCCTTGCGCTGAACAGAGTTTCACCAAAATCGCAAAGACCCAATTCAGAAATTCAGCGGTTTCCAAATTTAGGTCATAATTTATGCGAGAATGATAAGCAAACTTTACACGGATTATATCTAATAAACAATGAGATTCATCTCTTTATTTTGGGCATCGTTATAACAGATGGGTCCCTGCAAGTCAGCAAAACGCTTTAGGGCCTTGTAAATGCACGCGATTTCGAGTAAAGCAAACATATAGAAATTATAGTTTTCGCTATTTGTTGACGTTTGTCAGCGTTTAAGAGTCCTTCTCATGAAAAAAGCATTTTCTTCAAAATTCGTAGTTTTTTTTCCTTCAAATTTTTTCAGGGCCACAATTGATTAACTAACTACCCGGACTCTGAATTTCATGGTCATTGAAAAACTGTGACATTATCTTCTATAAGCCCAAACTTGAGTAAACATTGAAGATTTTTAGCATTTTGGCTGAGTTTCTGCTTTGGGAGTTGTCTATTGTTTCTAGTCTGTCATTATACAGCATTCTTGTTCAGCACGCGTGCAATGACCACGCTTGGCTGACGTCCGAATGCTCACCGAGATATTCCCGTCACAAGTTGGTTTAATTATTGGCTTCCATTAAACCTATGAAAAAATGATATTTTTTAAAAAATAGATTTAGTGTGTAGCACTTCTTGATTTTTTTGCAAAGGCACAAGAAGCACGAGAATTGATTAAAAATTGTGAATTAAACCTCTATGTATCACGCGATGGCCTGTCTCACTGTACCAAAATGATCATATCTCGGTGAGCATTCGGAAGTCAGCCAAGCACGGTCATTGCACGCGTGCTGAACAAGAATGCTGTATAATGACAGACTAGAAACAATAGACAACTCCCAAAGCACAAACTCAGCCAAAACGCTAAAAATCTTCAATGTTTACTCAAGTTTGGGCTTATAGAAGATAATGTCACAGTTTTTCAATGACCATGAAATTCAGAGTCCGGGTACTTAGTTAATCAATTGTGGCCCTGAAAAAATTTGAAGGAAAAAAAACTACGAATTTTTAAGAAAATGCTTTTTTCGTGAGAAGGACTCTTAAACGCTGACAAACGTCTACAAATAGCGAAAACTATAATTTCTATATGTTTGCTTTACTCGAAATCGCGTGCATTTACAAGGCCCTAAAGCATTTTGCTGTCTTGCAAGGACCCATCTGTTATACCGATGCCCGTAATAAAGAGATGAATCTCATAGGTTATTAGATATAATCCGTGTAAAGTTTGGTTATCGTTTTCGCATAAATTATGACCTAAATTTGGAAACCACTGCATTTCTCGAATTGGGTCTTTGCGATTTTGGTGAAACTCTGTTCAGCGCAAGGCACTAATGCGCACTATAAGTAGCCGTGAGATTTTCACGAAAAAATGCCGGCAACAGCAGATTTTCGACTCAGACCTCAAAGGGGCGTGGCATTATAACCACGTGACATTTACTCTGATCGCCAAAAATTTTATGTTATATTGTAGATTGATCTATATGTTATCCATTCTATGTGTTAGACTTGCGATAAAAGTAAAGGTGGGGATACCAGAGAGCTTCAAAGTAGGATGGTACCCCCCCCAAAAAACTGGGTCGAGTCACCTTAATAAACCATTTACCAAACTGAGCCATGAAACAACAGTCTTAAAATTAAAAGTTAACTTTTGTAAAGTTTTAGATCACTCTATGGCACTGAGTACTAACAACCAAGAATTCATGACTGAATTACAAAAATGGATTTACATGTACTGTACATGACCTTGCACTCATAAATAATGTATAGTTTCAAGCAATGCAGTGCAAAATCTTTAAGTTTCAGTCATGACTTCCTCTACTAGGTATTCCTTCCCAGAAAAAGTAAGTCCTCTTGGGGAGTTCACTGAATTAAACAATGATTTAAGAATTATAGTAATTAAATAACTCTAAAGTCAGTTTAAATGAATGTTTGGTTTTACAAACTGTTGTCTCAGGACTATTCGGACATTCTGGTTACATTATTGTAAACACTGGTACAGGGCAAACATTTTTAAGTATGTATAATTATGTTGTAGTTCATTTTTATCTCAGGTAATTTTTGTTTTTCTTTTGTTTTGGGGTATGGTAAATCGCATGTCTGCTAATGAAGCTGAAACAAAAGAAAAACAAAAATTACCTGAAATAAAAAATTAATGACAACATATATGAAAACTTACATCATTGTAGAATTTAAATGCTTTTCTGATCCTTCCACCTCTGGCATATGCAGAAATGATGATGTTAAAAATTTCCACTGTCAACGGAATTTTTTCTTCTTTGAAAGATGAAAAGAGTTCCAGGACTTTTTCAATCTGTTTGCAACAAAAATGCTAAGTAATCAGCCATATTTTCCATAGATTTGTTTACATGTAGTTTTGTCGCTTGGTAAACAATGCTTTTATCATTAAAATGTCCAATCAATGAAAATCTGAAGAATACTTTATCTGCAGGCACAAGTACCCAATCAAATCACTGATTTCTGATTCAGATAAGTGGAAGTTTGATTACATGTAACCTTATATGACCCAGGGAGGCCAGGGTATTAAACTGGCCAAGTTACCTGGAAGACAACTCACACAAACCACCGAGTTGTTAATGAATTTCTACAATTGAATGCACTTAAAATAATGAATATTCATCATCCTTACAACATCAAAAGAGGAATAAGTGAGGAAAGGCAGTGACTACCTAGCTGTACAGGACACAATCTTCGAGAATAATTTCAGGTGACTTGACCTTAGTGAGATAACTTTTATAGATTTTGGCCACAAAGCCTCCATACGGTGTTCTCATTCTCACCTCGCCTTCATTAGCTAGCTTGGCCATTTGCCTGGAATACCAACTTGCTTTGCTTTTGAGGTCTTCAGGAATTTCTCTTCCCTCCCACTGCTTCTCTTCATTCCAATCTTTACGATCTCTAAACAGATATTTCGAGGGACGTAAAGTCATCGTTTTGGCAGACTTTTGTCTGAGCTTAGATTCCCTGAACTTCGTGGCCTGATCGGACTGTTGTTTACGTTTGCTATTTTTGCCGACCAAAATGTTTTCATCCTCACTCTCCGAATCATATTCTGAGTCTTCTTCCCCTCTACTTGAGTGTACGTCCTTTGATCGTGACCTTGTTCTGAGATCGACTTGACCAAACGACCGTGGTTTTAAAAAACCATCATGCGTCGTTCTTATCCCATTCCAGTTTTTGCCTGAAAGTAGAGGCGTTTTGTAAAATAACTTAGATATAATGGTACTACATAAGCCTCGTACAGCTATTCCTTGTGGGATAGAGCATTCAGGTTTGTAACAAAGGCGAAAAATGCAGAATAAACGCCCATAACGAATCTTAACGGCAGCCATGTTGAACTGTAGCACAGTTTACTAGGACCCAGACTCCTTGGGTCTCGGTGTACGTCATATATGATAGCTGTTTTGTCTCCCTGCCCGCAGAAATTTATTTCCGTTTCTATTGTTACTCTAACAAGGTTCAAGTTTTGAACTATTATTTTATACAATCTGTTAAAGGCAAGAAGGAAAAAAAAAACTTTTGAGACAGCCACACCAGAGGGAGAAAACAAAACTACATTGACTGCAAAAGAAGAAGTCCTTCTCACGTCACAAGGTAAGCTTTTTATTCATTTATTTTTTTATTAGAGCATGAAGGTAACAGAAACGCATGATCTGCGCCAAGGATTAAGTAGACCTTTTAATGAAAACAGTGCGTTCTTCCTTGGAAGCGAGTAATGCTAATTGTCCAAATTATATTTTTCTTCTTCAAAACTTTTAAGGGAATCTATGTTAACTAGACAGTTTTCTTACGTCAAGGGACAAGAATTTTCTATATTTTATTTCTTTTCCGAGATCGTGACGTGACACGAGGGCATCGGAAAATTTCGTTTTAAAAGCAGTTTCAAAGGTCATACCGTTGACTTCAAAATGTGCTATGTTATTGCGTTCGACGTTAGGAGAACGCTTCGTAATCTGTGGGGATCCTGTGGTCGATGGGATACCTGTGCATGCCAGGCGTGAAGATTCGAGATTTTTGGTTACTTGGACGGGCGATGTTCAAAATCTGCGCCATTTTGAATAATTATTAAGCGCGCGCACGAATTTTAAGCCCAATAGCCGGCCAAAGAAATTGCGGGCTCACCTGGTGGACATGCGCACACAACTATTTTTTACGTCATAAGCAATTGTCATATGGCAATCACGTGCATCACTGGTTCCATCAAGGTCAACTAGATGATTACACGGGAATATTTGAGTTCGGCAAAAGAATGAACTTTGGAGTTGTTTTCTAAGCGGGTTTTATCACTGAGCTGATGATTCTGCTAAACTTTTCGGTCAATGCCGTTCAAATCGAGCTGGAACTTCGTAGAAACACACAAATAAAGACCAGGTAACATTTGTGCCGTGAGAAGTTTACCCGTGCGTTTGAGTCTATTTACATATTTGTAGTTTAACCTCTTTCATGCACGAAAAAGTAAGCTTGAGCGTATCAGTGCAGTTTGTTACAACTGTAATGCTTTATTCACGTCTGATATCTCTACGCGGGTAATTTTGCATGATAAGTATCTCGCTCGCTGAAGCAAGCTAAGTTTAAAACATGTTGAACTGACCTACGTGAACGTAAAATAATCATGAGATGAAAAGTTTGCACAGTGGCAAAAGATTCTGTCCGGTTCTCTGACATCAGTAATCTAGCAGAAACCTAGTATGTTTCCGTCGCTCCTATGATCATTGATTTCACTTCAAGTTGTGTCACGCAAGAAGCCAAGACTTTTAACCTTCAAGGCTACCATTTTTTCGAAGTTTGTAGTGACATGTTTATCTTTTTAACAACAAAGAACTTTTTACGATCTACTTTACATTTTTATCGACCATGCTTGAGGGAGAGTAAGACATTTTAAGAGTAGAGAGTTAATGAGTGAGATATTTTGAAGCCGTATACGCGAAGAACATTTTTTACGAAAAGAATGTTTACCTTTTAATTCATGATCTCTTCCATGATTTTGAAATCAAGCTTGACGACACAAAAGCTAATCTGGAGCTAAGAAAACTCGAACGCACTTATTGATCTATGATTACTACTAGTTATTATCCTATACAGACTGTCAGTAATGCTGTACGGTGAGGGAAATATCTGTCACAGTATTACACTAGTATGCCTACAAACGAACAGAAAGCAGCCGGGAGGCAAACATGTTCGAATTGTTAAAAAGAGGCTCAGAATATTCAATAAAATTGCTTTTGGAGGTCAATCATGAGCTAACATCTTTCGAATGGAGAAGCAAAACATTAAAATCAGCCACGAGGAGGGGGACATAAGGGTTTACGGTATTGCGGTATTGGGCTTTTTTTCGTGCGGTATTCGGTAATTTTGATTTTGACGTGCGGTATGCGGTTTTTCATCATTTTGGCTGACGGTATTCGGTGAAATAAGATTGTTCATGGTATTACGGTACCGTTTATTTGCGCTTTCCTTTCGATACAATGCGCAAAACAAAACATAGTAGCATGGAATCTGGTGCATAAATGCCTGAGATAATTAAACGCGCCAGCTGGAAGCAACCATAAGTATGCGGAACCGATTATAAATGTGATTAAAATATGCGGTATCGGTATTTGGACGATTTTCCACGCGGTATTTCGGTTTTTGCCATTTTTTTTTTACGGTATTGCGGTATTGGGTAACCCAATGTCCCCCTCCATGAATGTTCTGGCTTCCGCGCTCAATTTTACTCACCTCGGAGCGAGTTCATTTATGACATAATCGAGATCTCGCACGTGCTAAAATAAATGGAAAATTTCACCTTTCTTTCTGTGGTTTAATTTTTGAACAAAATTCCCGCAAAATAAAGCAAAGTGCATGTATTCTTATGATTTGAACGTTCACTGTGAAATATGCGCATATTCGCGATTTTGCGAAACAAAAGAGCTGAAAGGAGAAAACAATAGTGTGCTGCGTTCATTGTTTAGTTTGCTGCCTACAACATATTGATGAGCTTCGTCGTGCATTCTTGGCAAACAATGGCTGAAGCGCTTTCATAGAGTCTCTGCAATAATACGACAGATCTATGAACTTTGTTGAACTGGACGTAAATGTCCCGAGAACAATAGGCATTCTGCGCGATGCTCTTTTTTTCAGTGAACAGAATGGAAGAATAACTGGAATAAGCCGTCTAGTACGTTGCTAAAGCTGCAATGCAGGTCTTTATATAAGATGCTTATGATCAAGAGCAAAAGAACGGAAAAAGACTTTTATGTTCCCTTGTCAAGAGACATTCACTCGCCAGTCTACATCCCGCACGCTCTCATTAAACTGAAACTTTAATTTTAATTCTAGAATTCTCATTAGAATTCTCAAAAGAACATCAACAACATCTCTAACTAGTAAACTATAGGCACCGGTACACTTCCTTGAACTGAATGAAATTAAAAGCAAACTTGATATTCCAAAGCAGCAAAACTGAAATCCTTGCTATTACTCGTGACCTGGCCGCACGTCTGCTTTTCGGTTCCACCGACTGACTCATAAAGTGAATATCTTTCCTTGATTTCTCTGAAGACGCCTCCGAAGAAGCCCAATTAATAGTTTTTAGTCTAACCAACAAGTCGATTTTTAAAACTCCATTTAATTTTAATTTCAGAGAGATCTCGAAAGCAAATATGATGATTTTGAAATGAGAGGTAATTAAAAGGGGTCCTTTCAGTACAGCTGCAAATTTCATTTCAGCTTGCATGAAGGTTTTTAGTTTCTGCGTCTGGGTCGATCCGTAATATTGTTTAAAAAAAAAGACATAAACAAACAAACCAAAAAAAAATTTATTCCGGACAGCATTCAAATACAAAGGTGAAACTTTTTCGATTTCTATTCAGTTGAGTGAATAGTTTCTATTGCAGTCGTGCGCGATGAAATGATTCGAACAAGTGTCGAGGGGAAACGTTTCACCCTGTTGCTTGCTTTCATTTTTCAATTGCTTTTGACTTGTTCGACTTATTATGCAAAAGATCTTGGGCCTCTGTCCAGGCCTGACCCGGTACGTATTTAAAACGTAGAAAACGGAGCCTTGGACTGCCTATGTTTCCGAGGTGCCGGCCACATGTGAGAGATTTTTTACTGCCCAAAAGGCGTCCCAAAAACCTTTTTCTGATAAACGCCATTTTCAGTATCTTCAACTAGCGTCTCGATAGCGTATTCCCAGCTGTGCTCTCATGGTTATATTAAACAGGCTATTTCATTTACTAGTATAAACCAACATGCGGGGTGAACTGAATTTTTTTTTCTTCATTAGCATTCATGTCTTAGCAGTGATCCCAAATGATTCACACACACACAAACACAAACACAAACATAGTGAAAAGTGATCCGGCGTTTTGCAAACCAGGCCCCTTCGTCCTGTTATTTAGCATAGAGTGCATATAGTCATTAGAGAAAAATTTAATATTAATGAAAAAAAAAACGAGTTCCGGAGGCTGCAAAAGTTTGGACTAGTTGACTTAAGGTTTGGCTCCACTAAATGGACAGCAAAACTCGAGTTTTTTGCATTGTTGGGTAGGTCTTTTTCCTTTAGTTACTTTAATTTTAATGCCGGCGAATCGTATACATTCCTGGTCAGTGCGCCCTCTGCTTGGTTTTCAATTTTCGGTCTCCGATGCAAATGTTGGCGATGACAAAAAACTAAATTAAATGTATAGTATTAGTACAATTCTAACGGGCGTGAATAAAAGTACTGAATGCGCCCAGTAAAACTCTTGTTAATTTTCAAAGAAAACGTTCACAGTTATGTCAGTTTTGAGCGATAGACCTGACTATTGAACATTATTTATACCATGGTGGTATTGACAGCTGCTGAAGGTTTACATGCATTTGTAGCTAGTTGTATGTTACGGTTTACTTGGTATCCTGTACTATTACTGTCAAAGTAAATCGGCTTCTTCCATTCATTGTAGGTAGGTAATCAATAAAAATAGCCCAAATCAGCTTGTTAATTTTATTTTTTAACTACCAAATCGAGTCCATGTTTAAGCGATAAGGATGCCAAAGTTCTCATGGCGGTTTTGACACCTGTTCGCCACCATACTGAAACTTGTAAATACCACCAGACATTTTTGTGATACAAACCAAAATAAGTACCCTCGACTATTATAACCAAGCGAAAGAGTTTACTAAACGGGTAAATTTGATTTTCAGCGATCCAGTTTCACAAGAAGTACCAAATCCTGATCAAGATGAAAACCCGCGCTATTTTCCTTCAAGTGAAGCGCACAATGTTTCAGGCAAAACTCAACGGAGCGTTCGATGGAGTCAGAAACGTGACAGCTACGTCGCTGCGATAAGTTCTACGGAGTCAAATCTCGATGAGCTTTCAAAAAACGGAGAATTATTAACTATGGAAGAGATACTGCTGCTAAACAGAGAACGTCAAGGTTCCCTAAATCAAGAGGAGTCTGGACTGATAGACATGGTAAAGTGGTTAGCATTTTGTAAAACACTTAGTTTAGATCGACAGAGTCATAAATTAATCAACTTACGTAATTGCCTAATTTGGTTTATTTCGAGAGGAGCACTTACTAGTAATTTAGATTACCGTCACATAAGAATTTTCGATTTCCAGGCTATATATTTGAAAATCGATTCAAGTTTATGAGACGCGCGCGAGCCGAGAGAGGGCAAACGGGAAGGGCGACCGCCTCTAATGTTAGTCTCAATTTTATTGCCATGCTGCTCAATCCCAAGTTAACATGCATAACAGACGTTACTTAGTCGAGCGCAAATCGCGAGAGACGAATGCATAGGGCGTGACGTCATGTTTCGCGCTTTTCGCTCAACTGTTGCAGGCGAAAAGTAGACTTGGCAAATCATTTAATGTAACCAGAGGATTCGCTCAAAAGTGACAGTGGTGCTAGAGACTGATAGAGACGTTTCACTGTTAAAGAGGCGGAGTTTTTCCACCTCATCGCTTGGCGCCATGTGGGACGACTCCCTGCCCTGGACCTCAGGAAACTTTATAGGCCATTTCCAATTAAGTGCCAAAGTCTTTCACTTTCAAAATGAGGCAAACTGCAAAATTTCTTTATATGTAAGTCTAACAAAGACGTCGCACTTCCCCTCGATTTGGGGAAAAGGCTTATATAACGTTTATGGTTACAAATTCGGTTAATAATTAGTTGGATGGAATCAGCAGTTGACAGGGTACCAAGATCGAAGTAAATTTTTGGGTTCGTTAGTTATTTTCGCCTACTTTTTTCCCCCAAAAAAGTGAACAATGGTAAAAACCAACCATTTCCACTGTCCTTCAACTTCAGCATTTTTTGCTTGAAATTGTTCTACGTTTTTAGCTTTTACAACATTATGTAATAATCTCGTGATCTACTCTTTTAACAATTTTTAACTGTTTATATACTTTATTATAGTTTTAACTAAATCTTCTGTTTCTATTATTATTTTTGTTTACTTAGTTATTATATTTTTTCGCGGAATATCTGTAAAGTAGCTAATTAGCTAAGAACGTTGATCACGTTAAATAAAGATTATTGTATTGTATTGTACGTACTTCTAACACAGCCCTACAAAATCTCCCAAATTGACGTTTAGGCCTACCATAAGACGTGGGCCCAGCGAGCGAGATATACCAGGTAAAACTGAACTGAATAAGAAAACTTGGACATATTTTTGCAAGTCACATCTTCTGATTAAAGTTTATTACAAATCACGACAAAGTTATCACAAATAACGGCAGTTTTTTTTTTATTACAAATTAATTACGTCAAAGTTCTTTCAAATTGCGACAGGTATTACAAATTACGACAAAATTATTACAGAGTACGACAGCTGTTACAAATTACGACAATTATTACAAATTAAGACAGAAGATATGAATCAGCGTATGTTGTAAAGAACTTTTAATTGGGCAATTTTATCTGAAGAGTGCCACTCTTTTTTATAGAGTATGTTGTTTTTCCGGCCCAAGCTCAACATTCTTATTATTTCTGTCGATTTAGGGTGAAAATATTCTAGAATTATTCTTGATTATAAATTATAGCTTATGGCCTTTTCGCTTTAGAATGTCGAGTATTGGAATCTCAATTAACAATGTTCTCCGCGCCGTTTATGTAAGGAATAATTTTATACGGTTACTGTTAAAAGCATATAATTGCATTGTATTTACAGATTTTCAACCGATGAAATTTAGTCCTTTTGAAACTCTCAACCTCGGGTTTATTCTTAAACCATTCTTAAAATTTCGCGTCAAATTTCAGCCTCGTTCTTATAAAACATATTCTTATACAAAAAAAAACCTTCGTACTAAACTAGTTAGAAATTGAACTGGAATGCCAAGTCGCATCTTACGTTGATCAGATCACCTCGATTATATTTATACATCTATACTATTAAGTGACTTTTCCTGGTCCTAAAATACAGAAATTGCCACATAGACAGTACGCAAGTAGCCTGCGACCGCAGCGGTTTAAGCGACGACCGGAAATACGTCTGCGGTCGCAGGCTAGCCTGCAAGGGGTGTTTCATGGTGTTGCGGAGACCATTGCCTTTTCACAGGGTTAATTTATTTAATTATTTATATAGAGGATATTACACGGTGGCGCGAAGATATGAATTTTATTTTCGAGTGGCAAAACAATATTTTACGAACGAGCGCAGCGAGTGACTAAAATATTGTTTTTGCCACGAGGAAATAAAATTTGTATCTTCAAGCCGCCGCGTAATGTTCTTTTTATTATATAGACAAAATGACATCGATAAATTAATAGAGGGAAATTTCTAAAATTACGTCATCGATAAACTCACGTGTGAGATTATGGAAAATAAACCACTCGGGTCCCGGATGTAGTTTTTATGAAATTTACGAGTGGTATATTTTCCAGTAAAACACTCGTGTCTATATAATAAAAATAATAAATTTATTTATTCATCTATTGCAGAAGATTGACTATGTGTTAGTTTATTCTGAGGCTGAAACGGGAAAAGAAAATGAGGAAGAAGAGAAGCAGAAGGCAGAGGCCAGAGGAAAATTTGAGGAGAATCTTAGAAAACAGGGGCTCATAGTGGAACATGTTAACTCCACAGACGAGCAGGTACGTTAGTTGTGTTTTTCATGAATTAATTTTTTGGGACAATTACTCTTCATTAGGCCTCATATAGTTAGGTTTTGTAAACATATCCAGCTTCATTGTATGTGCGAAAAAACGATTTTTTTGTAACCGGTAAGAAATACCAGCCTGAGAAAACAGCCGACATTTGGCGACGCTACCACTGGTTTCCCCGCCAAATGACGTCCGAGAAAAGAGTGCAGAAATTCCATACTGATGACGCGTCACTATTGAGATCTGGGTAGTGACGCGTCATCAGTATGGAATTTCTTCGCTCGTTTCTCAGACGTCATTTGGCCGGGAAAACAGTGTAGCGTCGCCAAATGTCGGCTGTTTTCTCAGACTAACGAAATACTAACAAAGCATCTTCCTAAATAGGAAAGAAATACTGACCTTTAATTCTGACTTTTTTGGCTGATGTTTTGTTCATGTCATCTTTCCGTACACAGGAAAATGTAGTTTTTGTTTTGATTCATGCTCCTTGGGAGGTGCTTGCTAAATGCGCCGAGGAAATGATGATCCGCGCCCCCGTACGAGAAAAAGATACCCTGACAACATCTTATACACATCCCCGAAAACGCAAATGGCTTCAAAAGGCCAAGAATGTCCTCAACATCTTTCAACTCCAAGAGGAATTTGCTCCGAGAAAAGAACGTCAAGTTACGGCATTTTTCAGCAGAGCAAAGTCTGAGTGTTTTCAGATTGATGACACAAAAACGTTTTTTTCTGACATCGATCGAGGTCGAATGACCCATCGCCTTTTAATCTCGACAAAATATTCGTCGGAAGTCGAGGAGTTCGGAATTTCGCGACTTCTATATCAAGGGGTGTACACAGATGCGTTTCCCTTACATCAAGATCTTTCAGCGGTATCTGGCAAGGATATTTTGAAAACTGACCGTCAGTGCTTGCGTGAGAGTTGGGCTTCGTTTAGTCAGTGGTACAAGTATCAACCGTTGGATGCGATTAAGAGTTATTTCGGGACTCGAGTAGCATTTTATTTTGCTTGGCTTGGAATTTATAACTTCATGCTAGTAATTGCCGCTTTGGTTGGCGTATGGTGTTTCGTGGCTGGTCTTGGGACTATGGTGACATTTACACCTGTTAAAGAAATCTGCAATGAGAGTAATTCGGAGTTATTTTACATGTGTCCGCTTTGCGACAAGGACTGCAGCTACTGGACTTTAACACAGAGCTGTCGTTATGCGAAAGTAACTCACCTCTTTGACCATGAAGGAACTGTATTTTTTGCGGTTTTTATGTCACTATGGGCAACCGTTTTCCTTGAGTTGTGGCGCAGACGTGAAATAAGTTTGGCATACAAATGGGACATGCTGAACTTTGAAGATGAATTCGAGCCGCCAAGGCCGGCTTTTGCGGCCAAAGCAAAAGGTAAAAGAACAAACCCTGTTACGGGAAAAAGTGAGCCTTACATTCCCTTTTCTCGTCGTGTTGGAAAGTTCACTTGCGGCGTCATAGTTGTAATTTTCATGGTTTTCCTGGTGATTGCCACACTTGTAGGCGTGGTCATTTACAGGGCTGCCGTGGTTGCTGCGCTGTCTGCATACCCGAATGAAGATGTCCAGCAAGGCGCGCGTGTTATTACATCGTTAACGGCGTCGGTGCTGAATCTTGTTGCCATAACAGTCTTAGGCTACGTGTATGAAAAGATCGCGATCGCGCTCACAGATTGGGAAATGCCCAGAACGCGAACAGAATACCACAACATATTGACACTGAAGTTGTTTTCATTCCAGTCAGTCAATATGTACTCCTCTCTGTTTTACATCGCGTTCTTTAAAAGTAGCCGCATCATTGGTTACCCTGGAAATTATTATCGCATCAATGGCGGCCGCATGGAAGGTTGTGATCCGTCGGGCTGTTTTATCGAGCTTTGTATACAGCTAGCTGTCATTATGGTGGGAAAGCAATTCATCAACTCCATCTCCAAGTTTGCCATTCCGTAAGTTAAGCCATGAAATAATTAACTCGGTGTAGGAACCTGAGACAAGCTTGCTGTCGATTTTGATAGATTGTGCCAGCATAAGTTTTGGCATAATTCATCAGTACGAGCATAATCTCCAATTATTTTCCAAAGAAAAGCCCTGCTAGCATAATTTGCACTTTTGGCTTGTCTTGCAACACAAGTTTGTCATTTATTGATGACACCACAAATATTTTTAGCTCGAGATCAGTGTCACAGGCAAATTTAAGTAAAAAATTCAATTTTTTTAACTGCTTTTTTCCACATCTTTTGGTGCTGGGTCCCGAAGTGAATCAGGACTTTTTCCACAGAACTCAAAGCATTCGCATAGCCAAATCATATAATGAATACTATAGTAAAGGTTCTACTATCATATTGTTGTCAGTAGGGTAAGTGTGTTTGTCATTTACTTGTTTGTTGCTTAGTTATTTAGGTGTTTTTACTAAATTTAAAGTAAAAAGTAGAGGTATATACTAAGTTCTGCTTTTTTTTTGGGCTCAATTCACCATAATTATCGGCATAATTTTAGAAATACACGCGCACTGCTAGAGGCATATTATGCTACTTTTGCGAGTACATCTATTAAAGCCTACTGTCGAGGAACAAAGAATATTTGACAGGGTTCGCGTTAGCCCAGACTGCGTGAAAGCTACAAGCAGTTGCAAAATTACTTATGAGACACTGTCCCTTATTTTGGCTTAACTGACCTGCTTAGGATCTTGTGCTCGGGATCCCCTTTCCTCTCCTTATCAAAGTTGCTAGCAATACAAGACCATGCTCAAAACTTAAGTATAGGGTCAACAACTCTCATGGAGGGGAGGAGGGAGGTGAGTATCACACATTACAGAGTGACTAGCACCAATTTGAATTAAGAAAGGTCGGTTTCTCGTTGGATTTTCTCGACATTTTGCGACTGGTTGTAGTTCCAGGTTATTATCGAGAAACACCAAAAAGGATACACCCTGGTTAAATATCATAAATATCAGTACTTTTGTTTCTGCCCGGCTGAGATTCCGAGAGACTAAATAAAAAAACTTCAGGTTCTGAGTGGGTTTTTCTTGAATTTTAGAAACCGAAAATAGCGGTTGTAGCAACTTACTGGGTAGCACTGGCTAAGTTTTGTTCTGTGTGTGTGTTCGTGTGTGGTACAGGTCTTTGTTACGTTGGTGGTACGGACGATCACACAAGGAGACAACCGGGAATAAACAGCCTCGCCAATGGGAGACAGACTACCTTCTGAATAGCGAACCTGACTTGAGGATGTTCTACGAGTATCACGATATGGGTAAGCTGCAGGAATCCACAGCAGTTGCTCTTTTTTTAGTGTTCGATCTGTAACTAATTTTTGGAGCAATGAGGTGTCACGACTTCTTGCAGAACAAGAGTTTTCAGGGGTGGTCAGGCCTAAATTATCAGCTTGAAATTCCAATATGTTAACTTTATAGTTCTTGTTTACACATAATGAGTCAGATTTGCAGTATAGATGCACAGGGTCCAGAGGAGTTTCGTGTGAGTAAATGAATTACTTATTTAAAGTCCCACCTTGAAAAATGTCTATACCTGTCGCTTAGCACGATTAATTAGCCCAATGGGATCTTAATGAATCTACTGTAAACGATTTCTTCGCTACTAATCTGACCAGATCGACTTTGTTGTTCGCCATTTTGAAAACCAATAACCGCAAGCCATATCCTCGCTTGCGCACGGAACGTCGGCCGAAGGGTGACCGAAGGCTGTCGCCCGAAGGGCGACCGAGGCACGAAGTGCCCGAGTAAAAAAATGGACTGTAAGCCGATCTTGCTCGCCCTCAGTCTCTTGGTTTGCGGTCTATAGAATGAGTAACAAACTGTAACGCGATCAAAATAACCCATTTTTTCAGAGGTTTTCGACGGGTTTTGATGCTCTAACGACAAACACATCTCCTCTGGACCCTGTGATAGATGTAGGGAATTTTCGTTGGACTGTTAAGTGCTCGAGAGCCACGTCGACGGAGCTACTTTTTCGATAGTTTTGTCAAATTGCACTTAGTAATAGTTGGATGGTTTCTGGATGCTTTTAATATATTTTTTAGTTTAATTTTTTCCTGTTCTTTATTTTCAGTTATTCAGTTTGGCTTTGTGACGATGTTTGTGGCGGCGTTTCCTCTGGCCCCATTCTTCGCACTCATCAACAATATCTTGGAACTGCGCATAGATGCTATTAACTTTGTTGTAAACTTCCGCAGACCCGTCGCAGAGCGTTCAAAAGGAATTGGAGTCTGGTTTGGAATCCTACGAACGATGAGTTGGTTTGCTGTCTTGGTGAATTCATTCGTAATTGCTTTTACTTCTGAATTTATTCCGCGGTATGAAACATTTCTACAGCATTGATTACTTGTGTTTGTTATATTAGTTGCAAGTCAATGATAGGCCTGAATCTTTTTAATCCTAAAATTAACTTGGGCTAAAGTTCAAGTACTTCTTGAAAACGTTAGCCTGCGAACAGCAGACGTATTTCCGGTCGTCGCTTCTCTCCCTCCTTTTTATGGTCGTGAAATTCACGTTCCAAAGCGTATTAGCTAACTCCCGCAAAAATCCAAGACGCGGCAGCGCGCGAGATCTCTAGGGGTCACTCGAGCTGTATTCTATCCTTTGATCTGATTGGCCAATATCAAAACAAAAGGTTTTACGTCACCGAAATCGTTTTGCCGCTCGGGTTCGCAGACGTTATTTTTCGGAGGAAGAGAAGCGACGACCGGAAATACGTCCACCCTTTCGCAGGTTAGGAAAACGTCTGCTTGGTTGTATATAGAACGTACTTGACATGGCCGTTAAGGGTTCTTGTTTTGAAGCATTTCTGGTAGTATTTTGGGATTTTTCATGGGTTTTTTTATTTTTGGCTTATGGACTTTGTATATGTAGTGATACAAGTAATGGGCCAGGACTGTCCTGTTTTAAAATGATCAATAGAAAAAGGGATCACAGAGAATGATTCAAGAAAAAAATATATCGCAATGTAGAAATTGCGAATAGATTTTATATAGTAGATGATCTGTAAATTACTAATAAATACAAAACGCCTGGAAATTGTTGACTATGCGTAAAGTGACATTTAGGTACTAGATAAAGATAAAGGCGCACTCGAGCCAAAGGACCACACGGCCGGAGCGTAAACCGGTTTCATTGGCATGGAGCATGGCTAGGAATAATGCTACTCCCCCGTGGGAGCCATCACGTGGGTTTGCATTTAATGAGTGATCTGGAAAAAGTAAAAGAATATACTCAATGACCAGTAAACGAAACCCAGCATTTAAAATGGTGTATACTTTAATTTTTTGCTCGGTTTTTTTTTTAATTGTTTAGTTTTTTCTATTCCTTTTTGCAGGGAAGTATACAAATATGCATACAGCTCCGATGGTAGTCTAACTGGCTACGTCAACAACAGCTTGGCATATTTTAACGTGGAAGACTTTAGTGAAATGGCTATTCCAAGAGATCCTTTCTTGAATCTGCCATACAACAAGTCATTTTGTAGGTCAGTATATAATCCGAGCACACTCGAGGTGTTTCCGCAACATTTCATTACAGGATATCGAACAGAGATTTCTTTGCCAGTTATGCCATAATGAAGCTCAAAAATGGCATTGCCTGTAGACTTTAAAGTTTCACGGCTGTAACACTATAACTTTGGTTGACATGCAGCACTTCAATCTTTGAATAACACTTTAACCAATCCGTTTAAGAGCCATGTCATAACTGACTTACCGACTGACTGACTGACTGACTGACTGATCGACTGTACCCTTGGGTTGAGTAGGTTTACATTCGTAAAACCAGTAAAACTGCTACAAACCAAATTTCTCTTCATTGAAAGTTTTCGTATTTTTATCTTTTTCAGGTTTAAGGAATACGTTGAGCCAATCAAGCCTTACCAATTCAGTCGCCAATATTTCTATGTCCTGGCTGTAAGATTTGGTTTTGTCATCCTCTTTCAATATTTCGTGTTTTTCACTGTGCAGTTGTTAGACTGGCTGATTCCCGATGTTCCGCACAAGCTTGAAGTGAGAATCAAGCGAGAAAATTACATCGCCAGGGAGTGTCTGTCCCGGAGCGAGGCTGAGGCGTCACGTGACCTGGATGCACGTGTGTCCTACGGTGGTGGTTCCGCAAACTCTGTTTACCTGTCGTGCGAGAACATTCACAGAAACCATCACTCCAGTCTAGTTGGAAGCAGAATATAGTCAGAATGACAATCGGATAGGACGACAAAACGAAGTTGCTTATTGTGGAATAATGAGGAACAGCAAGGTACAGAAAACCATGCTGAAGCTAGCGAGAGATCACGGCGAGAGATGGGGGAGAGCTGGGAACTTGGGGACACGATGGGAAATATTTTTCTGAACAGAAGCTGGCGTCCGCATTTTTACTCCTCCCAGAAAACGAAAATGTATTGAATTGGCGTGATGTTTGGCATCTATGAAAGAAACACTTTGGTGATATAACCATTGTTAACTTGAGGATCCTCAATAGGTCGGTTGAGGCATCCAGTTTTGGGATATTAGACTGAAAAGAGAACGATGAGTTGGGAAGGTTGTTAATTTAAGAAGGACACGGAGTTTAACGAGATCCAAACATCGGGAGAAGTTGTTTTTGAAAAGTAACAAGCAAGAGCGAGCTCGAAAATGTATCTATGCATGTATTTTCCCTTAACCTGACTAGGTGAACGACTGTTGTAAACGTACCACATGTCCTTTCCGATTGAAAGACCAAGGATTCTATATTTTACCACACCCAGATATGGTGAGAAATAGAAAATGTTTTGATACCTTATGCGTGGTCTCTTCTTTGCCTTTCGACTTCAAAACTAGGTTTTTTTTTTCAAAATCGATTCATCGTAACTTAAAAAGTCTCACTGGCGCGAAGCAAGCAAGCTTCACACCCCCGTTGGGGGCGTGAGGTGAGAGAAAAAAAGCCGACTATCTGTTTTGTATACATTATATTCGTTGGAATTTCCCGCTTTTCCCAGCCACGGGCAATTCCTATTGGAAAGTCATCCACGATGTCCGTTTCAGCGTCACTCTCCAGTCACGCTCTCCGTTTTCAGCCTCGCTACAGACCTTTTGTTTGACTGCTGGCACGTACTTGAATAGGCAAAAATACGGTCTGTTTTGCAGTCTACTGGGCCTTACAGCAATGCGTTATTTATACTTAAACTTGTGAACAGTGTGTAGCTGATTTATTGCCTTCATGCATGCGGAAAATGTTTTGTCTTTCCTATTTTTGGTCTGATTTCTCAAAATCCGTGAATTGATAAAGGCAGAAGATTTGGTTTCGTGAAAATAATGCGTTTCTCCTCTAAAAACGAAACATAACAATCAGCAAACAAAACACATAAAAACAAAAACAAAACAAACACAAAAGAAATAAAACAAAAGGAAACAATTCAAATAAATTCGACCCATACCGTCCCTCACTGCAAAACGATGACACTGACGTGTTTTTATGGGTAAGATGCTGATAATTAACGCCGACAGAGCCCAATATATATGCATATTCTAAAGCAGATGAGAAATAAAGAAAAGCGTATGAAATTTCTTAACCCGTGCACGAAAATATTGCTGTTTTGCAGTACCCGATTGGCTTTCTGTGATATTACATTGTTAAAAATCACATGTTTTGTATTTTCATCTTATGCCCCCTTTGCACGTCGTCCAAATACGCTGGGACATATCTGACGTTGAATTTAAAAGTTACACTATTTTGTCTTTAAAAACAAGGCCGTAGGTGACGTAAATGGAGAAAAAGAAACTCATTCAAGGGTAAGTTAATGCTAGTTTATTCCCATGTATTATGACATGTGTTCCCCGCTCTGTTTGTTCTGGGACCATGTATTCTTTGGATGAAGCACATACAACGTATTACTGATCGAAGTTAGTACTAAAGGGATCTTACATTAAGAAGCAATAAGCATTAAGTTTCCCTTTAATTCTGTAGAAAAGTATCAGTCTCGCACTTTGTTGGTACATGCTCTGTTTTCAAGAGTACAAACAGCTTTCTCAGCAAAGTGATATTTGACTGCATTGTGCATTGTAGATTTTTGCTATTACGGACAGTGCTTCGCCGTCCCGATGGCGACGGGAGAATAGGGAGCTCAAGCAACGAAGATGGTGTCGGCAACGAGAACGGCAAAAAAGCTATTTCGTCGCACTATTACGACGTCAAAGTGCCGATTTCACGTGTTGTCGAGAACTCGGGAACACAAGATAACAACTTTCCTGAACTTTGATACAGTCCTTTAGCCGTTCAACTCCAAAAAATAGTTGCCAACGTTTGACAAATTAAACAACGTGGAATAAGAGCGAGAAAGTTTGAAGCAGCGGGAATTCACATTTTAAGTGACGTTTTCGTAGCCCTTCGCCGTCGTTGTTGCTTAAGCTCCCCTGACTAGTGTCTTGACGAAACCTAGGATCGACGAAAGGACATTTTGCTTTCCAATTAGCATAGAACCGCAACCAGATATAACGTACTTACCTGTGTTAGAATTAGGATTGACGACATTTCTTCTGACGTGGTTTTATAGGAGAGAAACAATGTTTTCATATGGTGCAATGGATGAAAACAGGAATATACCCAAGATGCTGGCAACTATGTAAGTGCTTCTTATAATTTCCTATAACCAGTATAACGGTAACCTGAGATCAGGCTCTATTTTCGTTTTGCTTTGAAAATAACATTCCGGCAGGCAAGGCGAAACGAAAAGAGATAGCCGATAGCCGTTGTAGAGAATGTATGAGAACCGCCAAAATTGGGCCTAATCTCAGCTTAGTATAACAGGGACAACAAGTAAGGTAACTGGCGCGGAACGTTGGCGCCACTATTGGGACTGGCCGGCACCAAAAAAAGTAGTACTGGTCAGTGAAGTTACCTAAGCCCGTTACCTTAGCTTTTAGCCATTAAGTGCACCGTCGTAGATAGCTCGACTGTTCTAGCGTCTATTAGTAAGTGATCTGAATGATTACCCTGGATTTTTCAGCAAACACAGAAAGGAAAAGCACAATGTAGCTGACGAAAACATGAACGAAGTTGACGAAAATATGAACGCAGTTGACGGAAAGTTGAACACATTTGACGAAAATACGGAAATGGCCCTTCCTGGCGAGCCGAAGTCTTCACCAAAGTCTGTAACAAAAAGGTTGGTCTTTTAATGAAGGAAAAGTAAAAATGGTATTTCTGTTATGTGCAAGCATAATAATAATAATAATAATAATAAAAAATAATAACGATGACGATGACGAAGATGATGATGATGATGATGATGATGAAACTCGAGATATTTATTTAAGCTTGAAAATATGTACAGTACATAATTTACAGAAATGTTTGAAATAGAAATTAAGCACTATATAACCAGGAGTATATAACAGTAAAAAACTTATACTTGAAATCCTAAAAATTCATTCACTATGTAAATAATGATTTTCCAAATACACTCCTTGCTGCTGAGATGCGATGATTTTAGGTAGCAAGATATCACTTGCTCACACTTCAGTTTTTTAAATTAAGTCATGGCAAAAAAAGTTAATGCGTTTCTGATTAAAACAAAACAAGTTAAAAAGAGTAAATAAACTCGTATTGCTAAATAACATTATTGTCGATAACGATAACGATAATGATAATGATAATGATAATGATAATGATAATGATAATGATAATGATAATGATAATAATAAAGTGGTAGGAGCGATGTTACCTACAGGAAAATCGGTCGGACCCAAAAATGGCCATATGCACGAATTATGGGGCCTAGAGACCCTCGTGGACAAGTAAAACATGTGAGTCCAGTCACGTGACAACGGTATTTTTAAATATTTGGCTTTTGAAAACATCGTATAACTGATAAACGTAGATTCCACACACAATTCATAACTGCTTGTCATTAGATGGTGGGCATTCAAATACTCCTTTCGCACAACCTCGTCCCCAGGGCTTTTCCCTCAATTTTTGAGGGAAAAGCCCTGGGGAAGAGGTCGCCTTTCACACTGCTTCAATATGCCGGCTTCAGCTCAAAGTAGCGCACGCATGCTGACTTTGGCCGGCCTGAGTAGGAGAACAAATGTATAAGAGCAGCTAAAGTTCAGATAGATCTCAGAAAGAGAACATAAAAAGTATAATGGTAACAAATTCCTAGAACTTTTATAAATTTGCACGAAACACGCGGATTGGTCCGCTCCAAAGTTCGAGGACATGCATGGAGTCTTAATCTTCAATACAAGATTTTGGGGAACGGTTTGTCTATATCGAAATTTGCAGAGGACGTTTTTTAAACAATAATATAATTTTGGAAACAAAACCTCCAATTAAAAGTCGTAATACTATCGATTCAATGGTATGTCTACTTGAAAATAAGGTTGATCGATTGTATATTTGCGGTGGCGGGGATAAAACCAAAAAAACATCATGCCTCAACATATTCACAGCCAGTCTGTCGCAAATCGATCACGTTCCGCAATTTGTCTTAAGCCATACGCGCTTTTTGTGGTCATCTGTCTAACAACAGAGCCATTGGACAAACCAAAGCCGCTTCAACATTCTAACCGAAAATCTCTTGGGAATTTGTATCCTGCTTTCCAGTCCATTCCGTAGACGTGACTCCTTGAACAAACGTGACTTTCACTCCAAAGGGTCGCGTTGAATATACGTGACATGACCAGCACATGGCTGCACCACAACAAAAACATTCTATGAGAAGTTAGATATCTACGTTTAGTATTAACTATTAAATTTCTTGTCTACTCTGAATACCAATGGCACACCCAAGTGAAAGCGGTCTGCGTTCCCGAGTTCCAGCGAGTAACGGTGATGGTTTAAGGCGACCAGAAAGTTCAGCTGATCAAACACCGCTGCTAGACGAAGACGCTTTACTATCAAAGCATCAAATGATGGAGGAAAAGACGTTGGAACTCGAGTTAGAGCACGTTGATGTCGAAAAGAGAGAGAAGGAGAGGCTATGTTTTCGAGACGGCAAAAGATTCATCGACTATGTGATTGTTTACGAGACACCTTCCGATAAATCAGAGTTAAAGGACGAAGAGAAGGAAGAACTACAGGAAAAGGCTCAGAAACGAGAAAAATTTGAGCAGAATGTATTGGAAGCCGGTCTCGAGATCGAATACGAAGAAGAAGTTACCACAAAGGTACGTTCAGTGAAAGAGTATTTTTGATTTTTGATATTCATCGTGGCTGACCCATCCTTGGCGATATTTCATGCAAATTGTGGCACGAAATATACTTAATGAACACATACAGCTGGAAATTGTAATTTGGATAGGCTCACTTATTTAAAATCTTGATTAAATTTTAAAGGCACTAGACACGAGGATTTCCTTTGAGTAAATTGATAATAAATAATCAAAAATATAAGTTTACATATTGGCTATCCTCAAGCGGACATTATGTAGAATACATCGCATTGCGCTCAACAAGGCTGCTCATAAATTATCAGACAGCATCCGACGTTACAATTACTTGGTTATTATTTTCGTCATACTAATTTTTATTTCGATCTTTGGAAATACCATTTGAAAATACACATGAGACTTGTAAAATGTTTTCTTAACATACAGTTCTTGTATTTACGAAGAAGTATGCCGAGCATGTGGCGTGGTACATGCTTTGTTTATTTGTTTTACTTTGTCTTGCTAAAATGTGTCTTCAGACACTCCTTAAGCTGCTAAATTGTTTTTTTGGTTTTATTTTTGCTTTTTGTTTTTTTCACATAAAACTCTCGTATTTTCTTGTTTCTAATATTAACCGATTCGCTTGATCAATCGATGTTTGTTATAATACGTATGCCAGCCGTCTGGGCATATCTTATGCAGGAGTGATGTGTCACGCAATCTTTCTGTTTTGGACACTCTCGTAAGCAGTCACACCACTTCTGGTGTTCCGTATAAAACTCGTACAAATCTTACCGTAGAAGAAGCATTCCTGCAAGCGGCCAGCTCAGTTGCGGGCATTTTTTTCCTTCTCGAGGGTGTCTATGATGCTGTCTGTCATGCCAGGCCGCTCATAGATAATCATATGTAGTTGTTACATGGTCAGGATAAAACATGGACTGCGGAATGCGGACTACGGACTGCGGACTGGGTATAAAATACGGACTAGGTATAAAACGTGGACTGGAAAATATGGACTGGGTATAAAAACGCGGACTGTGGACTGCAGACTGGGTATGAAATACGGACTACGGACTATGTTGGTAAAAACGGTGCTAATTGTTCTAGGTAAGGTAAAAATAATAAGGCCAGAAGATCGCTAAATAGCAAGACACGTGGGTTTAAGTTTTAAATATTCCTAGAAATTCTTGGTGGAGGTGTGCTGCCCGGTTCTCTGAATCATGAGCCTGACGTCGAAATCGCTATTTTCTACACCCGTTTTTTTAAGACCCGGTCTCGGTCTTTAACAATCATGAAAGGGGTTAGGACCCTGGTAGTGGGTACTTCCTTATATAAGCCATAGAGGTATGTGCACCCCGAAGTGTAGGGTTTTTGGGTCTTTTTGATCTGAAAACACTGGAATCGGGTGTGGGTTTCGAGGTAACTACAGGAGGTACATCGTATAAACGTATTTATCGTTTCAATTCCAAATGAATAAGAACGAAATAGAAATATGAAATATTCGAAATGCATTTGAAGAATTTTTTTTGTTTGCGCTCTAATCTGGTAATGATGATATAATTTCTGCCTAATCAGGCCTAGCCTGTTCATGCTCAGGAGATTGTTGGGTCCTCACTAATTGAGAAAGCGCGAACACGAAAATAAAACGGGAGGAAACTGCAACTATCTGAGAGCCTGGAACAGGCTACATAAGGCCAGCCGGCTGAAAATGGGTAGTTTTTTTAGACCTGGTCTGCAAACGGGTGTGGAAAATGACATTTTTTGGTCTGAAATAGGGTCAGGATTTAAAGAACCGGGCGGCACACCCCCACCAAGAATTCTCCGGAGTACCCCCCTCCAGGGGTCAGGAGCAGGGTTTAAAATCATGTTGGATGATTCGTTTCGGTCATTATTCACGTATAGGTCAGTAATCCCTCCCACCTTAATACTGCTTTTTTTACATCGCGGAATGCCTCTATATTGACCTTCCCGTCTGAGTACTTCATTTCTCATATTCCCAAGGTTTAATTTGAAACGGAATAGTGGCCCTATTTTTTTTATTTCGGTGTTTCTTATTGGTTTAAAACCATAATTGGATTCTCTTCTAACTCCTCCTTTTTATAAAATTCAGAATTTAATTTCAGTTGCCTCGAGTAGCGGCATAACCTTCCTTGTCCGTGCAGTATGCTTTCCTTCTCCACATGACGCTGACGTGACTGCGTGACCAGCTAAAGGAATGTTTGTGTGGGAGGCAAGGAGCTGGAACTACTGTTTTATGCTAGTCCGCTTCCCTTGTCTCTCAGTTTTACCTTTCCAAAGCCGTTTTTATATACATAGTCCGTAGTCCGTGTTTTATACCCAGTCCACAGTCCGTGGTCCGCAGTCCGCAAGTCCGCCGCAGTCCGCAGTCCATCTTTTATACTGACCGCTTGTTACATTAGCCTGTACATAGGCGTTGTTTTGTTTTTCTTTTCATTCTTTTCTTCGTAACCCTACAGGAGCATTTTGTACATGGGTAAAGGCACTCAGTAATGGTTTACGCACAGAATTGACCTTAAAAGGCAATATTCTCGTGACAAAGCTCTTTTAAGGTTTTCATCTCAGACTGATTGTGTACTGTTTTTATTTTTATTTTCTCTCTTTATCTCTCCTTTTTTTTAACAAGGATGACAAAACTGAGACCCATTTTCTAAAAATCCATGCTCCTTGGGAGACACTGTCAAGAACAGCAGAGGATATGATGATGCAAATGCCAATCAAGGTACAATTTATATAACCTCACGGTACCGTAAACCGCTTCTTTCAAGCCCTGGGCTTACTGCATATATGTCTTCATAAGGGGTTTTAGGAAGAGGAGCTTATATCTTGAGGGGGGGGCTTATAATCGGAATAGTATAAGCGCTTCAAAATAATACTGATCGAAACATGTTTTGCTTTTCAACTGAGCTTTAAAACCTAATAAAAAATTGGATTCATTTCATTACAAGCTAGAGGGGGCTTATATCCGGGGAGTGGAGGGGGCTTTTTATCGGATGTATTTTTTGGTTCACAATTAGATGGGCCTATAACTTACAAGCAGCAGTTTACGTATCTGAAAAATAGTAATAATAAGAAGGACCATCGCAGTTGTAATGGCAATTAAGCTCGAAAAACATTTCAGGACCTCAAGGGGATTACAAACCATGGCTTCTGCCTTAGCGCTCGTGTGCTCTACCACATGAGCTATTAAGACCCCTTACGTTTTCGGGCGTTGATGAGTATTTCCAATAAGTTACATGGTGTAACTGGAAAGGACATAAGAGTGTTTTTTCTCTTTGGTTCTTCAGGAAAGCGACATCCAGTCAAAAACCTGGTATGAAAGGCATGTTGGTGGGAACATTCGCGACATGATCAACCGTAACAACCCATTCGAGATTCACGACTCCAGTATCGGCAGTAAACGAAATTATTTCATGGGATATTACAAACAGGACCGCTTGGAAATGTATGTGGGACACAAGAACAAAGATACGTTCTTTAGTCGCCCGGAACGCAGCCGCCTGGTGCAGCAGATCTGCAGTCAGGTTCGATTTGGAGATGAGAGATATGATGTTGGGATCAAAAAGCTTCTACACGAGGGTTGCTATGTTGCGGCCTACCCCCTCCATCCCGGTTCCGAGGAATGTCCCGAGGGCGAACGACCTACGAATAACAGGCAGCGCTTGAGGCGGGAATGGGCGCGGTTTGGTCGATGGTTCAAGTTTCAGCCCTACGACGCTATCAAGGATTACTTCGGCACGGAAATTGGGTTGTACTTCTCCTGGCTGGGTTTCTACACCGCGATGCTTTTGCCTGCCGCCATCTTTGGCCTCATTGTGTTCCTGTACGGCATCATCAAAGCGGAAAGTTTTCCGCCGGTCGAAGACGTCTGCAACAAGACTAACGAAAGGCTATTTTACATGTGCCCGTTGTGTGACACTCAGTGTGCGTACTGGAGCCTCACCTCCAGCTGTTATTACGCAATAGTTGCCCATGCTTTCGACAACGACAGCACTGTGGTTTTTGCCATTTTTATGTCTGTTTGGGCTACTCTGTTTCTAGAGTTCTGGAAGAGAAGGCAAGCTATTCTTGCCTACCACTGGCACATGATGCATTTTGAAGACCTCGAGGAACAATTCCGCCCTGAGTTTGTTGCAACAGCACCCACGTGGAAAAAAGACCCAATCACTGGCAAGGTGGTTCCATACATCCCCAAGATGACCCGATACCAGAGGTTTGCAGGAATAGGAAGTGCCATTTCCTTCATGATTTTTCTTGTGATAGCAGCTGTTATAGGTGTGGTAGCCTACCGGGCTTCGGTTTATGGCTCTCTAGTGGCGAGTTCTGACGCGAAGGCACGAAAAAATGCTAAGATTCTCACAAGTGTTACAGCGGCCTTGTTGAACTTGGTATGAATGACTTTGTTTTGTTAAAGTTATGTAGATTCAGGCTTTACCTCAAGTTAAGGATTCGCTATCGCTACTGAAAATTAAAAGGATTTGCATGCCACCCAGTCATGGATTGCTGCCTTTGATTTTTGTTTTGTTTTGTTTTGTTATTGTTTTTAACTTTTGTTTTTGACTTCCGAGAAAGTCAAATCGTCGCCATGTTTTAAACGATTTTGTACATTTTTTGTGAAATTAACTTTAGTAATATTTTATTAAATGAACTAGTCGAGACCTATGCGTGTTCACTTGAATATATACTTTTTTTATGCATCTCTCTCCCATTCTCATTCTCTTTTTTCTCTTTGTCCTTCTTCAGGTCTGCATTAATCTTTTGAAGTTTTTCTACGAACGTCTAGCCCTCTGGCTGACGAACTGGGAGAACCCTCGCACCGAAACGGACTACAAAGACAGCTTCACCTACAAGATGTTTCTATTCCAGTTTGTCAACACCTATTCGTCCATATTTTACATTGCTTTCTTCAAGTTGAACCTGGTGATCGGCACACCCGGTAACTACCGCAGAATAGGAGGCAAGGATGGAAACCGGTTGGATGGGTGTGGTGTAGGGGGGTGTCTGTTGGACTTGTGCATTCAACTGGTGATCATCATGGTCGGTCAACAGATTATTGGCAATATTACTGAAATAGCCATACCGTGAGTATAAAGAAACTACAGGCTTTAATCACAGGTCAGATATGAAGTACTTGAGGAGACCTTTGACGACCATAACAATATGTTCGCAATAGTAGTACGAGAGAGCTAACCGGGTCTTCAAACTTAAAAAAGTCAGAGGTCTTTTTTCTTTAAAGAAAATAAAATATTTCCACCTTTTTGCGCTAAAAACATTCGGTGTTGAGGAGCGTAAGGCCCAGTTCAAACGTCGATCTTTTCATGTGCCGAACCTAATCCCTCCAATTAAGCACATGAAGAGATCGACGTTTGAATCGATTAAATCCGAGATGTCTAATTTGGGTTGACAGATGAATTAAGATCGAATGGCCCACATGGGAATTTCGACTGCGAAGCGACTTCGTTTCAAACGTCGAACTTCTTACGTGCCGAACCTTAAGCATAAATTACTAAAATTTAATTTCTCTTGTAAGTTTTTAAACCATTGGGCATAGTGTAAATGAATTAGGTCCTACTAATACAGTTCGATGTGTGAATCAACCGTCGAACTTGTATCATTTGTTTGTGTCGACCTAAATAGGTATTAGGCTCGGTACGTGAAAAGATAAACGCTTGAACTTGGCCTAAGATTTTTCTTGTGATAAGACAGTAATATGTTCCTTCAAAACCTATAACAATTGAAAAATAGTAATTGGTCTGTTTCTCAATAAAACAAAAAAAAGATGGTGAATGTAACGGTTCAGAGGCGTGGGGCAAAGAGTCCTTAACAGGATTCGAACCTGTGACCTTCCGAACACTGGACAGGCGCTCAATTCACTGAGCTGCAGAGAGGCCGTAATGGAGAGTGCATGACCTGATACTTGACAAGCGTCCCGAATACTGCTAGGTCAGTAACGTCAATAGCGTCCTGTATGAATTACAGAAAGATTTTGAATGTGGGAGGCGAATAATCAGCAAGGCACGAGCGTAACACCATCTTTTTCTTTAGCTCTTTTTTACTGCCAGGGTTCAATATCCTTTGGAACTTCTAGTATTTTACGAACCGTTCGGCCTTAGGGTTTCCTGATCAATAAAATATCGCGGGATTTTTTTAGTGTTGGGTGACGGTGTTGGTTAACAGCCATAAGGTATCGGCGTTTGTAAACATCCAGAAGTTTTACAATTGCTTAGTAACGAAAACATGTTCACATACTAAGCGAAAAGGTAGTTAGTTTACTTAATCCTGTCGTAGTGATACAATAAACGATGATTCAATTTACAGGATACGAAAAAACTTACACACAAGCTTTCGATTCCCTCGCGGAAACTTTATCAAGCGATGGATTTGGGCGTTTTGTCACGTGATTAGACTATGAATTACGTGACAGAACGTCTCGATAGATCACGGGGAGCTCGTAACCAGCGTCTTTGTTCAATGTTGAAGCCCGACAAAATATTTCGATTGCCTCCCCAACTCTTCTCTTAAACATGTTCACTTACTCGCAGGGAAATTTGTTTTTGTGTTTCTTTGTTTTATCAAGTGGTTTAATGAAGTGGTGGAAGATGCGTCAAGCAGCAAAGGAAAGTTTGGATATTCCTCAGTGGGAGCAAGACTACAAATTGAGCCCTTTACCTGAACATCATATGTTTTGGGAATATTTGGAAGTCGGTAAGTGCGCATCAGGACTGATATACATGTGCAAGTAATAGTAATAATAGTGATGATAATGGCGTTGATGATGACGATGACGTTGATATGACGTTGACGATGATGATGGTGATGATGATGATGATGATGATGATGATGATGATGATGATGATGATGATGATGATGATCAGTATTGGGTAATTAATGATGAAAATAATGATCTCTTTGATTGAAACAACGCTAAAATTGAGAATTCGGTTTTGCTTTTTGTTGATTTGTCTCTTACCTTAACTTACCAATTTAATACTGAGTAACCATGTTGAAGAAGATCTTGGACTCCTTAAGCGTCATCACAGCAAGTGTGCTTGTGAAATAGGTGTTGAGATCTCGTCTTAATGAGGAGTAGATGGCCGAATATACCCGCTTAACGAAGAGTTAAGACTGTTTCTTCTTAAATTTATAATGACAGATAGGTTTTTATGGTGTGTGATGCAACATTCTGTGCACCATTGATTGTAAAATCATTCCCCGGTCAATTCGCGCTTCTTTTTTAAATTGTTGACCACGTTATATTTTTTCTTTCAGTGTTACAGTTTGGTTTTGTGACCATGTTTGTCGCAGCGTTCCCTCTCGCTCCGCTCTTTGCCTTATTAAACTGTGCTATAGAGCTGCGTGTGGACGCCGTCAATTTTGTCTGCCAGTTTCGACGACCGATTGCGGACCGAGCTCAAGACATTGGAGCCTGGTACCGAATCATGGAGGGCATTGCAAACCTGTCTGTCTTAGTGAACGCATTTGTGCTCGCGTTCACATCTGAATTCATTCCTAGACTGGTTTACCGCAACTCGTACAGTCCAGACGGTACACTCGCCGGTTACGTGAACAAGAGCTTGTCTTCCTTCAACGTATCAGACTGGGATACACTGAATTTGATAGGGAAACCCGACGATAAGTACGTTTACCAGGAACTAAACTACACCATGGATTTTTGTAGGTAGGCATTAGAAGGGTTCTCTTGATTCTGTTGTATTCTGTCAGTGGGTGAGTTACTTGGCTTTATCATCCATCGTGAAAAGAACATTTCGAGGCTTCCCATCGGTCAAGTTCATATTTTACAGTAAAACAGGGATTATTCAAATGGAATGAGGGTTAGCTGATTTTGAGATTACAATAACAAATTTTGTTTACATCGTTTGGATTTTCAACGTTGCTCACTTGTGTGTGTGTGTGTGCGTATTTTTTTTTGTAGATATCCGGGTTACCACGAGCCACATGCTCCATATGCCGTGACGAAACAGTACTGGCACGTGATTGCCGCCAGGCTGGCATTCGTCTTTGTTTTCCAGTACGTCGTGTACGCTTGCACCAAGTTTGTTGCGTGGCTTGTACCTGACCGACCAAAACTATTAGAGCTGAAAATAAAACGCGAGGAGTTTTTGGCTAAGGAATCCCTTCAACAGCGAGGAGTCGAAGATATTGACGATGGAGATTTAGCAGTGGTCACCTAGAGAGGTTAGCTCTCAATTATTAATTTTTTTATTATTTTTTATTTCACGCTTTTTAACCTTAGGCTCGGTTTAGACGTCGCATTGCACTTGTGCCGAAATGTAATGCCAATGAGGGAAATCTATTGTTCTATCTCAATTGCATGACATTGGGTTCATGTGTAATGCAACGTTTGAGCCGGGTTTTATGACCGTTTACATGGAGAAAAGTTGTCCCGGAGGGGGAGGGTCACCCGTCTACCAGAGCCGCCCTGGGAAAGCCCCTAAAGTTGACTCGCCGGCTGGGAGGGGAGGGTAGCCTTTCTACCTAGGACAGGCTTTGTCCATATAAAAGGGGCCGAGAACGCGGGAAAAGCAACCGAGGTAGGTCAGCCCGGTTTCATTTGCAGGTTAGTTTTTTCAGTACAAATTCTTCACATTGAAATAGCTTTATTTTACTCTACAGCCGCTGCAAGGTGAAAACGGATTGGATGTCTACAGTGAACAATGAATTATGCAATAGCAACGCTCCCAAAATAACATTTCCTGTTTAGTTAGTATGTACTATTTGTTGATATATATTATATGTGACATAACTGGTCTGGTTGTGGTTAATTCTGTGAAAGATATATTCAAAAGGACTGTAATAAATAATCTTTCGTTTGGAGTCTCAATTAGATCAAAATAAAGCTCCTTATTGGTTTACTCGTGTTTTCAAACACCCTGCCTGTCGTTAGATGTCGTCAAAGGGACAAACTCACACTTGAATTCACACAATGTTTCTTGTCTTATGTAGGTGTGGATTCTAAATGTACCGTCGACTCCCGATAACTCGAACCAATTAGGAAATTGAAAAAAGTTCGAGCTAGCGAGAGTTCCACTTATCGGAAGTTCGAAGCAAATAACCGGAAATAAGAAAATGGGATGGAAATGAATGCAAGTAACATGCACACTTCAAAGCTTGATAAATACGCAACACTGGACACAGAAATTAAATTGGACTGACAAAAAGTAAAGACAAAGACTATGTGGTTGTTAAAATAATTTCAATGTTTCGGCCTGCAGTACACTTTTTTTTTCCGACTTGTCAGGCGCTTTAAGAATGGTTCGAGTTATCGAGGGTAAATTTATCTATCTGAAGGGAAACAAAAGTTACTCCGAGTTAGCGCGAGGTTCGAGTTAGCGAGGGTTCGAGTTATCGCGAGTCAACTATATTAGACGATTTGTAAACGGAGACCATCATTTCATTCCTTTGGTCGCTTTACCTTACCTCTTTAAACTTTCTATTTACCTGAACGAAGGTGTTATAACGGTTGCGGAGTTTTTGAAACGTCAAACATGACTGAATTTTTTTTATGAGGGTTTTATTCATAGCCAACCAACCAGGGGAGAGGGGAAGGGGGGTAGACAAGGAAAAAAACAAAGGCCGCAGAGCTGCGTTATTGCCTAGCTGCGGGCCTGTTTAGTGCGATAATCAGGTTTGATCTTCTCATAACCTCATATAATTGTTGAATACGCAACTCAAGTGGTTGTAGGGAATAATTCTTCTATAAAGTTTTTTTGAGAAGCGTGGAGATAATTGTCAGGGGAACCCAACGAGAATATAGTTCAAAACCACTTAAACATAGCATTGTTAAACGTATTTTAGTATTTAAACGGTAGATAAAGGCATATTTTTATCCCCTAAAAATTTTTATCTGTTCGGATTTCCTAGCTGAAAGTCTAGTGATCCGAAAGTTATAGGGATCAAAACTTACCTTTTCGAAAATGTCAGCCAGAAAAAAGGCTCCTGAAAATTCTAGGTGACCTTTTTAGGGTAAAAATCTGTTAAAAATGGACAATTATACCATTTTTTAGATGTTCGAAAATCCTAGGAGAGGCAGGCAAGCAAGAAATTTTACAACAAATGTTCCGAAAATTCTAGATCTCAAATCGTCTTCCGAACAGATATTTTCCCAAAATTGACGTTGGGTGCCCCTGAATTGTGAATAAGCGCTGTCGTTATAGCAGTTTCCATTACATTACTTAATTAGTTTTCTAGTTCTCGTTCAATACAGATACAATAAGTTCATCTCGTTGTATGGCTTATATAATGTATATCTTGCTGCCTGTGACTGAATAATGCTGGTGTGTGGAATCCTTAAATTTTAGCTTGAAATTTGTAAACTGCTAATAAAACCTTTTATGGGTATAGTTTCAGATGTATTTGAAATGAATCATCCTAGGGTTTCTGAAAGTCTTTTGTCACGCCTTGGGTCCCCTCATGCACCCGACTGGAAAGGATATGAGTTAACTTAGGAACGAACGAAACGTTTTCTGTTTCTCCTTTGAGGCCGTAATCACACTTTCACTTTAATCTGGTTGCCATAGCGATATAGCTGAAAATCCAAATCGCTTGAGTATACAGTTGGTGTTTTTTGCCGGACTTCGATTTATGTATTGCAGCCAAATTACTTCAAAGTCGACTAAAATCGAAATCCATGTCGCTATACAAGGATAACAGATGCTGCCTTGCCCGCCTCACGCTTGAAGAAAACTACGGTGCACTTCGTACATATTTTTGTTTAAACTTGGCGACAAATTCCGGAGATATAAGTTGATATTTCATTCACGATAAACGCCTCAAAAGCACTATTTGTGCGCATTTAACATCCTTTTGTAACTTCAAATCATCATCTTAAGCATAATAAATAATTAGATTTTACATAATGTTTCAAAAGAAAATTTTCGATTGTAGCCTGTGTTGCAAGCGTTTCGGCGCGAGTCCGTCGAAAAAGTTGGAAAGTGGTTGAAAAACAAACAAACAGACAAACAAGCAAACGAACACAATAGATACACTCAAGCAGCTTTATTTGTGTATCGAAGGCCCCGACATGACATAAACTCCTCGCGAGCTGGTTTTGCCTCATACCTTTCGGCATTCTTAACCCGCCCTTTATGAAACCCCGTTATTAACCATTGCATACGGCCACTAATTTCAGGCCATAAAAATGTGGCCGCAGGGAGTGAATTTTAAAGGTATTTCGCCGAGGCAACAGATTGGCCCTATAAAGGTTTTCTTTTTGTATTTGTATTTTGAATTTTATATTTTTTTAAAAAAAATTTCTCGTGTCCGCTATCCTTTTTTATTGGAAATAATTTTGAACCTTGGTTTTTTATCATCGTGCTTCACGAAGCTAATTAAACGGACTTACATGCTAAAAGGAAACTGTCTTGATCTTTCTGGTGTTGAATATAATTTCTTCCGATAGTTGCACAGTTGAATGATGATATATTCACAACTTCACTTGCATCGCAGTATATTGGCGTAATCTGCATCTCTCTTCCCCCAAGTTTGTCCGCAGTAAGAGCGTGCTGAGTGTAATCGCGAGCAGACGTGTGATCCTTCTAACGTATTGTTGTACAGTTTGCAATTAGCTTAGTTTAATGCTGAACAAACAAATACATAAACATTTCAATTACCATCGTGTAAGGTTCTACGGTTCGTTGGCAAGTATTTGCATCCGCTAAATCTTTCCTGTTTTCAGTCAAATATTTTGCAGGAAGTTTCGATTCCTTTTATTGTGAGTTTTGTAAATGTCCAAGAAAATACAGAAAAAAAGCCACGAAGTTAAAGAGTAATACCTTCTTCAAGGGTCTCATTTTAGTTCAGGACCCATTAAAAGTGAGGATACGTGTAAGAACAGTTTATTCTTGAAAACTTTAAGTTTTTCTTACTCCCGAGCCGTATGGTTTTGCAGGGGGCCAAGAAAACTAAAAGCCCCGTTTCAAATAGTCTCAGATGCCATTTTCTTGTTTTTTTTTTATTTATTAGTACTTGTTACAGTTAGCGAGGTAGTAACATATCAAGTTGCCTTCACGCTGCGTTTAAGACTTCCGCTGGTGCAAGGCACCTGTATATGCGCAGCAGGGAGGTATTAGCGGTAGATGATCGTTGGACTTATGAACCGTTTTTGATCGATAAGTCGGCATTAATTCATTTAATATTCGGGTCATTATGTATGGAGTTAGGTGGAATTGGACAAGTTCAACCTCGCACTACTAAACAGTTGAGAGCAGGGAGCTATGCCTTCATTTATTCGTTCCAGTTCCGCTTTGCCTCAGGTAGGAATGTCGTACTGGTGCAAGCTCCAAGTATTTGTGGTTTCCTGTCACGCCCAACGTCAACATGTATATACTGAGTGAAAAATATCCGTTTCGTAATAACTATCAAAGACTTCAGCATGGCCTCACCGGACACCAAAACTGTACGAATAGATGTGGACGACCCACCTGTCCACACGGGCGACGAGGAAAATGATCGCTTGTTGTTTGTAGAGGACCATAGGACAAATGCGAAGCGGAAAATCGACTATGTTCTTGTCTACGAGACATGTCAGGAGGAAGAAGATAAAATCCCAGCTTTCAAGGAAAGGGCCAGAAATCACGAAAACATGAGAAAAAGATTTGAAACGAGCCTGAAAGAAGCTGGTCTGGAACTGGATTCCCCTGATCCACAAGAAACCAGCCGTGATTTGGTAAGCCGTTTCTAAACATATTACATGGTGGCATTTACCTCATAGAAAGCTCAGTAAACTCGACATTCTGCGAGACACTATAATTAGTGATTGGCTAAAGGTATAATAACCTTTTATTTCTCAAACTGATTCTGACAGCTAGCCTGTAAACATTGAGCAGGTTTCAGTGCTGCTTACAACTCCTCTGTAACAGTGTTTGATCCGTTGCCTCGCACTTCTCCATGTTAAACTTATTAAGTCTTCGTATCAGTTGCAAACAGTTAGAAAAAAAGAAGAATGAATTTGTTTAAATTCTATTGTGTAATGAAATTTACAGGATTCTTTCGACTTTATTTCAATTTCTATCCATCAACTTACACCCCTTTTCATACTCTTCATGATGAAATTATTTTTGCTCTCTCAGCACCTATATTCCCTCCACTTTGTTAAAGAAAACTCGACCTACCAGTTTACAAAACACCTGTCTAGGATTTGGCCGCTGAGGGACTTTTACAGCACTTTTTTAAATACGAATTTATACTTCGTTTTAATTATGTAGGACTTGATGCGAGAATTGAGAAGACAATTTGCCATCACGCAAGACCTTGCCAAGGGCATTCAACCTCACAAACAGGTTTCTTTTCTTTCTTTTTTTAATAACAGTTATTGGTTACAACACTTCTAATGACAATACTTACATTTACATGGAGGAAAAATAAAAACAACGTACAAGAGATAAAGGAAAAATACAATATTACAGCACACAAACAGGTTTCTAGGGTAAGTCGATCAATTGAATTTGTGATCAGCGTCCAATTTAGTTCAACTGCAACGTGTAAGTGAAGGTTTCAGCAGTACGTTGTCTTATCACCGAGTGACATTTCACACTGCCCACGTTGTCATTTGTATGACATTCGGGACTTTGCAAGTATCTTACCTCGACGTTGGAAATACTCTTGTTTATGCCTTGACTCACTCTTCATGCGCTCGTTGATTGCAATATAAAGAAGTCTTAAATATTTCCACTGTTCATCAGCCTAGAAGGCTACAACGTCACACTTTACCCGTGCTATGCTTGTCTAAAAAGCGCTTGAGTACTGTCAGTTACCAAGCCTCTTCTTCGAGCAGCATTTGCTTCCTGTTAGATGGCAGATGCATTTCAAGGTTATCAACATTTTACTTCCAAGGAGGCATTTTGGCCAATTTCCTTTCTTTTTCTTTTCCTCATGGCTGTAGAAGGTATATGTTATGCTTCATTTTTGCCTTAGTCAAAATTTCAATTTCTTTCGTTTCAAAAGTATTTCTTACATTATCAAATTCAAGAAGATCAAAGGCTTTCCACAGAAGGCAAAATCGTTTCGAAATACTGCAACATATCAAAAAACTCAAGGGGGGAGGGTGGGGGTCCATCAAAGCCCCCCCCCTCCCCCCCCTTGTACCACGTTGGGGATACGAGTTTGCGTGTACGTCCGAACCAAATTTGTGTTGTTAGTTTCCTTTACTCTTATAAAGACGATTTGCTCGAAAATTTGGGCAAAATTAAACCAATGTCAAAGAATGCAAAAAGTAGACGTCCGGTTGACGTGCGTCGCTCAAAAACGTCTTTGCTTAAGTTACGTAATGTTGACCGAAGACCGCCGTTACAGCGAGGTTCGAGGTGTTTCGATACAGTTTTTTGGAGACCTTCCCAATATTTTTCAATCGCCTTAAAAGTAATTTGCTGCATGCTTGAATTCAAATAAAACGAAAAAATACTTCAAACCTTATTTTCAATAGCCGTGATAAAATGTTTAATGAAGAAAAATGATAAACAACTCAAATTGCTCTTAAGCAAGGGTTATCGGCCTGAAGCAAGGGGTTATGTGATTTATTGCGCCCTCGGGCAACGCACGAGGGGAATAAATCACATAACCACGAACCTAAGGCCGATAAATGGCTTATTTTTACATTGGCGAGGATTCCTCAAGGGATGCAAAAATACATTGACGTAAAATGTCTCTATTGTTCATTTTTCTTTTGTTTTTTTAAACACTCCATGCTGGCACTTGTGGGATTCACAAGTTTCTCGGCTTTTTAATTATGTTAGTTTCTCAAAGTTGCATTTCGAATTAGTTTTTCGTAGTGAATGCTAGAAACAGCCTAAAGAGCCTAGCAATGTCGACCGATTCAGATCTATCAGAAGTAGAGCCGTTTATTACTCAAACTAAAGCAGCTTTAATGGCGGTATACAATTGAGCTTTCGGAAAACAATTTTGACTCTTTTTATTTCGGAGGCAGACAACGAGCAAGCAGTTGACAATTTCAATTTTCGCACTAAGGATCTTTCGACCAACCCGCATGTTTACAGATAAAGAAGATTCCGGGCAAAGGTTCACTACTGTAACTGACAAGGAAATTCAGTCGAGGAATTGCGAATGAAGTAAGAATACCTACCACAAAACACAAAGAGCTCAACTACATGTCTTCATGCAGTAGACGAGTTTGGGATGACTGGTTAAAGAACGGCACACCTTACCATGACAGCGACACTTTCGTGGAACCGTAGAATTTTAAAGACGCTGTTCAATTTCACACTGTCGTTCTGGCTGTGGAAATCCAACAACTAAGAAAATCCGTGAATGTGGCGCAAAAGAAACGCAGCTCAGTTTAATTTTAGGAATTATAGGGTCGTGTTTAATATTTCCAATAAACATTTGTAATTTTTTTTTTTTTTTAATGAAAACTAATCAAAATGCGAGGGGATTATATATTAATATGCAAGGGGGATAAGTCACTTATCCCCCTCGCATATTAATACATAATCCCCTCGCATTTTAATTAGCTGTTCATTAGCCCCGCTCTTCCCTTCAAACAATCAAAGTCACACCCAGCTTTTCAGACAGTTGATTCGGGGGCTATGTAATATATTCCCCCCGAAAAGAACAAACGAATCCGAGCCTATGTAAAAATAAGCAGCATTCTGGCGTTACTTAATGTCATATTTCGTCAAGTTTTCGTTGCTAAAAAAATGTTGGTGTTTTTTCTTTTTTGCGATCCTGAAAAGTAAGCTGTTTTCTTAAAACCTGTCTAAGTGCATGTTTATTCCAAACTTTGACTTTGACACCTTAATGAATTTCCAGCAAGAAACAAATCACTTAACTCTGATCCCCCGGGAAACAGTTGATTTTGTTTTCCTCTAATCTCAATGTATCCCTCGGGTCCGCCTCTGGACACACTGAATAATTAGCTGTTTCCCCAGGATCTGTCATTAAGTGTTGAATTTTAAAGCACTCCAAATCTTCATAAAACTTCTCCTTTTCCATAACTTATTCTACCCAAAAAAATCTCAAGAGTTAATTAAACGAAATGTGCTCCGCCACATCGACATCTTACTCTGAGATGGGATTTTTCTTTTATATCCAAAAGTTAAATTGATATCATCAAACAAGAGAGGATAAAGGGGACAGAGAAGGCATCCTCCATACACACCCTATTCCACAGGTAATTCGTCTGGAGTTATTTTCAAGACCACAGATCCCAAGGGGGATTAGACAACAGCCAATCACATAGGCGAATGTGCTCCGCGTGGATGACCCACGCTCAGAGCAACGCGTCCTTCACGAATTGAGGCAGAAAAAAAATCGCGGAAGACGCGGAGAGCGATATTGCTATTCGTTTTGTCGACGAAAACGACTAAAGAGAGATTTCTGCTAAAGCTGTGTACGCGAAACGGACATTAAAAAAGAATCGACCTTCCTCTCTTGTATAGAGCTAACAGTACAACAGGGAAATCCTTGACACAGTGAATATTCTCTCAGGATCATTTATAATTTACAGTTTGAAGAGAGCAATTTCTGGTTTGATATTTATTCTTTTATTAGTCTTTTATTATTCAACAAAAGTCCTATAACGATAATAATAATTTAATAACTTCTACAGCGCTATTTACATTCACTGATCAAAAGCGCTTAACAACTTAAAAAAACTACAATAAAATTGAAATTTGTAAAACTAATTACATGTAAATGAATATTACTTGCTACTTGCTTTATTGTACAAACGACCGGTTTCAATAGACCGGCGAAATTTCTCATTTTATAAAGCACTGAGGTTACGATAACTTCGAGTTAAACTGATTTCACGGGGTTGTCAAGGAGTCGAGCGATTCCCTTTTCCCAGATGAGCGCCGACTCATTTCGCTTCAATATTCAGGAATGCTGTCGATCTCTTTACGCTTTCATTGCCTTTCGCCCGACATGGTTTGCACGGCGTTTAGTAATGCGAAACCTCCACGAAACCTCCACGCAGCGCGCGTGGTAACTTTATTCCGATTACCCGGTATAAAAATAACTCGAGACGAATTACCTATGGAATAGGGTGTGTATGGGAGATGCCTTCTCTGTTCCCTTCATCCCCTCTTGCATCAGATTATTATTGGGAATGAGCTTCTTTATTATGAGGGCATTTTGGTTATGTGCTTGTTTTTACTTTCAGCGCCCTCTAATCAAACGACATTTTGTTCTTATTCATGCTCCATGGTCCGTGTTGGCCAAACACGCTGAAGAAATGCATCTAAAAGTTCCCTTTAAAGAGAATGACGTTGAAATCAAGAAGTCTTGGCTTGAGACGAAGCTTAAGGATAAGAGAAACCCGTTAGTGATCCAAGATCCTACCTTTGAACACTCGAGAAGAATTCTTCATGGCAAACTTCAGGCAAGATCGCTTTGAGAAGTTCGTCAAGAATGACCACATAGAGGAATTCTTTGATAATATCGACCGCGTGTACATCGTGCAGAGAATCTGCAAAAGCGCTTACTTTGGTGCATCAGATGGTAAAATGAAGTCATTAGATGACCAAACGGGCTCGGCGGAGAGGGGGCCAGTAGATGATCAGACGGAACCAGCGGAGGAAAACCCGTCAGTGGATAAGACGGAAGAAGTGGATGTTGGGTTGGAAAAATTGATTCTCAATGGCGCTTACGTAGCAGCATACCCACTTCATGATGGCCCTGATGTTCTTGAACGCGACAAAATCCCGAAGAATGACCGTCAGTGTCTCAAACGTGACTGGGCCAGGCCTGGAAGATTGTGTAAATACCAGCCGTATGACGCAATCAACAAATACTTTGGAAGTGAGATTGCTATGTATTTCGCTTGGGTTGGGTTCTACACGGGAATGCTAGCTCCGCTGGCCATCATCGGTTTAATCGTGTTCCTGTATGGAATCGGTTCTGCTGGTGATCACATCCCCGTTAAAGATGTCTGTGATGAAAATAACAAGGGAAAATGGTACATGTGTCCATTGTGCGACAAGAAGTGTAGCTACTGGGATCTCGCATCTACTACATGCGTGTATGCTTATGTTACCCATTTCTTTGACAACGACTGGACAGTTGGCCTGGCCGTGATTGCATCGATCTGGGGAACCCTGTTTCTTGAGTTGTGGAAACGTCGTCAGCGAATACTAGCTTATGAGTGGAACATGGATAGCTTAGAAGAAGAGGAAGAGCTCTTGCGCCCAGAATTTCCAGCCTCCCGTTATATCACGGAGAATAAGCTCACAGGAAAGAAGAAGATAAGAATTCCTAAGTTCGAGAAGTACAGCCGTTTAAGCGCTGTCGTCGTGTTGGTGCTGACCATGATCGCTTTGGTCATCGCAGCGGTCGTAGGTGTCATTATATACCGAGCTGCTGTTTTTGCATCTCTTAGTGGTCATTGCGACAGAATGATACACACCAGGGCCAGAATCATTACTTCAGCGACAGCAGCTTTCCTTAATCTTGTTGCTATCAACTTGATGAAGTTCGTCTACAACAAACTTGCCTTGTGGTTAACAAACTTTGAAAATCCCCCAACTCGTAGCGCCTATGAATACAGCTTCACCTGGAAAATGTACTTGTTTCAATTTGCAAACACGTACGCCTCTGTCTTTTACATCGCATTTTTCAAGTCTGAGCGTGTAATTGGAACTCCGGGAAAATACGAGCGAATCGCTGAGAAATTTCGATTGGATGGGTGTAGTGAGCAAGGGTGCTTTCTTGAGCTTTGCGTTCAGCTTCTTATTCTCATGGTTGGACAACAAATCATTGGAATTATCATGGAGGTTGCCATCCCGTAAGTACCAAAGACGGTTACTATTTTTAATAAGATAGGGGATAGCTTAGTAGAATTCAAACTGCAAATCCGGATGTACTTCTCTTGCTATAATATATTAGGGTTTTCGCCCCAATCTTTTGCTACAAGCATGGGCCGGGATATTGTACCGTCCCGACTCATGCGGTCTGCGCACGATACTTTTAACTATCTCTCTTTGTGTCTTTTTGCTCAACACGTTGGTGGCTGGGAGACGGACTTTAAAGCTTTCAGAGGTTGTTTTGGATAGGGCTGTGCCCTGGTATTACAACGTACCTTTATTTTTCTATTTATATATTTGTTCATTTACTTACTTAATCCCTTCCCTCTCATCCACTTCCAATAAGATCTCATATTTATGTTCTTGCTTGTTGCATATGCATCTAGGTACCTCAAGTACCGTTACAAGACTTATATGAGGAAAAAGAACAAAAAGGAAGAAACGGAGAATTATCAAATCGATTTCGACCTGAGCCCATTTGAAGATCATTTCATGTTTTGGGAGTATCTACAAGTTGGTGTGTAACGATAAATTGTCAAAATGTTACTGAGGCGAATTTTGAATGGGTTACAATGTAGAAATGTTTTTTTAATGAAATTATCCATGCTACTTCTAGTAAGAAAAACACGTTTTTCCAACATAGTCTTGTAAACTCGTATATTTATGCCAAGTATCTTTATTCTGGAGAGCAAGGCCTCAGCAGTGATCGATGATGATCTTGAGGCGTTCATCCTGGAACTACAACGTGAAGACCTCTCTGGGGAGAAGGTTCCTAAATATCGTCGACAGACACTTCCCGAAAAATACACTAGAGCTAAGATACTCCTGCATGCCAAATATGAAAACAATCATCTCGTGACACAACAAAAAAACTGCTATCAGATTGCAATCGGTCCCGAAATTCAACACAAATACTCGACAAAGAGTGTAACTGCAGAAAAAATGATCAATGCCCCCTCGAAGGAAAATGCCTCGCATCAAACGTAGTCTACCAAGCAGCAGTCACAACTGAAACACCAACAGATTCATACGTCAGACTCGCGAGAAACCTCAAAGAACGTTACAGAAACCACACATGTCTTCCTTCTGACATCAAAATAAGAGACACGAAACTGAATTATCAAAGCACATGTGGACACTCAAAGACAACAAAAAGCCTTTCAACCTAAAAAAATCATCAAGCAATGCAAACCTTACAACAACGTTACTAAGAAATGTAATTTATGTCTTTTTGAAAAATTCATTATCATTTTTAAAAAGGATTTCTGCATTGTAAACAGGCGAAATGAGTTAGCAAGTTCATGCCCCCACAGAAACCTCGTCAATAACTTTACGATAAAGAAACACAATCTTCCAAATTATAAATAGCAATCACATGATTTATATGATAAAATAACGCTGTTTTTATATCTCATAGCAACCGTATTTCCACTTTTTTGCCAGTTATTGTAATTTAACGGTCATGCAGTCGTTGAAATTATTACCTGATCGATGAGTGTGGTCGTCTTTTAGCCATACGAAACAGAGCTGTAGTAATAAAACGATGCACTAGTCTTGAACCAGTTTGTGAATGCTCCTCTAAGAGTTGAGCGCTCTCTAAAATACGTTCAAATGAAGTTCAAGAATTTATATATAAAAATGTATATATATAAAAAAACGATGCACTACCTCTGAAGTCTTGAACCACCCCTTATGAGTTTCTGTATTAACCGACACAATTAATGCACAGTGGAACCTTGTTAATGCAACCACCGTTGGGCCAAAAACTCCTGGTCGTGATAATAAGGTGATGGCATTAACGGGATCTTCAAAATAATAACATGACTCAGTGGTTGTTATGTTTGGGTCGAAATAATATGGTCGCAGTAAGGAGATTGTCGTGTAAACGGGGTAATCGTAAGGCGGGGTTCCACTGTTCTACTGTATCTTGATTTTACATAACATTTGCATTGCACACCACAAGCGTATCGTCAACTGATACAGCTTAAAGTGCTCCAAAAAGAAATATATCAAATATTTATGTAATCAGTCAATTTATAATATATTACCCTTCCATATACCTTATGCAGGTCGTTTATTAGTGTGTTCATATTGTTTTGTTCCTTGGTGATAGTTTTACAGTACGGATTCGCGACCATGTTCGTGGCTGCTTTTCCACTCGGTCCTCTGTTCGCCCTCCTTAGCTCAGCCATTCGCATTCGAGCAGACGCCTTCAATTTTGTGTCCCAGTTCAGGAGGCCCGATATTGTTCACGCCAAGGATATCGGTGCCTGGTTTCGCATTCTCAAGCTGATTACAAAAGTTTCCATCTTAGTGAATGCATTTGTGCTGGCGTTTACCTCGGAGTTCATACCTAAACTTCTGTACAGAGTGAAGTACTCATCGGAATCTTCCAGTGGAGGAACGCTGACTGGTTACATCAATAACAGCCTGTCTTCCATTCACACGACTGACATATTTCGAAAAGAACCCGGAACGGAACCAGAAGACTCTTTTGCTCAATTGCCATACAATGACTCAGTCTGCAGGTATTTCAAAAATATTTTTGAAAATTTGTTTTAAGTTCTTTTATTTCACTTATTTCAATTCTAAGGTAATAATAGCAGGCGTCTCATTTGTGTATCGTTTGTACACAGGTTTGAAAAGTCGAACTGCAGCTATAATCTTGGGGGCTATTTTCTGTCCATTACGTACCTGAACGGTCTTTCATTTTAACTCATGATGTCGACTGGCAATATTACAGAAACTAGTTCTGTAAATAGCCTAGTAGCCAAATGCAGAGAAAGGCAATAAAGAACTGAGAAGACTTCTTGACATCAGGGGACATTTGAAATTGCACGCACCAAGATTGAGGGGCTAGCTGTTTATGTGATAGATGTGATTATATTTTATTCCCTAGCGAGTTTCCAGAGTGAAGTTCGTAATGCATTCACACATTTACATGATTGGATTAAACTTCTCAGCATACAATGCAAGGCGTTCTCGCTCGAATGGTGTACGCGCCAAGATGCGATATGAACGCCACTCACCCCAGACTACACGATTTGCGATTATCAATTCGAAACGAAGTTCTTTTTCAGTTTACATGATACCAGAATGAAATTTCGTACCAGAGCGAGAATTTCATTCGGAATGAAAACCGAAATGATCTCTTTCAGGAATGACTTGTAAGGGAACAACATTATATTTCAGCTAAATTTCGTCTAGGCATCATGTGAACAGGTGCAAAGAAATATATGGACATGGATGAACTCGTTCCGGGATGAAAGTCATTCCGGTATTATGTAAACAGACCTTGAATTTAAGTCCCACCAGTAAAGAATCCAGCCTTTACTACCTATAAAGAATCTTTTTTCCAGTTGTGCCTAGCAAGTCGACGTTATCGTCTGATAGAGTCCAGCATTAGACAGTCTAGATAGCGTGACCTCTTGTAATTGTTTTCGCCAATGATTAAACAAAGGCCAACACACTCTATTTCCCTCAAGGGAGAGGACTGCTGCGCAGACTGGTTTTTCTTTTGATTTTTTTTCAGGTATCGTGGCTATCATGAAGACTTCTGGCCTTATAACTTTTCCAAGCAATACTGGGAATTGATTGCTGTGCGCCTCGCTTTCGTATTTGTGTTTCAGTTCACTGTGTTCTTGGTCAGTAATTCCATAACCTACTTGGTCCCCGACGTTCCAGAGAGTTTCGCGTTAAAGAAAAAGCGAGAGAAGGAGCTGATTAAAATTGAGTTTGGGAATAAGGTGTTAAAAGCAAGAAGCACCCAAACAGCTTCAGTGTTTTCTAACGAAGTTGTTCAGCCCTTAGCAAAAGAACCTGTCGGGAATCAACCAGTGGGGCCACACTTGGCCAGTGAGGATGCTGTTGAACGGGTTAGTAATCCATTACTTCCCCTTTGTTGTCAAAGATATTACAACACTAAGCAGTTGAATCTTTTTAGGTAAATGATTAACCAGGCAATCAACATAAAAAAGGAACTCTAATCGTTAATAAAAAGGGGGTGTAGCTAGGATTTTTCAAAGGGAGTGGGGGGGGGGATCCACACTGTCACACCCACAGTCCTTACCAGATTGGCATGTCGATATCTACGACTTGTTTTACTAGAAGTAACTTTTTTTTTGGATGAGCAATGAACGTGGAGGGAGGGACAAGTCTACAAAATAGCTGCATGGATGAATTAAGACAGGAAGGGTCGAATTTGTTGTCTGTTTAAACCAATGAATGTCTGCTCTGACATTCATAATTTTAGATACGAGCAAGAGCATGGTCCACTGCAGATGGTCGGTCCTGCAAATCTAGCACTGGAGAAGATTTATTGAATGCTAGTCATGCGGATTCGCGCGTTTTCGCGACCTGAATTATAGGGACACAAAACAATTATCTCACAAAGGGGGAGTCACGGGCACCCCAGGACCCTGCCCCCTAGCTACGCCCCTGACAAACCTCACGTGATATAAATTCGTCATACGTTGGTCACTTGTTTTTCTTTAAAGATTCTCTTTCCTGTTAAGGCGAAATGAAGGTTCTGGGTGGTTAAAAATAAGGGTGTCCTCAACAAGGAAAAAGAGAAGAAAAATTTTGCCTCTGTTAGCCTGAGCATTCTCGTGTGTTTATGATATAAATTGCTGTTTAATGTATTTCTTTGCAGCCACTTGAAGGCACGGGTCAACAATGGCAACAGTTACCTGAGTGAGCGAAAAGGACCTGTGTCGGCAGCTTTTCTGATCTAGACATGTTCATCTAAACCATACTGTGCACCTTACCTGGATGAACATGATGTTTGTATTGCCATCAAAATTGTTTAGATTTCTCGTGTGTATTTCTCGTGTGAAATTCGTGTTCTGGTAGTCAGGACAATGATTTATCATTAGAGTTATCTTCACCCACCTACTTAATTTACAATTTGATTCAGATGACCCATTTATATTCAAAGGAGGCTGTCATACGGTATACACTCCGTATAGATTTATGTAAAAGAATTCGAACCAGATTTTCAGAGTGTGTGACGGTTTGTGAGCATGTATTTAAAAGTTTCTGTTCAAAAGAATGATGGCATATGGCCAGCATACCTATATAATTAACCTTAATTTCTTTTTTTTTCTTGTTATCAGAGTTTGTGTGTTCGAACTAGAATTGATCAGGTTTAATTTCGTGTGTTCACACTAGTGACGTCGCGCTATCCCCAAGATAAATTGTTCTCCAGTGGATAGAGTGATTTTCGTATGACCTTGAAATAAAAACGCGCGAACCGAAACAGAAGCAACAAACGAACGGAAATAGAGCCATTTGATTGGTTTATCGAACGGACACAAACGCGCGTGGCTTTTGGTTGGTTAAGCGAACGCTAGGGAGAAAAAACCTCATGCCCGAGAACTTTCTAGAAATCGACCGATACTTAGCTTTGACGTCATTCTGTTCGATTGGCCAATCGAACAATGCCCTCTCCATATCAGGGTTTACTTTGGGGGGAAAACGAAGAGTCCATGTTTTGATCTTTTCGTCCACTGGCTGATAAAACAAATAACGAACACTTACCGACACCATTTTTCAAGATCATACGAATATCGCTCTATAAGTATTGTTGAAACCCAACGACGTTGTTCACTTAGCAGTGATATTTCCATTGGAGAGTACGTTCCACCATTTAAATAACAGGGACCGCGGCCAGTTCATTTTCTTTTCAAGAAAACTCTGATCTGTGGGTAGGACGCGGCTTAAGAAAGCACTATAGTCAGACCACCAGATCTCTTTCTTACTGGGGTAATTTTAGAAATTAAGTGCTTGTCCAGTCTAGGCTATATGCTTTATTGAAATTGTTAATGATTAGTGGGGTTTAGATGAAAGCGTTGGGCAAACTGAAAACGGATTAGAACGCGATTTTGTTTTGTTTCGTGGAATCGTGTGATCATGAATGCTAAGCATTAAACACTGCATACATATCGCATTGTATGCAGTTATTTTATTTTACCGTATCCACTTTGTTTTCAAATTAATTCTCCCAACCCGTAACCCTTTAGAAAAAAGCAAAGTAACTAGACCAGAATTATTGTGGGGAAAAGGGGTAAGGGATGCTAGGCGCGAAAATATAGGCATCAACTGTTCATGTGATAGCTGGCATCTAATTGGGTAAGCGGAACATTAGTGTGACAGAGGTCACACTGCAGGAAGTGACCTCTAAAAGGAAGGGAGCTGGTTCGATTACTGGTAAAGGCGGGTCTATGGTACCCTGGGTACCAGAGGTTTTTCTCGCTTGCGGCCGGAATTTTCGGTGTTGGCCGAAGGCCGACCGGAAACCGCGCTAGAAAAGTCTCTGGCACCCAGGGTAGGTCTATGGTTATCACATTGACTTTAATTTATCGTGTTGAATAAATTAGCTTTATTTTGTAAATGCTCTTTAACGTCGGCTAAACAGGCTCGAGAGCTCAATAATACACGTATTTTGAGGTGTAAGTACCGGTAAGCTAGCCGTCAAATTGAGGCTTCAACACACCCACCAAACAACCTTTGCTTGCTCCTCCCTGAACGGGTGTCTAAACAGTTACTTGGGGAATTCAGGTGTTCCAGTTATCCTCCACTTGGCCCAAAATTCTTGTAAAAACTTTGTACCCACCTAATCTGCTACTAGTACGTACTGCTGGGAACCCATGGCCATCTAAAAGATGAGCCACCCTTACAGTTACCTGTATTATCACATTACATCGGGCTGATGGTGACGATAAGATATATGAATGAGCACTATTTTAATGCTCTCGTGTAAACACGACCATCAGAACACAGTTTCATAAGGAAATGGGTCTGTGTATATGCACTATTCTCTCAATCAGGCACTTGCAAAGGACACTAAGTGTTCTAAAAGTATAAACGCGGTTAACTATGTTTTCTTGCGTTGTTTTTATTAGTAATATGTCCTATTAGTAACTGTGCTTGCTCCTCCGAATTTAAAGGAACCGAAACCAATTGTTAACTGAATTGGAAGCATTAGGCATCCTACTGATAAAAGATCTTAAAACGGTTAATTGGATAAGTTGGATTTTATCGTTTAAAGTCGGTTTTCTCACTTCAATTAAGCCTTCCAATGGAAGTATCTCGCCATGACGTCGTCGCACAATTGGAGCAAAAGTTCAAAGATGAAACTTGAAATCGAGTCGCCTTGTACGACATTTCGTGCCATGAAGAACAAGCTCGCAGCGCCAAATATAAATGAGCGCTGTTCCGTATGACTGTTTTATTCTGGTTAACTTCATTTCTTGTTTCTTAAAATTCATTTCCCGCCGATCGGTCAACTTAGTTGGTTGAGTGCTGAACTGCTATGGGGGAGATCTCGGGTTCGAGCCCCAGACCGGACCAACACTCAGGAGGAGAACATGCTGCCTTTGCAATGACATCTGCAAATAGTTAGATGTTCTGGTCTTCTCGGATAAGGACAATAAATCGTGGGCTCCGTCTCCTACATCTTCAGTTTTATATAGTCAGCAGGGGACGTTAAAGAACCCACTTGTCGTAAAGAGTAGGGCACGGAGTTCCGGGTGTAGCGGTCTGGCCTTGTTTCACGGGTTGGTGCTTTACATAGGGTTAACTTCATTGCACCTTCCCCCCCTTGGACATATTTGGCCAAGAAAAATGATCATGAGTTGTTTCCCTGGAATTAACTGCGCTGATCAATCTTAAAAATATTAATGTAGCTTAAAATGTAGCTGGGTAGCAGACCATTTTTAACCATTTTCAGCAGACCATTTTTAGCCATGACAGACTGTCTTTGTTTCTATCTATGTGGAAACGAAGCCGGGCTCTTAAATTTTGACTTGAGAGGGAAGAGGGACTGATTTCCGACCGACTTCGTTGGAAAATATATGAATGTCATTATTAGCCCCAACGGTTGTAAATTGAACAACCTATTTTTAAACGAATATATAGATTGTAAAATTTAAGTTTTCTGGCAACTTTAAGTTAATAAAGTAAAGGTTACTTTAGTATAAAGGTGTTTATATACACCCTCTTTCGCCATTTCATTCATGAACTAAGACTAAGTTGTTAAGCCCATGTCCTGCCAATCGTCCAGCTCAGCTTCCTTGTTTTCTAATCTTGCTGTCACCCTTTGTGAGCCAACTATTCCACAAAAGTAGTCCTCAATCTCTCTGCGTTCAGGCTCTCGATGAAGTAATTAAGAGGGCTTTTTTCGATCCAGTCCTTTTGTCGAAACCATCTCGTAAACGGCTCCTCTCTCTGGAATTTAAATCAGTTAGTTGTCTAGTAAGACGCCTCTTGTATAAATTAGGCCATAGTCAAAACAATATAATAATAACAGAGAAAGGGTGGCTTAATTTGCAGGTGCGACTAAATATCCCGTGACTCGAACTCTAACCCTAAATATAAAACAGATTCACTTGTACCTCCGCCGTCTATGCGCCTAGTCGCCGCGTCCATTAACATTGTGCTTGCTAAATGGCGGGTGACACGATGATATTGTTCTAGGACAAATTTATGGGTCTCTTTATTCTGAATTCATACTGTATCCATACTCATCCAAGCAATGATTTTTAAGTGCATTTTATCTCGGACATTGAGAACACATCTAATAAACCAACGAACAAATGAACAAATTTAGTGAAGAGAAGAAATACTCAAATGAGAACTGTCTTCGCTCTTCTCATTATAGACGTAAAGAATGTAAACTGTATGCAAATAAACAGGAGAGAAGAATAGCATTTATTTTCCGTCATCTTAAAGGCAAAGCCGTGTACTGGAAAAACGAATCGTTATTCCACCCCCGTAAAAATAGCATTTTTTCTCGTATCTCTCTTTTAGTTCCCTAGCCAACATTTACGTAGTTATTGGCCTCTGCGGCTAATGAGTAAATTCGAGAACGTCCAGACTTCCTTCAGAATAGAAAATACCAGCCTTTGTTTACTAAAGGTTAAATTTGAATATTTATAAGGCAAGAAGTATCCAGAAATATTTTGCGAAGGGTGAAGCACAAATACTTGAGACATGTATCTTTTACTTCTTTTGTTTTGATTTGATTTATTCTCCCAGCATAACAGTGCAATAGTTCTTTGGCACTGTCAACTTCTGTACTGACCTTGGTTAAATACTGCGCAGATATTGGCGAATTTGCAACTCAGATCAGGTTAGTTCTATTTTCATGCAAATATTTATCGTTATCTGTCACACCCTCGTGTTGTTACAGGCTAAATCACCGCTTTACTCGCAGCCTCCAGCAATAGAGCCAAAAAGCGAGACGTTCTGACATGGCGAAACCAGTTTCGTATACAAAGACTCCGGAGGATGAAGATGTCACTCTTGAAATGGTCGAACCGTCGATTAAGCCTAAAAGTGACGGCGATGGGGCCGTTGGATTGTACTTTGAACGCAGTGGATCGAAGAAGAAAATCGATTATGTCCTTGTGTTCGAGCGCTGCCAAGAAAAAGAGGACGAAGATGAAGAATCCAGGGCCAAGTCAGAAAAGCTTGAAGAAATGAGGAAAGCGTTTGAAACTAGCCTTGACAAAGCTGGTTTACTGGTCGAACGTGTGGAGCGTACTTGCTCTAAGGTAAGCACAACCTGAAGAATGTCACAGTTATGGCGTGTGATCGATTTAGGCTCGTCTGGAAATTCCTTTGGTATAACTTACTTATGTGCCTTTACGGGATTTTGTAGTTGTGCAAGAAAGGAGGAAAATTAACAATAAATCCGGCTTCAGGGGTTTCGACTGAAATTTTTATTGTTTTTAATTTTTGATAATTCCATTGGTTAATTCATGCGTGACTCGTTGGATCCAAAAAAATCGAGATCGTTACATTGATCGCTGGTAGATCAAGCGAACGAGGGAATTTTTGTTTTATTAACTTTTCTAGAGAGTTCACGATTCCTTTAAATCCTGAATTCTTGAAGCTTCACGATTATCATGATAAAGTGAGTCACAATATTGATTACTTAATCGAGCGAGAAGTTTCACAAGCTAAAGAAAAATTTCTTACCTCAGTTGGCAGAATTGCTTTTATAAAACTTGAATTCTTTTAATGTTCTGTTGCCGGTTGTTGTTTTTTGACCGATCGACGTGTACTAATCGTTAAAACAACGTTGTGAAAACTCTCATTTAAGAGCCGTTTTATCTGAACCGTTAATCCAATATAATGAAAAATTTTTGCCAAAAATATGTATTGATATATATACCTTTGCATGCAACAAAATTATTGCCAAAATGTAATTTCCTAATGTTCCTTTTTAATTTTTTTGTCAAGACGCATACTTTTCTGAGGTAACACAGCACTATCCCGTTGGGACCCTTAACCAATTTTTGAACACACATACAAGCAAACGAAAGCAAAATTAACATAAGAGAGATTTAAAGTTTCAATATGGCTTGATCAAAAGATTAACCACTCTACATTTGGTCTTGACAATGATATTAACCTCATCAAAACGTCCATACACACCCACTTCAATCTACAATGCATCGTTATTAGTTTGTAAAATACAAATTGTGTATGACAACTTTTATATATTTAAAGCAAGTATACAATATATAGATTTTAATAAACGGTGCTGATGGAAAATTAATTGACAAACAGTGTCTTATGAAAGAAAAACATTTTGTTAAAAAAAGGAAACAGCAAGAACAAGGAATGAACACTTAGTAAATACTACACACATGCAGTACTTGGTTACGCTATTTGGTTTTGTCTTAAACTGCGAGCTTCATTCTCGCTCTTTTATCCAATTTTTTTACTACGTTTCGGGCTAATTGATTTAAACCGACAACTGTCTATACACCATTATTTTTCAACAATATATATTTCTCAAGAAAATATGTAGAGACAACTTATTCTCTTTGGTTTAGATTATATTATTTCTGTAATTAATCGGGAGAGAAGAATAGCATTTATTTTTCCGTCATCTTAAAGGCACAGCCGTGTACTGGAAAAACGAATTGTTATTCCACCCTTGTAAAATTAGCATTTTTTCTCGCATCTCTCTTTTAGTTCCCTAGCCAACATTTTACGTAGTTATTGGCCTCTGCGGCTAATAAGTAAATTCGAGAACGTCCAGACTTCCTTCAGAATAGAAAATTCCAGCCTTTGTTTACTAAAGGTTAAATTTGAATATTTATAAGGCAAGAAGTATCCAGAAATATTTTGCGAAGGTAAAGCACAAATACTTGAGACATGTATCTTTTACTTCTTTTGTTTTGATTTGCTTCATGCTCGCTCTTTTATTCAAATTTTTTTCTATGCTTCGGGCTAATTGATTTAAACCGACAACTGTTTATACACCATTATTTTTCACCAATATAATATTATTATTAATATATTTCTCAAGAACATATGTAGAGACAACGTATAGATTTTGTTTAGATCATTATATTATTTCTGTACTTAAACGGAAAAGGCGAAAGATCATCGCGACTCCACACTTATAACTTATGCTGGAAGAATTACTTTTAGTCCACTACGCCTTTTGCCCTTCATTCAGGCTAGAAAATGAATTTTCATTAGCGTCGTAACTTCAGTCTGTAAAATGGATATGTATTCATTGCTGACAAATAAGCTAATATTTTAATTTTCGTGTGGATGAAAAAAATTTGTTTTGTTGTCAATACTTTGTAACAAAATAGTTTAAAGTTTTTGTTGACGCTAATTCGTCTTTATGTCTATCCATATTCCTTTGATCCGGTATGCATGTGTGTTTAACAAAAATATGATTGGGTGAATTTTTGCCAGGTTAATTTTTTTCCAAAACAACAAATTAGGTGAGATACTACTCACAGTATGGCTGTGGATATCTATTTCACTGTACCAGGGACTGTACCTAATCGGTACAGTGAAAATAGCTTTGCCAGTTGTCAGTTGAGCATCATTCTTCAGAAGCCATGCTTTGTTCAGTTACATAGTTACGTGTATTACGCATGCGTAGCGCTGTGCAACCAGATAAACCTTTTTGCAGATACATATATATATATATATTTTTTTTTTTCTGTACAGATATGATTGTTCATGTCCTCTTCACAGAGCAAAAAAGTCAGAATAAATGTACATTCTTAAGGCTTTTTGAGGCTCCTAGGAAATAGATTAGTCGTGGTTCACTTGGTTCTAGAACTCCAACATGAAAATCACGTAACTTTCAACAGCTTTTAAGTAGCTTTTAAGTTTTCAACACTTAAACAATGTCTTGGGCAAACTGCACTATCTTTTATTTCTAGACACACGCCTTTCAAATCTAACAAGCAGCTCCTAAGCATGAAACAAAACAAACCAGTGGGCGACAAAATCGTTAGGTTTAAGTGTGAACTTAAAGAATCCTGCCTGGCGTTAAGTCTGAGGTGCAGATTTCGCTTGTTGGAAATATAACTTTTTAATAATTTTAAGCTCTATTATGAAGCCTCTACAAAAAAAAAAAAAATTATCTATCCTTTGAAAACCATTGAGCCAGAAACAAGCTAAGAATTATGCAAATACTTACGCCCATTTCAGTGTTTTGCCCAGATTTTTCCATCGAATTAATAACTCCCGCTGAACTTGGGCAGGACTTCGCGATGAATATAGGTTCTAACGGATACTCTAGATTAAGCCAAGATGAAGATGGTATTGAGTTGGAGCTAAAAAAAGAGCCAAGGGGCATTTACTTTAGCGACGGTATGGAACCAAAGAAGCGTATCGACTATGTTTTAGTGTACGAAACAAACACAGAAAGCGACTCTGATGACACTGAACAAAAAAGACTAGAAACTCAGCGACACGTCTTTGAGGACAACTTAAGAAAGGAGGGTTTATCAATAGAATACGATGAATTAATTTCGTCCAAGGTATGTGTCTCCGCTTCAGGATAAAGTATGTGATCGTTAGAGAATAATTTTATGCAATGATTTTGCACAGAGTTCAGTGTACGTCAAGCTCTTACTCCCTAAGCTTTGTTATTGGTTGCGAATTTGTTGCACTATTCGGTCCTTCCTATATTCAAAACTAACCGGACACATCTGCTGGCTTAGATTAAAATTTTTGGGCATCGGCTCGAACCATTTAAATCTCACGTTTGACCTCTGCCAGGCGCTATGCTGTTATTTGCAAGGGAATTTCGATTAGTGCGTTGTTTCTTATTCCCTCAATTATGTTAACAAGCACCAACAAACCTTTTGCCAAGCGATTAAGATTTCAACATTGTTTTACGGGAAAGATTTGCAAAATTGATTTTGGCTCAGCCTCCTAAACATACATATTAGTGACGCCCTAGTGCATTAAACTTGCAAGTCCAAAGTTCGAACCCTGTAGTTATTCGATGATCCGCCACTGAACCCTTCTATTCTAATCCTTGCGGGTTGTATGTTACCATTTCATGCCACGGCATTTATCGTCATCGCATCTACGTTTCCCGTGTTTCCAGAAGAGCTCATGTTAATTCTCACTCCCTTTAACCATTGGCTCATGTGAAAAAGAACCCCCCCCTCCCCCCCTAAACAGAGTTGTCTGACATTTTATTCAAGAGTTATTGAATGATGATGTACTTTATCATCATCATCATCACCGTCACCATCACCATTATTGTCATCATCAGCATCATGGTTAATGGTAGTAATAATAAAACAGTTGGATGGCTTACTAGTCAAAAAAGAAAGAAAGAAAGAAAGAACAGAATAAAAATAATAAAGCATTTTGTTGATGTTACAATCTTAGTTCTTATAGTGATTTTTGCGGCATTCTCAATACAAATCCTATGATACTAATGGAGAGTATTTGTCCAGAAGTCTGTTTTTTTTTTTTCCAGTTTTGACATGACCATTTTATTTCATTTTTCATTGATATTTTAAATTAGATGATTGTTAGTCAAGAGGTTACGGTAAATGATTAAATCGGAAGATAAGAGCGCAAAAGGTAGCCATCACTGACCCATTCAAATTCTCAATCCACTCATCCGACCAGGGAATATAAATACTAACAAAAAAGACTGAGAGTTTTTGCTCTTAATTTTATGTTCATTTTTGTCTTTATTTTTTTTTTCTCAATCATTTTCCATTTTGCAGGATCCCAAAGTTAAACGCCATTTTGTACTTCTTCATGCCCCGTGGGAAGTGCTGGCCAAGAAAGCGGAAGCGATGCGTTTGAAACTTCCTTTTCAAGAAAACGATATTGTATTCAAGTCTTGGGTAGAGAGGAGGATTGGAAATGAGAGGATGCAGTCATTAAGAAGACGAAACCCTCTTGCAGTCCATGACCCCACCTTCGAAGAGAAAGGAAACTTCTTTATGGCTAACTTTAAGGAAGCAAAGCTAACTAAGTATTTGAACTATCAAAACAAAGACGAGTTGTTTGACGATGTTGATCGAATCTACATCGTGCAACAGATTTGTTACAACGCTCGGTTCGCTGAGGGGTCTCATGGCGTTGGACTAAGGAAGATGATCTATGAAGGTGCTTACGTTGCGGGATATCCACTTCACTCTGGTCCTCTTGATCTGGAACCCGAGGAACAGCCGACCAATGATCGGCAGCGGCTGAAGCGTGACTGGGCCAGGTTTGGAAGATGGTTCAAATTTCAGCCATACGGTGAAATCAAGGATTACTTTGGAAGTGAGATAGCCTTGTATTTTGCGTGGCTTGGGTTCTACACGGCCATGCTTGTACCCCTTGCCATCATTGGCTTTGTTGTATTCCTTTACGGAATCGGATCGTCCGCCAGCCATATTCCAGTTAAAGATGTTTGTGACGGCAACAACACAGGAAAGTGGATCATGTGTCCATTATGTGATAAACAGTGTAGTTACTGGGATTTAGCTTCAAGTACGTGCCTTTACGCAAGGATAACACATTTCTTTGACAACGACTGGACTGTTGGACTTGCCTTGATTGCCTCAGTTTGGGCTACACTGTTCCTTGAGTTTTGGAAGCGTCGCCAAGCCTCATTAGCTCAGGAGTGGCACACTGATGACTTCGAGGAGGAAGAAGAGCCTTTGCGTCCCGAATACTCAGCTACAGTAACAACGCTTAAGAAGAATGAAATCACTGGCAAGATGGAACCATACGTTCCAAAAGCTCAACTTTATAGTCGTTTTGCTGGAGTGGTTAGCATCATCATCTTTATGATCTTCCTTGTCGTCGCAGCTGTCGTTGGTGTCGTTGTTTACCGAGCTGCAGTGTTTGCCTCTCTGAGTGGAAACCATGATCGGAGTATTCAGACTCGTGCAAAGATCATTACTTCGGCTACAGCAGCTCTTCTCAATCTCGTTGCAATCAACCTCCTGAAGTTCGTGTACAGCAAACTGGCTGTGTGGCTGACTGACTGGGAGAATCCGCCAACTCGAACCGACTATCAAGACAGCTTCACCTGGAAGATGTACCTGTTCCAGTTTGTCAACACGTACGCATCCATTTTCTACATCGCCTTTTTTAAATCTGGAATGGTAGTTGGAACCCCAAGCAGATACAAGCGCGTTGCTGGAAGCTATCGTCTGGATAGCTGTAGTGAGCAAGGATGCTTTCTTGAGCTTTGTGTTCAGCTTCTGATCATTATGGTTGGACAACAGGTCATAGGAAATATCACTGAAGTAGCCATCCCGTAAGTGGGCTATCAAATCTTTTTGTAATTTTTTTAAAGATTATTGATTTAAAGTTCTTAGGAAATAGCCATTATAGGACAGGCGTTATATTATCTAGTGTACCTTTCTAAGTGAACAATGACCATAAAAACAAAAATTCAGTATTTCCTATTTGAAAACCGAATTCTAATTGAAGTGTCTTGCAGTTATAGTACAGAGTAACAATAAAGTACCATTCACCCAAGATGAATTCTTTTTTGTTTGTTTTTTCATGTTAAGACTTAAACGATGGTAATATTTAAATTTTTGTTTTCTGTAGATCTATCATGTTTTGGTTTAACAGTCGAAAAGAGGTAAAGGAAGGCCTTCCACAATACCAACGCGATTTTGACTTGAGTCCACCAGGTGACCATTGCATGTTTTGGGAATATCTTGAAGTTGGTAAGTTAGCTCAACGCTAATGCTCAGCTTTAATAATTACTCAGTAACATTAATCGGCACTGAACAAAAATTTTTGAATCTGTTGCAATGCAATGGCTGCACTTAATAGTCCTTAAAAGACTGTAATAAAAAGGTATGATAGAAGGGAAAGATAGAGGCCTGGGCCTGTCTCTCCCACAGTAACTGTTCGAATCCGGAAAGTTGTTTTGCGTTTACCGTAATGGCATTCAAAATCAAAGTTTCCAAAAATTATACATTAAAACTATCAATTAACGAAGCGAAATTGAGTGATTTGTGCGCTGGGAACTCCGCTAATATTCAACAGGTTTTGACTTAAAATTTGCCTTCGGGCCCGAAAAGTTTCTGCGCCTTTCTTGAAACAGTCCCCTGGTGGTTTTCAGTTCCTCGACGCAAAACAAATAGTAAGTTGATATATATCGCAATACCAGTACAAAAGGAATGCAGCGAAGATAAAATATGGGATAAGTCGGTTATTTATTCTGCGTCAGTGTCATGTTCAGTATCATGACTGATATTTATACGTCTCCTAGTTTTAAAATACGTTCATTAAAAATTTGCTTGATGATTGTCATTTCACATTTTGTTATACAGTTCTGCAATATGGATTTGTCACGATGTTCGTGGCCGCTTTTCCCCTGGGCCCTCTGTTCGCCCTTTTAAACTCCGTAGTTGAAGTTCGTGTGGATGCTATCAACTTTGTGTGTCAGTTCAGGAGACCAGACAGTACTCGAGCTCAAGACATTGGAGCGTGGTATCGCATCCTTGAAGGAGTAACAAAATTGTCAGTTTTAGTAAATGCCTTTGTCCTAGCCTTTACCTCCGAGTACATCCCTAAGCTTATATACAAGATGAAGTACGCGCCAGACCACGATGAGCCTGGTGGTGGAACGCTACAAGGTTACATAGACAACAGCTTGGCGCTTATTGCTACGGCCTATATCGAACAACAGGAGCCAGGGACAAAACCAGATGATCCCTTGGAAAATTTAAGATCCCTAGGGTCACCCTACGATAACAAGACCATTACAACCTGCAGGTAAATATGCTACTAAACCAAGAGAGGATTAAGTTCTCTTGACTAAACTGAAGAGTTTCAATAAAACAGATAATATTTTTCATAAAACAGAATAAATAAATCAATATTGAATAAGTAAATTGATATCATGTAAGTGATGCGTGTATTTAGTGATTCTAGGGTTATACACTTAGTGTCGTCCTCTCGGGGAGCGAATAATAGTGGCGGGGAGGGGAGAGAGGCCAGGAGTGGGAGCGAGGGAAAAGGGCGAACAAAATAAGGTGGTTATCTTCAGATTATACATACTTTTTGGCTACTCGGGGAAAATGTTTTCTTTTTATCCCTTTCATTATTGTGTTAGACTTCCTCGTTGTTTCAAGTTACCAGAAACTGATTGAAATTCCATCACTTTTGTTGCATTTCAGGTACTCTGGTTACTTTGAAAGCTTTCCTCCGTACAAGCAGAACAAACAGTACTGGCAAGTGATTGCAGGTCGCCTCGCTTTCGTGTTCGTGTTTCAGTTTACAGTTTACGTCATCACCAGTTTCATTGCGTGGCTTGTCCCAGATGTTCCTAAAAACCTGGAGTTGAAGGAAAAGCGTGAAAAGCATCTTGCCAAACTAACATTCAAGAAGAAAGGATACAGCACTAATGACAACGATCATTACAATCAAACAGATGATGACATGCTGTAGTGACCCTGATATGACTTAACCAACGATGCCTAACTTTTCTCCTCATTCATACTGATGGTCAATAGCGAAACGCAAGGACGTGAGACAGACAGTCTCAATGTTTACCTTTTACCAGATAGCTTTACTTGTCGACACGAAATTAAAGCTGTCCGGTATATCGTAAGAACAGTAACGACCAGGGACTGGAACAAGTTGTTCTCACGGCTTATCGAACATCATAACGACGCATTTCGCCGAGGGGGTTTGGTGCACTAAATCCCAGTCCTCACTCTTGAATATTAACTTTCGTCTCAGAGGATACTAGTCCTCGCTTCTACTTATTCACCTCCGCTACGATCCGAATACCTGTTCACACTGCTGCACCAAAATGTGTTTCAGAACCTATCCGATATATATGACGCTCCACTTTTGTGATCGGTGAGGGGCGGGCTCCCTCCGTAGCAGAAAAGACGCCCAATTTACCCTTCCTTTGTGTGAACAGAAGCCCTATCTATCCCGGGTATGGTGTTCGTGTCGGCGTAATAGAGAGGAGAAGTCGTTACGTCACGTTGTCATGGTAGCAAAATTTTTGGATGACAGCAAACCGTTAAACCTCACTTAAAAAATGAATTCGCACCGCTTCAAACTTCGTCGATCTTATTCAGTTTAATTTAGTTTGGCAAATGTAGGCGAAATTTCCTCGGGTTGAATCCAAAAGGACCGTATCTACGTTTAGAAGAGGAAAAAGACCACTTTTGTGTTGTGTTCACCTACTCCATAAAGCAAGCGTGTGAAAGTAGGAAGTTTCATGTCGCAGGGCTGCAACGACGGCAAAGAAATGTACAAAATAGCGTGATGCACGTGCAAATTTGTTTTGTCAATAAAAACCTATTACTTTTTTGCCATTCTCCTTCCTTCGCCTTCGTCGTTGGTTTTGTTGTCATCCAGAAATAGTGCTACCATGGTGACGTGACGTCATACTTCTCCTCTGTATAGTGTGAACTTATCCGAATTTGCAATGTTTGTCTCACTTTTGTCATTTTTGTTATTTCAATAAAAGTCAGACGAAACATGGCATTTTAATGTTAAAAATCTGAAAAACAAGTGAGGAATTCACTCATGTTAATTTCAATTTGTTTCGTTAAGGATAACAAACTCTACGTATACATCAAAGCAAATGAATCGTTAAATAAGTAATTTATGCATATAACGCAAGGACATTTATACTTCAATAACGTATTTTTGGTGCTCAGTTGCTCAAGAGCAAATTTGACACGTTCATTATGAACTTAAGGTACTCTTTACACTGGAACAATAGAATTTCAGAATTACAAGCTGTATTAGTGCTATATTAGTGCTATTTTAGAAGCTGTATTAGTGCTATTTCAATTGACCAGTTTTAACAGATATATTAACATTTATACTAGTCTCCAACGCAATGGAAATTTTCGAATTCCGATATCCCTAAATTCAAGTGAGAGTAAGCCAATAACCTTTCTTGTGTAAATGTAATTGAATTTAATTTGTACGAGAAGATAAAACTTTTTCATATTAGAGAAAAAAAAACAACGTTAACAACAGCAACAAAAACAAACTATAGGGGGGAGAAAGGAAGAAAGAAGCAAGAGATGTTTGGGAGAACCCAAAAATTGCTTATTTGAATTGTTTTTTTGTTTGTTCGTTTTGAAATCTAACGAGGACAGTATTGAAACATTGATTAGAAGTGCTCATTTTAGACCAAAAGGCACCGAATCGATCACAAGATTTAAAGTTAATTTTTTTTCCTAGTTTTGTATCGAGTGAAAAAATTTCTTGTTATCACAGAATCTTTTTTACTGAAGCTGCTTATGATAAACATTGTACTCTCATGCGGATCAACACAGCATTGCTGTGAAATATGTCTCCTTGTATTATTGCAATACTGTAACTTATGTTGTCTTTGCAAAGCAATAAATTTTTCTTAAGTAAATACTGTTTTCAATGAATGCTTAAGGTGGTTTATATAACCAGACTATATTACTACAATAATACCGCAGAAATGTTTCGTAATCTTTTGAATTTATTTCCATGAATTAAGTAATTGGATGGAACCCCTCCCCGGAGTTTTTGATATGTTGCAGTATTTTGAAACGATTTTACCTTTAGTGGAAAGCCTTTGATCTTCTTAAAAAGCTGAGGTATATTTTAGGGGTGGTGGCGCTGCAGGAGGCCTGTGACTTCACCATCTTGGCTTTTACCAAGAAGTAGAAATCAGGTTAAAAACGCGAGAAATGTTAATTTTTTCTGCTTTACATAATGTTAATTTTTTCTGCTTGACATGAAAAATAACACATAAGTAAGCACTTTGCATGATTTTAGCCACAAGAGTTACTTTTATTGTTGAAAGAAGTAGAAGAAAAATGTATTTTCGCCCAAAATTGGCTTGACCACATGCTACTTATGACGTGATAGCTCGTATAATCAGAGAACTAAACTTGTCTCAAAATGTGCGCGAGGGATGAATGAACAGCTACTGGAAACTTGAGGTACTGATGTTTTATCCTCTAGGGAAAAACTTATAAAAACCATAGGGGGAGGGGGGGGTACGTCCGACGGTTAAAAAGTGAATGTCAGTGGCTTGCTTCTTGTTGCTTACAATTTGACTGAGCGTTCTAAAATGACAAGGTGCAGCGAATTGACGACGTCATACATTTTATTTTACCAATCGCGGAAATAAGGGAAGAGTTGAAATCAATCGTGATGTCTGTTTTATCGACACTGTTCTCTGATTTCTAATTTGATTTTTTTGCAATTATTGCTTTTGTTGTGGTTGATGTTGTTGTTATTTTGGGCGACCAGATATTTAAGAAACTCATGGTACAGATCCATGCTATTAAATTCCCAGTTCTTTCAAAGATTTGATTGCCCCATGTAAGGGAATCCAAGACAGTCTTGGATTCTGGATTCTAAGCCGTGGATGCCGGATTCCAGATACTGAGTTCCAGTCTTTGTCACTGGAACTCACTCTGGATTCCGGATCCAATCTTTTGTGGATTCCGGATTTCTTGAGCTGTCGACCCGGATCCCAAAGCCTAGGATTCCAGACTCCACAAGCAAATGTTCCCTGTATTCTGGATTCCACAAGCCCAAATTTATTAGATTCCACTTTAAGAGACTTCTGAGGGATTACTATGTCTCCACCCTTCGGTCTTGCTATAATGTAGAGGACCCAAGAACAGGGAAAACAATTTGCCTAAAATGTAACTACGCTCGCACTCTAATTAGCCGCCTCCCCTGCTGCTTTTAGCCTTTTCCATCTAGCCTCTCTTTTTCCAGTCATATTATTGCTTTAATTTATTTTTTATTTTTTGTCAATTCGGGTCCACAGTCATGATTGGTTTATCTGGTGTGGTGACCCTGCCATGTATATGTATATCATTTATTATTATTATTATTATTATTATTTGTTTTATTTCTTTTGCGAAGCTTAATAAAATAAATAAATGAACAAATAAATCCGGATTCCGGATTCCCTGACATTAGGCGGATTTGCCGGGCTCTCAATTGCAATTGGCCTACGAGAGGAGATGGAGAAGAAGCTGACGATTCGAGCGCTATCCCTTCGTCAGAGCGAATCAGGGCATTGTGGATTGCACACCGCAGGTTAGATCTATATTAGTCGCACACATCACCCACAATTGCTAGATTCCCTCTGACGAGAGGGTAGCGGTCGGCTTTAGTCTGTCTCCCTACTGGTGTGGCCAATCTACCTTGTCAACTAAGTTTCACTCCCCCACCGACACAACCCCACAGAGTTTCTTTAGAAAGTAACCTATTCATTCATCCCAGTTATTTTAGTTGAATACGTATCAACCGACAATTTGCATCTCAATTCGAGGTTACTGCCCTCACCCTAAAATTCCCACAAATCTGTGGGCACTTCAGTTTCCAGGCTATCACTCTTCTTAAGTCAGCTATTATAAAAAAAAAATAGATATATTGCTATTATAGCTGAAAAAGGAGCCGATTATTGGTTCATGGCTTGAAAGCTTTTAGGAGCGCTTTATGCAAAAAGGCCAGAAATTATCCAGAAACTATTTAATCTGGTTAGTTGTCTTTTCATTTGATTTTAACATTTTCTAAGTTGAATAGCTTGACTTAATGCCATGGAAGTGCCATTCCCTCCAACTGCTTTACCTGCTGAAGTACTTAAAAAAGAGCTCCTTCAACGCCCCGTTCTTGTGCAAGCCAAATTTTCTAACTTGCGTTAAACCAGTCGTATAGTTAGAGAGACTGTACAGGATATATATTATTGTTTAATATGCGATATGATTTATATGTATCTAAATATTGTATGGCAGCCAGGGTAAATTGAACTGTTACAGTGCAATAACAATTGTACCCGACCAAGCGAAAACGAATCTGCTATTGTCAATATGCTATAATCTGTTAACTAGTAGGAACATAGCCAATTAAAAAAAGAGCTCTATATAACAGCTGCAGTTTAATAGTACGTTTCCAGGTTTACTTTTAATTAGCTAATATACAAAAACTGGGCGCATCAAACTTTAAACGACTTTTGTTTTGTTTCTGGTTTTTTTTGGTTTGCTTTTTTTTAGTCATTGCGGTTCTTTGAATTTCAGTAAATCGTCTAATTTCAAAGCCACTCCTTTTGGTAAGATTCCAAAAATACTTGGTAAAGGTTCCAATTGTATTCACACATACGGAGAACCTACAGCTGTAGATATGATGAGTTCAAAAACTCAAACTTGCGCAAGGTAATTAATCCATCTTCGTTAAGTCCTCTGCACTTTTATTTCTCGTCGTGTTTAAATGGCAGAGACTTGAGTCTTAACTCACTCCTTTTATATTTTGACTAACTCCATGAAATTAAAAACTGCAATACAAAAACTCTAAACCCGGTTTAGTTTGGTGGTAAACATCTTTAATAATTAATCATGTACTCAGCAGCAACAAATTCACGAGCCATCTGTTACACCCTACTTTTGTTGATACATTTAACGAGTGGAAAATCATAGTGGAATCCAGTAACAGTTTACTGTCATTCCAATAAGTGTTACTGGGAATTATGGAAAGAGGATCCTATTCAAAACTAGACCAGATTGATCAAATAGAAATAGAGCTGAACGAGCATGTACCTGCAGTTTCGCTGGTCGAGCCAAGCGAACAAAGTGATTTTGATGGTGCGCAGAACAAACGAATAGATTACGTACTTGTTCATGAAATCACGAAGGACACTAAAGAGTTGGGTGAGGAGGCAGCCAAAGCGATCAGAAAGTTTGAACGCTGGAGATATTCCTTTGAAAGATCCCTTGAAAATAAGCTTGGGTTAATTTTACAACGCAAGATCGTCGACGTTGAAGACGTAGGTGTACGGGTGATGCTTGTTTGGTAAATTTTTGTTCAACAACTGCAAGTTCAGTGTGGGTCGTGTAGTGCTAATTAAGAGTTCCTTCAGTTAATATATACCTGGGAACTCCTATATATAATCTGTTCCAAGCGTCCAGATCGCGCAAAGAGATGTGAACAGAAACTACTGTCTGAACGCCTGGAACAGGCTATAGGAACTCCTCCTGTGCACTACTGAATAAAATTAGTGTAAATTAGGCTTTGGAAAGCATCACCTTTTGTTTGAAGTGAATAATAACAGCTTATAATCACTATTAATAAATTGATCATCTTTTAATTTCTAGAATAGCATTCGCAGCAAAGATTTAAATTCCAGTCATTGAGCGGCAAACCTTCTTCGACCATTTTAGATAATATAAACAAAGCAACTGAAATAACAGCTGACATTTTGTTCCCTCCCCATACAATCAGTAAGAATGTTCTTTTTTTAAATAAAAGCACTACGGATATGATACTGGTTCTTTGCTGTTACTGCATATATGACAAAGTGATGAAAGTATACTAATAGTAGTATTAGAGAAAAACATTATTCTACCTTGACCTACAGTATGGTGTTAAGTTAAGATTTTTTTGTTTCTCCATGTTTGCTTTGTTTCCCAAATTTGGCGCCACAGCTCGTCACCAGGATCTCTGACCTTTTCTTACATCGGAAACCGGGCTGAAATTTCTCATATGAACCCAAGGCGAAATTCGTCTCGATAAGCGGGTCATTCCGGTCAACCAGGCTCATGTCAAGAGGCCCTTAGTAGTCTTGTTTGTGCAACTGTCAATTTTTTCTTGATCTCTTGTTATAGGAGCCGGAAAAAGAACGCCATTTTACTCTGATACATGCCCCATGGGAAGTCCTGGTACATAGCGCTGAGGAGATGAAGCTGAAAGTTCCCATCCAAGTAAATGACGTGGTTTTTTCAACTTGGCTAGAAGAACTTATCGGCTTCAACAGGTATGAAAAGCTAATAAGAAAGAATCCATTTGCAGTACGTGATGCTTCTATTAAAGAAAAGCCAAGTTTCTTCATGGCCCAATTCATGGCGGACCACCTTCAAGAGTTTGTGAATCACGAGGACAAGGAGAACTTTTTCAACGCTATGGATCGATTTTATATAGTACAGCAACTGCTTCATTTTGCCCGCTTTGCAAGGGGGCCTGATGGAGTTGGGCTGCAGAAACTCCTCCTTGAAGGGGTCTATATCGCTGGGTTTCCACCACATGATGGACCAGAGACAACTGAGGGAGACAAAGCACGTGCACCAGAGAACGATCGACTGCGATTGAAGAAAGACTGGGCAAGCTTTGGAAGAAGCTTTAAGTACCAACCCTATGAAGCTATTAAAGATTACTTCGGGCACGAAGTAGGTCTTTACTTCTCTTGGCTTGGTTTCTACACAGCTATGTTGGTTCCCCTCGCCATTTTGGGTTTTCTTATCTTTATTTATGGAATTGCAACAGCTGATTCGCACATCCCCGTCCGTGATCTTTGCAGTGAAAAGAATAGAGGTCGCTGGTATATGTGTCCCCTGTGTGACAAACAGTGTAGCTTCCGTAATTTGGCACCTGACACCTGTCTTTACGCTTACGTCACTCATTTCTTTGATAATGATGGGACTGTGTTTCTGGCGTTTGCGGCTTCTATCTGGGCAACGCTCTTTCTCGAATTCTGGAAACGACGGCAAGCAGATCTTGCGTTAAAATGGCACGCGAAGGATCTCGACAAAGGAGAAGAGCCACTTCGCCCTGAATATAAGAAGAATTTACCAGAAGAGCACTTGTCCTTGTTTAGAAAAAACCCCGATACTGGAAGAATACAACCGGTGACTTCCCGGCTCAAAACGTACCATCGATACGGCACCGTCTTTGCTGTTGTTGGATTTATGATTCTCTTGGTTCTTGGAGCTGTCATTGGTGTTATAGTATACCGTGCCGCCGTGTTTGCTGTCTTAAGCAGCAACCGTGACAGCAACATTAAAAAACAAGCTCGTCACATTACAACGGTATCAGCAGGCATTCTAAATCTTATTGCAATCATGCTGTTGACTAAGGTCTACATTAAGCTAGCAACCTGGCTGACAGATTGGGAAAACCCGCCAACGGAGTCCGCTTATAAGGACAGCTTCACGTGGAAGATGTCGTTGTTCCAATTTGTCAACAACTATTCCGCCATATTTTATATCGCATTCTTTAAATCTGAGCTGATCGTGGGCACGCCAGGAAGATACAGAAGAATTCTGGGAAAGTATCGACTAGACGGCTGCAGTGAACAGGGGTGCTTTCTGGAACTTACCATTCAACTTTTTATCATAATGGTGGGGAAACAGATTTTCTTCAACATCTTTGAATTAGCAATGCCGTAAGTACGGAAAATCCATTTATAGCGAAATTCGTTGTATCGGGCTGTGCGTTTTGCAACTCTTGGGTTTTTCCAGGAGCCCATAAGCGGGAGCGTCTAACTTCCATACTGAGCCTATGGAACGGCGTTTTCACAAGAAGGTTTATTTTTAGATAAGCTTTTCCCGCGGACCTCGTCATCAATGACTAGGAAACACACATTGAAAAAACATTTCTTCAGAGGAGTCTTCTGACAGTACTTCAAACGACAATTTCAGTTTTAAAAACTAGCAGTTCATGGTTTGTGACGTCTATTTCACGCAAAGGAATTAACTCGAAATTCTTCGAAATAGCCGATTTTCAAGATCAACAGGCTAAACGACGATCAAATGCAGGAATTGACCTCGTGGAACAGTTATTTTTTGTTGGAAAAGCTTATCTAAAAATAAACTCACTTGCAAAAACGCCGTTGCACGAATTTAGGGCAGTTGAAGGCTCCGGATTATGGGCTCCTGGTTTTTCTGTACCGTCAATCATCTTAGGGGACCTCTTAGGAAACACATGTTTACTTGCAAGAGTTCAAAAGATCATGGTTTGTGATTTATGGTTAGTAGATTTCGATCAGCCAAGCTGGACGAGAATTACATTGTGAAATGCATTAATCCCACCCTCTTTAAAATGATTGACGGAACAGAAAAACGCAAAATTCCTTCTAAATTTGCATTACAACGATACAACGAATTTCGCTGTAATTTTACTCAGTGCAAAGTAAAAAACACGTTGGAGTACAATTTATAGTATTTTCGATTTCACTCAGCTGGAAATTTGTTTATTTCATGCTTTACATTCAGTCACCATCTGGCTGTATTTTGTAGAAGTTTACGTACTGAAATATAACACGAATTAGTAATATTAAGTGCTTTTCAGAATACAAAAAATAAAAACGTAACATAACATAGCATAATATAAAAAAAGTTTTCAGATCATAGCGTTGTGAAAATTTTTGAAAATGAGAATCACTTTAAACAAAAAACAAAACAGGACCCACCCATGAACAACATTATGAGCGCTTAAGTTCCCTGCTTTAATATTTCCGCTAAGGCTTAAAAATTTTAGAATCGGTTGCTTCTTTTCTAATACTTGTGTGTAACATTTCAACAGGTTCTTTAAGCTGCTAAAAAATCGCCGCAAGAAAAACAGTCCAGAAAATGCTCCTCAGTATGAAAAAGACTTTGATCTGACGGCTTGTGAAAAGCATTATATGTTTTGGGAGTACTTAGAAGTAGGTAAGTACACTGATAATGTCGCCTAAATGAGAGTCTGAGTGGGGGTACCTCGATAACACTTAACACTTAGTAACACGAAACAGTTAAATTTTAGGCGTTTCAACACTAACGCTAAAAAAATTCCGCCTTTGAAACAGTAATTTTTTTCCAGAAAGAAGCAAAACCGGCTCCAAAAAGGCCAATATCATTTTGTTTAGTATAACAAGGAGTTTTCGGCCATCTTACGACAATTTCGGATTATTTCAGAATATTTCCGAAGGCTACCGTCGATTTCCCAAGACTGTCAAAGATTTTCGAAGACTAACGAAGAGGTCCGACCATTACCGAAGATGTCAGAAGAGTCCTCCAAATACTTGTACACCATTACGTTTATCTGCTAGCCAACCTCGGTTTAACGAATAGTCTTACTAGATTATGATACTTATTACTCCTAAAGAATAGACATAAACTGAATATCATACGTTCAAATTCCAATTTATTTCCAGTCCTTCATTATGGATTTGTGACCATGTTCGTTGCTGCATTTCCCCTCGGCCCTCTATTTGCACTTATAAATGCCATCATTGAAATCCGCTTAGACGCCATAAAGTTCCTCTGCTACTTTCGACGTCCTGATGTTGCTCGCGTGGCTGATATAGGAGCGTGGTACGGCGTGCTTGAGGCATTGACGAGGGCGTCGGTGCTTGTCAACGCTTTCCTGTTGGCTTTTACTTCCGGATTCATTCCTAAACTTCTTTACAGGGTAGTGTACGCAAGTGATCACCATTCAAGTTGGGGTGGTTCGCTTAAAGGATACGTCAACTCTTCTTTGGCAGTTATAGACTTGAAAACTCTCTATAGGTGGGAGAGTGGTACTCAGCCAGAACATCCCGTGGAGAACTTGAACTACACAAGAGACTACTGCAGGTAATAAATTCTTGTTTTTGAACATGGTAATTTTTGTTTGTAAAGAACTGCATGCAGCTGAGCAATCAGGTACCTCGCAGAAATACAAAAACTTTTAATTTCTTTTATTTCCTTTAAATTATAAAAGAGCTTTCGCGGATCATTCCTAACCCGTATACAATTGAGCTAATCATCCCAGCTTGTGTTCGATTGGTCCTCGGGCTTCGAATCCCATCTGCAATAGCCTAATTTCCACTTTCATATTCGTTATTTATTTCATCCTGAAAGTGTCTATTTTTCTAATTCATTTGGTAAGAAGACACTTTTTATAGCTTTTTTTTAAAATGATAACAGATGGCGTGTAACAGCCCCTTTGACTGAAATAAATATTCTTTCACATTAAAGGAGTTTCTTTTCCTCTTAGTCAGTTATGTGTCAGGGTCCGAAATTAACTATGGACGTTTTTATGCTCTTAAATAGGTATCCTGGTACGTTATAAAGCTTTGAAACGTAGGAACAGAACCTATCCATATCAAAACTTTATTTTTTTTTCCGATAACTACCACGAAACACCAAGCAGTACTGGCACCTCGTACCAGTCGCCGCCCGTCTCGTTCAACTTTTTGATGTTTTGTGTTCCAGTTCGTAGTGTTCACGGTCACTAGCTTCATAGCATGGGTAATACCAGACACGCCCGATGAACTCAAGTTCCAGATGGAAAGAGAGAAAGAAATAATCAACTCTATATTTCTTCGCGGCCATGAATACGATATTGATTTTGATGACGAAGAAGAAGAAGAAGATGAACCACCTTTTGAAGACGCCAAAGAGGAAGTGGATTCTTGAAAAATGAAACAAACGTTGCTCCTCTCTCTAGTTTCTTTTCCTTTATAACTTATGAATACTCAGAAAACGTACGTCATTGTTAGTCTCAACACGAAGGGTTCAAAAGTGGGAAGGGCGGTGGAGAAATAACTTTTGATGTTGGAGAATAACCAAGTGATATAAGTTTTTTAGCTCTTTACAACCGCTTAGTCCTTTCGCTACACATCAGTCTGGGCAAACGGCTTGAAAGGCCGTCTTACTCCAGTATCATTCCCACCTCCCCCTCCTCCCCGTTCAATAAACTGAAAAGTGCAAGAAGCGCAGTACACCGTATACTCAAAATTTTATGTGAATGATACTGTGTAAGTGATTAGAACCATTCCAAGAAGCAAGACATGATCATGACAGGTGATCTTTATTTGGAGTCTTAATTATCGACTTCATCCATAGTTACGAAACTGGAACTGGTTATGAAGCCCATCAGACGTCTTTGTTCAATGACATACTTATCACTTTGATCCCACTGATTAATAAAAACTGAACATGAATTCCGTCAGAAAGCTAGAAAACAGAAAAACAGTAACATTGTTTTTATCCATTTTTGTTGTTTACCGCCTTTCAGGCCTTTCATAACCAGTTTCCTCTAATACTTCATGCAAATAACCTGAAGTAAGAAATTCGTAAAGTTTTTGTTACTGTAAAGCTGAAAAATATAT